CCCCCCCCCCCCCGACCCCCCCGAAAAAACCAAGTCCCCATTATTTTTTTCATTTTTGTTTTCACGAGGAACCGGCGGGAAGTGGCCACGCCGTCGCGTGTGTGTATTTTTTTTTCCATTCACCGACTCTTCCATCCGCAAAACCGTGAATTCCATCAACTAATAAACAAAATCAACGATACATATCGCGAATTTAATACCGCTGATGGGAAAATAATGAGAATTTACGGGAGTTATTCAGTGGCATCGTGACGCCACGAGGGGGAGGGAGAACGGCAATGGGGGAAAACGGGGTTAAGAGAGGGGGGAGGGGGACGAAGAGGGGGCGCGCAAGAGAGAGAGAGAGAGGAATGGAGGAGGGGACGCCGAGTTATTTTTTGCACATCGGCCCACGCACCTTTCGAATCCGCGGGATTTGACAGTGTCCCTCTAGTTTTATGCACTCATCCCATAAACAAACCCCTTAATCGTCCATTTTAATCAAAAATATTCCTCGATACGTCTCCAGGGAGATTGAAATAAGAACGCTTGGACAAATCGACTTGTATTGTTTATATTTTCGCCGGGTCCTCGTGAGAGTCAACAGTTGAGCCGACACGACTGTTCGCCGATATATTTTTTTTCCCCCCTTTCATGACTCGTTGAGAGATTTATTCGTTTATTCCGGATTTAGGTCGTTGGCGACTCTTTATGATGAACGTGTGGCCAAGGGAGGGAAGGGGACTTTTGTTTAAGACTGTACGGGCCGAGCGACGCGTCCAAAAGAGAACGGCTAGGCCGGAATATCGATCCACTTCGCCTCGGCTACGTTGGCCCCCCGACACTCAATTCCACGTATCTAGTTTGTTTTGTTTTCACAACATTGAGCGATTCCGGCGAGGGGTTTTTTTTTTTTTCGGAATTCATTCGTCACTTGTGTTCTTGGGATTTATTTTGTCGAAGAAGTGTCATGAAGGCACCGGTGAAACAGACAAACGTGGAGCGTAAGGTGAAGAGAGACGATGCATGACGCCCGTTTTAGATGAGGGGTTGGGGGGGAGACCGAGGCCTTTGGGGATTTGCCGCGCTTGTGAAACACCGGGTGATGGTCGGCCAATAAAGCGCCGGCGGGGTGGGGGGGATTGTTTGAGGTGAAGAGGGCACCACCGGCGGGACACGCGCGCGTTGGTACTCGTCGATGGCGGGACGGGAAAGTCCTTTTTCTTTAAAAAAAAAAAAAAAAAAGCATGGGCAATATCTCGAATCGTAAATGAGAACTCGAACGAATTGAGAAAGTAAGGCGGTTTTCATGAGTACGATCGTGTTGCTTCGAGTTTTCATGAAGCCCGTGCGACAAACGAGAAAATTGAATTTAAGCCTCCTTAGGTTATTATGCAGTGACAACTGGCAATGCTAATAATTAATAAGCAAAGGAAGTGAATAAAAAGACTCCATAATGGCCTAAGATGGAAGGTTTTTGGCTTCAAAACGAAAATTGAATACCATTCTATAAAACATGAATAAACGAATCATAATTCATAATCACTAGTAGAATAATTCTGCTTTCTTAATATTGCGTTAGAATTATGAAATTATCTCACATTTTTGACGTTAAGAATAGGAGAATGCGAATGCAATATAGTGAGAATGATGATTGATTTTTTATCTTTGAACAAGTAATTTTAAATCCAAATACAAAATTTCTGATATGAATGAAAAGATGTGACTCAATATTCAGAAACACGAAATAACGATATTGTAAGCACGGCATTATATTGATGAGAACAAACATTGAATTTCAAAAATTCATACTCTAAAACATCTTCTAGAAGGAATTGAATTATAATTATAATATTTTGCCAAGAGTTCTGAGGAGATGGTGATCGTCTGGGTCTTCAGAACTCATTGATAACTATTTGCGACAGAAGAATACGTGAATGCAAAAATGTATTGACGTTATTTTAATGTGCTCTAGGGAAACCACAGTTGCCTCTCCCGAGAAAAAAGTAGTGGAGGAGGTTGTTGAGAAGAAAGAGAAAGAAGTTAAGGAAGTGGAGGAGGTGGATGAGGACTCAAGGGCATCTGAGAATGGTGATGCCAAAGAGGTCAAAGAAAATGGTGAGGAGAAGCCGGCCGAGGAGAAGGAGGCAGAGTCCACGGAGAATGGTGATTCCACAGGTATAATTCATTATAAAATTCATTGATTGATTTTTCTTTTTCACCGTTTGTTCATCGTCTTCGAGAATGGGAAAATTAATCGGAAAAATATTATGTGCAGATGCCCCTGCTGATGCCTGCTGCATAAAGAGGAAATCAACAACGGGTGTTGAGGCCAGTGCAGATGCACCAGATGGCGTAAGTCCCGAGAAGAAAGCTAAACTCGAGGAGAAACCAGTGGAAGCTGCCGAGAGCAACGGTGACACAGAGACCGCGGCCTAATATATCAAAAAATAAATACTAAAACATTAAAAAAAAAAACCATCCCCCTACACTTTAATGGACATTATCACACATACAAGCGTGAAGTCAGAGCATTGAAAATAATTATTTCATCGTCGACGCATCGGAGAAAAACCGTGAAAAATAATATTCAAAACAGACGTGTTTTCTTTTTTAATATTTTGTCTATTCTTTTCAACAAATGAACAATAAAACTGTACTTAAATGCGTGCACTCAGTCTATGATAATTGAAGTTAATAAATAAATGTGAATTATATAAATGCATTGTTGCATAGTAATTTGATATATTATTTTTCATTCACCCAGGCGTTTTCTTCGATGCACAAATTCACACACATTTAAACCCGTTATATTGTTACAAATTTGAAATAAAAATGATAAAAGTTGAGTGGATAATTGTTTATCCATTGACTATATTTGTAATTCGGAGAGTTGACCTTTTGATGCGGTGCTGTGAGGGGTCCGATTCTTATCAAATGCCGGATTAGTAATGAAAAAAAAAAAGAAAATATAAATTTTAAAGATTTAAAAAAAAGTCTACGTGCATGGCATTAATGGTAAAGATAGTTATTTTTCTGCGAGACTAAATACATTCCTGTATTACAAAAATAACAAAATTTGGCGATAAAAAATAGTTGGTGTAATGACAGCTGTTTGAGACATAATAAGTTTTTTTTTTTTTCACGAAAAGATCTTTTTCTATTTTATCACTTAATCATTAATGGTTTGAGAATTATCATTCAGTTCAAGACTGGTTAATCTCAAATTAATTGGGGTATTAATGGTGTTTATTCAGTAGGAGATTGACTTTCCTTGATAAATCATTAAAAAAAAACTTGGGACAACTTGAACAAGTAGTCGTTCGTCGTGTATTAATGTGAAAATGTGTAGGTTTGACATTAGACAATTTTTCGACAAAAAAAAGTAATGATTCTTTTATTTTTCTTTTTAATTATCATTAAGTTCATTATCTTTATTTTCTTCTTTTTCATTTGAATCAAATACTTCAGATAATAGTATTTTATTTATTGATTCAAAGTTCATTTTCAGTTTGATTTTTCATTATTTTGAGAAAGAAGTTGATGGTGCAATTGCGCAGCTAAGAATGCAAACTTCATTATTTCTGACTTGTAACAGTTAATTAAACAGATGTTATATTGCAGGAACGTAATAAATGTGTAATAAAATACGAGTTCACTACGACTTGTTTTTATTTAGTTTTTAGTTTTGCATTGTCAGTTTGGAGTGGAGTGTACAAATTTTTTAACTGAAATTTCAAGGAATTTGGTAATTAAAAATTCAAAATTTAATGGAAAAATGAATGCAAAATGTGAATTTTAATTCAATTACTCCTTGAAAACTAATATAAACTAGGATAATTTCGGTAAATTATTGAATTTTCAATGAAATTTTATTATTGTTCCCCCTAAATTGAAATCAATATCCCTCCCCTAAAAATTATTAATCAACTGTCCTTAAAATTTTAATTTTTTCTATCGCTATATTTTTTAGAAATTTTTATCACACTTTCTCCCCTGAAATTTCAAGGAATTTCGTAATTAAAAATGCAAAATATAGAATAATAAATTAGAAGATAAATTTAGAATCCCATTGAATGTTCAGTGAAATTAAAAATTTTTTTTTTTTCATTTCGTTGGGTTAAAGAGGCGTTTACATGGCTTCTGTCGCTGTGGTATAAAAAATTTTTTGTTTGAATTATACTGAATCACGATTCAAGGGATTCCCCGAAATTTATTGAAGATAAACGTGAACCCAGTGTTGCGTTGCACTTGATCAAGAATCGACACTGCACCGGTGCTATTGAAAATTGAAAGGAATTTTTTTCTGCGAGGCTCCGAATAATAGAAAAATCGCGATGAATTTCGTCATTCGTTATTTTGGAATTTTTTTCCTAGTCTTGGGGACATTTACTAGTAATTCAGCATTTGTGTAAGTACTCAGACTAATTTTCAATGACCAATAATGCCATTTTTTCGTCAACTCATGAAATAGTGAATGAATGAATGAGAGAAAGTAGAGAGGATAGAATGAATGATTTTTAATGCATAGAATAGTGGCATTTCTGCTGAATATTATTAAGAGTAAAAGTGCTGGACACAAAAATCCAACAGTGTCACATCGACGACAGACGTAATATGAATCACCTTCTCAGCTATCGGTTGTGTATTACATACTGGCTTATATACTTGTCCTTTACGTGCGCAGAATCGACATATACCGAGATGATAACAGTCACTATGGAAATGATTTAATCGAGGATTTGAATACCAGGAAGGATACTTGGGACTACGAAGTGGTGACTCTGTACAAATTTCTGAATGTACGTAGAATTGATTTATTATTGATAATACAACCTGAGAATAACTTTAAGGATATCCAAGTACTTTGGCTATTTTTTCTCCAGTGGAGAGCCCCATTTGACCCCAAATTTACGAACATTTTACAATGATTTTATTGTTGAGCCGCCAGAAAACGTTTTTAAAAATCTGAAAAAAAATTGGAAAGTTGCTTTTAGAGGAAGATTGATGAATTAATTAAAAAATTGCAATTTAATTGTTCGAAATGGTAACGAATTTATTCATATTCAGAATTTTACCAGAAATCGATTTTATTTCCGAAAGTTTAAACAATTTCAATTATTTATTTATAAACAATGAATGTTTGGAAAAATGATAATTCTATTCAAACTGTAATTTTAATGAAGTCGAATATTCACATTTTTTTTCAACATTTTCTCAGACAATTTAATTGACAAATTTAATGATGGAAAATAATTGAATCTACGACTGTAAAAGATACTTGGATATCCTTAATGGCCGTGACTATTCGCACCATTGCGTGAATCACTCCCGTATACTCCATACACTCCACGCATGCGTGAAGTTTGTGTTTCACGCAGCCGAATTTTCATACTGCTGTGTATTTCACGCAGTTGAAGTTTCATACTACTGTGTGTTTCACGCAGTTGTATTTTTATACTACTCTGTGTTTCACGCAGTTGTATTTTTATACACCTGCCTTGTATAAATGCATGCCTTGTTTTGAGCCTTAAAAGCAAATTTGGGTTCCGTATAGGCAGATGGACGGCTCAGAATTGCGTTTTTCCACTTCCTAGGCCTTATACAAGATGAANTATTTTTTTCCTCATTGAAGTAGTTTTGAAAAAAATTGCGAGCTAATAAAAAACATTTGCTAGTTAGGACTTTTTTTTAAATAAATTTTTGACAAATCACCCCTGAAAAAAAACGCGTTATCCCCCCTACTTCATTATTTCCAAAAAATTTTATCACCAATCGGTAGCAAATTGTTTGAAGATTTTTGCGAGTTAAGAAAAAATCGTCAATGCACTCCTATTATTGTGTAAATTAACAATTCCAATTTCAACTGAAAACCAGAGTTGATGACCAGAGTTTGTAGCAGAGATGTCAGACAAGATATGAATGTTTTTTTTGGCTCAAATGAAAGAGCGGGTCGAGAAATGGCGTGCAGAAGTCTTTAAAGATGACAAATCTCTCTAAAGATGATGTCTGTTTTCAATTGAAAAGCGCAATTGTGACAACATTTTCCAGTGGGTTCTAGGAGTCTCCCCTGGTTCAACACCATCTTTAGAGGTCCTAGCACGCCATTTCTCGACCCGCTCTTTCGTTTGAGCTCAAAAAAACATTCATATCTTGTCTGACATCGCTGCTACAAACTCGGGCCTACAACTCGGGCCTTCAATTGAAGGCCCGAGTTGTAGACCCGAGTTTGTAGCAAAGATATCAGACAAGATATGAATGTTTTTTTGAGCTCAAACGAAAGAGCGGGTCGAGAAATGGCGTGCTAGGACCTCTAAAGATGGTGTTGAACCAGGGGAGACTCCTAGAACCCACTGGAAAATGTTGTCACAATTGCGCTTTTCAATTGAAAACAGACATCATCTTTAGAGAGATTTGTCATCTTTAAAGACTTCTGCACGCCATTTCTCGACCCGCTCTTTCATTTGAGCTCAAAAAAACATTCATATCTTGTCTGACATCGCTGCTACAAACTCGGGCCTACAACTCGGGCCTTCAATTGAAGGCCCGAGTTGTAGACCCGAGTTTGTAGCAAAGATATCAGACAAGATATGAATGTTTTTTTGAGCTCAAACGAAAGAGCGGGTCGAGAAATGGCGTGCTAGGACCTCTAAAGATGGTGTTGAACCAGGGGAGACTCCTAGAACCCACTGGAAAATGTTGTCACAATTGCGCTTTTCAATTGAAAACAGACATCATCTTTAGAGAGATTTGTCATCTTTAAAGACTTCTGCACGCCATTTCTCGACCCGCTCTTTCATTTGAGCTCAAAAAAACATTCATATCTTGTCTGACATCGCTGCTACAAACTCGGGCCTACAACTCGGGCCTTCAATTGAAGGCCCGAGTTGTAGACCCGAGTTTGTAGCAAAGATATCAGACAAGATATGAATGTTTTTTTGAGCTCAAACGAAAGAGCGGGTCGAGAAATGGCGTGCTAGGACCTCTAAAGATGGTGTTGAACCAGGGGAGACTCCTAGAACCCACTGGAAAATGTTGTCACAATTGCGCTTTTCAATTGAAAACAGACATCATCTTTAGAGAGATTAGTCATCTTTAAAGACTTCTGCACGCCATTTTTCGAGCTGCTCTTTCATTTGACCCAAAAAAAACATGGCCGTGACTATTCGCACTATTGCGTGAGTCACTCCCGTACACTCCATACACTCCACGCATGCGTGAAACACACAGTAGTATAAAACTTCAACTGCGTGAAATACACAGCAGTATGAAAATTCGGCTGCGTGAAACACACAAACTTCACGCATGCGTGGAGTGTATGGAGTGTACGCGAGTGATTCACGCAATGGTGCGAATAGTCACGGCCATCCTTAATTAAACAATTGGATGACTGCAAATATCGAACTCTACGTAAATATCTGAAATATCAAGCGCAGGATTTTAATAAAAGTCTTAACGAGAATTTTGCTATCAGTTTTTATGAAAAAATGAGCTGAACTTCATTCTCTGTTCATTTCACTCTAGGCGGAATACTATGGAATCATCCGCATTGGACATCCTGCCCAGGAATTCAAAGTAATATTCGACTCAGCGTGGGCTGATTCATGGGTGCCCTCTCAACATTGTGGACTCACAGAACTCGCCTGCAGTGAGAGAATAAACTTGAAAAAAAACATTCCTACAATTTTAATTGATTAATTTTTCACTTGGATTTATTTTCCAGTGCTCCATAGTCGATACGACAGTTCGAAATCCTCAACTTACAAGGAAAATGGTGCAATATTCTCTCGAAACGATGCAGAGATGGGACTTGGCGGATTTCTCTCTGTCGACAATTTTCACGTACGAAAAAAATCGCAATATTTCATGTTTTCAGTGGTCAATAGTTCAGATTTACTTTGATTCGAGATCAATTCGTCCCCAGAACTCTATTCATTTTCGAAATTCAATAAAATTGAATTTTCAAAACTGATTGTGAAAACTAAACATAACATTCAATTGAATTACGATACACACGAACTTTAAAAAAATGACTAGTTTTCAAAAACTTCAAGATTTTATGCTTCAAATATTCAATAGCAATGTCTCAACAGAGCCCCCGATACATCCACCCATTCACCCGTTCTTTAAATTTATAGTTGGAGCACCTGGAGGTGGTAAACCAGACATTTATCGAAATGACCCACATGTCGTGGAAGCCATTCGCACTTCAGAAAGCCGATGGGATCATTGGCCTGGGTTGGAAGAATATAGCTGTCAAAGGGACAGTTCCCTTTTTTTACAACATGATCAAGCAGAAACTAGTAAAGCAAAATATCTTCACATTTTACATGAATCGGTGAGTATTTCAAAGCAAAAATAAAGCACAATATTTTTTTATGAGTGGATAATTGCAGAGACGAAACAACGAATAAAGCTGGAAAGCTGATCCTGGGTAATACCGAGAGATCTCATGCCAAAGGCGACCTGACGTATGTGAGAGTCGTAGATAAGGGCTATTGGACAATTCAAATGGACAGGTATTGATCCAGCCTCACCCCGTACGATATCATTCGCACAAACATGTTTTATATATTTTTTTTCACGCTCTAGGCTAACGATCGATGTGAAACAAATTAATAAAACGTATGCTTTCTGCAAGAATAATTGCAAAGTTGTGATGGACACGAGTGCTAATACCATCAGTGGGCCTGCCAATGAAATTCAAGCTATAAATAATGTATTGGGGGCAAAAAACCTGTGGCCTTACTGGCCTTATAAATACATGGTAAATTAATGGTGCATCATTTTTTTAAAATGAAAATTCATTCTAGGGAATCAACCTGAAGAGATTGCAAATCTATTTTGCGAACTCTCCACATGGGAAATTAAATTTCCCGATTGAATAATTTTAAAGTGAAATTGAAGAGGAGAAAAATTGTTGAAGAATTGTATCAGGTGTTCTTAATAGGTTCTTTTACTCATGATGACGTCATTTAATTTAATAGGTAAATTGTCGTGAATATGCACTGCTGCCTCATGTTAGCTTCGTCTTCAATGATAAGGCATTCACAATAGATTCTAAATATTACGTTCAACATGTAAGTATACTGTAAATATACAAAATTAGACGTTGAAGATATCCAACTGCCTTTCAGTTTCAAATTTGTCAATGAAATCGCGTGAGACTGATTTGAAAAAAAAAATGGATAATCAGGGTCAATTATTTCACGAATTGTCCTCAAATACTAGACTTTCCATTTTTTTCTAACATTTTAAAAATGTTTTCTGATGTTTCCAAATCGAAAATGAATTTTCAAAATTTTAAAAATTGAAAAATTGCACTGACTGCAAAAATTTTATATCAATTTGAAAAACTTATAAATGAATCTAATTTTAATTAATGCCAATAGACAGAACTCAATACCGAAATTTTTGGTAAAAAAAAAAGATTCAATTCGATCGATTCATTAGCGAACAATTGAAGAAAAAATTGTTAAATTTATCTAAAAATTGGATTTTCGGACTTTTTGGATTCTAATGAGTCGATATAACAGGAAAAATTGAAAACTTAAATTTGAACGATTGCAGTGTTTCCATTAGGAAGTAAAATGTCTAAAATTCCTTGAATCAGCTTTATCCACTCGCCAAAAGGGAAAAGTGCAATCTTTCCCCTTTTTACTAAAAATTGCGTTTTCCCACAGAAGTTAAATCTAAATCAGATAAATTACAACTGAATTACCTAACGAACTGTCCAATATCCCTGTTTGTAATAATTTTATAATGAATTCCAGGTGGTTTACCATGGAATACAAGTGTGCCTGTCTCCATTCGTACCGAGTGACATTGAAACTTGGGAATTAGGAGGTGCATTTCTAATGCAATTTTACACAGAATTCAATTTTGATAACGAGAGCATTGGAATTGCAGAAACACTATTCTAAACTACCGAGAAAAACCATCCCAACATGCAATTATTCCCCTCCCTAAACATACTTCTTATCCAAAAATATGTTATAAAAATACTCGTCTATTTTTTACCCCAATACATAATAAACTAATCGATAACCCAATGATTGTATTTAATTCAACTCTCAATACGTAAAAACCTCACGTACATTGTAAGATCGCAATTAAATAACTGATTGGTGACACCAAAGTCCGGTGTATATTCTATAGACTCGTAAAGCTCATTCTTGGTTGGGTGCTGACAGTCACATGACCCAGGATGATTCAACAACAAGCCACTGGGGGGTTAAGAACGCCTCAGAGTGCAGTGAAATTGTCATAACGTGTTGCAGTCCACAGCCGACCGCAATAAAATTTCTTCCATTCAATTGTTCCTCGATATATAAAATAATCAGTATTTGCAAAATGCTGCGTTTCGTGGCGAGTCTCGCCCTTGTTTTGGCACTTGTCAGTGCTGATCTCGTGAGGTGAGTCCTTTATTTAAAAATATAGTCTCGTCCTTTGTGATTTGTCGATCACTGACATCGTGATTTTTCCCCCTGCGTTTCAACTGAATACGAACAAAAATTCAACGAGGAGTTGGTTAAAATACGAATTGGAGTTTACGAATGAGAATTATTCATTGTCTGTAAAACGGGGAGAAATTCATGATAATTCTTTGCTCGGTTATCTGTCTCCACTGCTTCTTAGGTTTCCTGAGACTATTCATCTTCGTTCAATGTCTTTTAGTTTTTATTTCTTCATCATGAATGACTCAGTCCTTCCTCAGTGGCTTCTCCAGGCGAAGCGACGATAAAACGAAGAATATTCACTAAAATCATTTTGCTTCATTCCACTTTTACAATCGCAGAGAAAAATTCCATTCTTTTTTTTTATCTGTTTCTACTTCGTCTTCGTTCAATCTATTTCTAATCTTCCTTTCTTCATCACGAATTGTATTTTAGTTCTTCATTATTGATTTCCCAAGACGAAACTCGTCACCGTGGGACAATGAGACAAAAAACGCAATTGTATGAATTGTATTTCAGAAACGACGGGAAAAGAAAAATATTCACGAAAATCATGTCGAGAAAAATTCCTAAAAATAATTCCACCATTCCTTTCTTATCTGTCTCTACTTCGTCTCCGTTCAATCTATTTCTAATCTTCCTTTCTTCATCACGAATTGTTTTTTAGTTCTTCATTATTGATTTCCCAAGACGAAACTCGTCGCAGTGAGACAAAAAATATTGATGATAACGCAATTGTATGAATTGCAGTTCAGAAACGACGAGAAAGGAAAAATATTCACGAAAATCAGAAAATTTTCAGCATACAAAGAACATCCCTGAGAACAAAATGTCAAGAAAATTCTCAGCGAGTTGATTTCCTCCACTCGACATATTTTTCTCGTAAAGATAAAAGGTCGCCTTGATAACAACAAGTTTGACCTTATCAATTAGAAGAACTTGGCACAACGCCACTTATACTGTCTACACTCACTATTTCATCCAAACAGAATTTGCTGATTAAAACTGCAGCTCGTGAAATTGTATTTGATGGAGTGAAGCCTGCGGTACTGGCTCGCCTCAAATGAACTATGAATTGTGGAACTAATTGATTGAACTTTAGAGTTCCAGTTCACCGGATAACGACCGTGAGAAAGACCCTGAAAGCGGTAGGAACTGAACTCTATCAACTTCGATTGAGATATGGGAGCCAAGGTCCAGAGCCAGAGCCTCTGTCGAATTACATGGATGCTCAGTACTACGGGGAAATCGCCATTGGCACTCCCCCTCAGAAGTTCAAGGTCGTGTTCGACACGGGCTCATCGAACCTCTGGGTACCATCCAAGAAGTGTCACATCACCAACATCGCTTGTCTCATGCACTCCAAGTACGACAGCTCAAAGTCATCGACTTATAAGGCCAATGGGACTCTGTTTGCCATTCAGTATGGGTCGGGAAGTCTGTCTGGATTTTTATCCACTGACTCTCTCAATGTAAGTTTTTTCAGAGGCCAAAGGGTTTTTCCCATTGAAAAATTACCAGAAATTTTTCCCATGCAGAATTTTCTCCAGAGGTTTTTCCCCGTTGAAACATTCCAGAACATTTTTTCGTTCTCAATTTCCCCCGATGAATTCTTCCCTTTGAAATTCATTTTGCTTTTTGGCTTTTTTTTTTCAAAAAAATTCTAATTCAATTTCTTTTTTTCTCTTAGAAGGAGAAAATGAAGTGTTGATGACAAAAATTGAGGTTTTTTAATCGCGATTCTTTTAATAATATTTCCGTTCAATTATATTTTGACGAAAAGACGTTTGTTAATTGTTCATGATGTTGAGAAGTTGTCGACTTCAAGTAAATAATGGAAATTAACATTGAATGAAGATGACTTGATGCTGTCTTCAAACATTTAACTAAATATTTTCAAGAGAAATTTCCGGCTCTTTTTTTTCGTCCGAGAAATACTTCAATGTTTTTTTTTCACGAGGAAAGGACTTCTCATGGGCAAAATTAGAGATAAAAAGAGCATTCTGGAAGACTTCAAAGTTTTACGAAAAAATACCATTTCATATTTCCCCAACAATTGAACTGAATTTCTATTTTGTTTTTCAGATTGCAGGATACGACATCAATGACCAGGGATTCGCTGAAGCCCTGAGCGAACCAGGACTGGCCTTTGTGGCTGCCAAATTCGATGGTATCCTAGGTATGGCGTACAAGAGTATCGCAGTTGACGGTGTGATCCCACCATTCTACTCAATGTATGATCAGGGCCTTATCAAGCAGAAGATCTTCAGTTTCTACCTCAACAGGTGAAACAAATGTCCTCACGACTCCTGCATTATTCCCAGTTTTTCATTTTTCCCTCAATTTTGTCATTATTTTTTTAGAGATCCAAATGTTAAACCCGGTGGTGAAATGATCCTGGGTGGCTCTGACCCAGACCACTACGAGGGAGACTTCACATATGTCCCAGTGGATCGTCAGGCCTATTGGCAGTTTGGTATGGATTCAATTAACATTGGAGATAAGAAATTCTGTAAATTGGGTTGTCAGGCAATAGCTGACACTGGCACCTCCCTCATCGCTGGACCTGTCCTCGAGGTTGAAGCGATCAACAAGGCCATTGGCGCCACTCCCATAGTCTCTGGAGAAGCCATGATCAACTGTAATCTTGTTCCCAAGTTACCAGTCATCAAGTTCTTTATTGGGGGGAAAGAATTCTCACTTACTGGAGAGGAGTATGTTCTCAAAGTAACTCAATTTGGAAAGACTGTTTGCCTGAGTGGATTCATGGGAATTGACATCCCACCACCAAATGGACCCCTCTGGATCCTTGGAGATGTATTCATCGGTCGTTACTACACGGAATTCGACATGGAGAATAATCGCGTTGGTTTCGCTGTCGCTAAGTAAAGATTCCTTCGGAGATTATGTGATTCGTTTATCGAATTAAATTATTGAGTGGACTAAGTAGAATGGAATTCACTCGTGGAGTTGACCATTTGTTTTTCATTTTTGACTTTTATAATTTTGTGTCCACTCGTGTCGATTTATACTCGTATTCGAATTAAAATACTTTTTCAAATAAATTTTAGATGTGTGTATTTAGGAGTTGTTATTGAAATTTAATAAATTGGAGGGTTCTGATATTTTGTATCAAAGAAATTTGAATGTTTTGATTGTAATTTTTGACCTGGACGTGATATTCTGATGAAATCTAAAAGGGGATGAGGGAGGAATTCATCCTCTTCTTGAAGAAGAACACAATTCCCCTAAAATTTCTCACTTTAGCACACGGAATTCCACATGGAGAATAATCGCTCAGTAAATATTTCTTCGGAGATTATGTGATTGCCTTATCGAATGTAATTATTAAGTGGAGTAATTAAAATGGAATTAACTCGTAGAATTGACCATTTGGGTTCCTTTTTTGACTTTTTATAATTTTCTCTCCACTCGTGTCGATTTATACTCGTATTCAAATTAAAATACTTTTTCAAATAACTCTTAGACGTGGCAATTCAGGAATTGTGATTGAAATGAAATAAAGGGTTTTGATATTTTGTATCGAAAAAATCTGAATCAGTTAATTTCAATTGTTACCTAGAAAATTATTTTTTATGGCGCATTACGGAAACACGAGAATAAGGTGAAATTTGTCCCCGATTTTTTTATGAATCGTCGGAATTCTAAACACACGAAGAATTCGCGCTTTCGCAGAAATTATAAGAAAAAAAATAGCTGAAATTTCGCCTCAAATTCCGGATTTTTATGGGCCTTATTCAATTCTCTCATTCCCCGTCCCTTTCTGTCTTCATTTCTCACACTCGCTTCTCGAAATCAACAATAAACAAATGGAAGCATTCGTTGAGTGCTTCAATTGCAAATGTACTATTTGAATAACTCACCAAGTGCTGGAATGTGCAGCTACAGCTCTGGATGTTGTCCGGCGACCCTCCAAAATTTCCTCGGTGACTCCTGGACACCTCCCACAAATCACATCACTTTTTCACACATCACTCACGATTTTTTAAATTAACAACCCCGAAAACTACCCGGAAAAAGCCGAAACACCGAACGCAATCTTGCGTATTTATCAATACGTTGATAATAACGAAACTCCCGAAAACACTTCACCACATTTCACAACCACAAAATCACAACTTCAGTCCTCCATGTCCATTTCTGTTACTAATTTTATTATTAATCTCCCTTTTTTATTGATTAGAAAGTAAATAAACACGACGAAAAGTTCGAAACAATTGTCCCTTGTCCGGAAGGACACACCAGGCGTCATCTTGCGACATGACAATAATGTCGGTCACGTAGACATGATATTCCTGGTCTATGACACTTTTATTTCGTTCCAGCATTTGTAATTTCCAAGAATGAACGCCAATTCCACCGTAAATTCGTTGTTATCCGTCATGATTAATTAATAGTTGCATTATTAATGTTTATTTAGTGGTTTTTATTCTCATTTTTCTCCAAAAACAGGTAGAACGAACGCCAAAACCTTCGTTCAGCGCCGGTGACTGGTCGTCATATTGGCTGTGCGTGTGGGAGTTGCGCACATGATTGTCTATTGTTCTCGAATGAAACTTTTTATACGTTTAGCGTTCATAATACCCCATAATAAACTCCAAATTCATCATTAAATCATTGCTACCCATCATGATTAATTAATTATCCCATTATTAATGATTATTTGGTGGATTTACCCTCCCTTTTCTCCAAAAATACGTGGGACGAACGCCAAAGCTGTTGTTAACGTCGGAGACTAGCCGCCATGTTGGATATGCGCGGAGGAGTTGCGCGCAGGACTGATAATTATTCTCGAATGAATTTTTTACGTTTAGCGTTCGTAATACCCCATAATAAACTCCAAATTCATCATTAAATCATTGCTACCCATCATGATTAATTAATTATCCCATTATTAATGATTATTTGGTGGATTTACCCTCACTTTTCTCCAAAAATACGTGGGACGAACGCCAAAGCTGTTGTTAACGTCGGAGACTGGCCGCCATGTTGGATATGCGCGGAGGAGTTGCGCGCAGGACTGATAATTATTCTCGAATCAATTTTTTACGTTTAGCGTTCGTAATACCCCATAATAAACTCCAAATTCATCATGAAACCATTGCCACCCATCATGATTAATTAATTATCGCATTATTAATGATTATTTAGTGGATTTACCCTCACTTTTCTCCAAAAATACGTGGGACGAACGCCAAAGCTGTTGTTAGTGCCGGAGACTGGCCGCCATATTGGACGTGCGCGGATGAGTTGCGCGCAGGACTGGGAATTTTTCTCGAATGAAACTTTTTATACGTTTAGCGTTCATAATACCCCGTAATAAACTCCAAATTCATCATTAAATCATTGCTACCCATCATGATTAATTAATTATCGCATTATTAATGATTATTTAGTGGATTTACCCTCACTTTTCTCCAAAAATACGTGGGACGAACGCCAAAGCTGTTGTTAGTGCCGGAGACTGGCCGCCATGTTGGATATGCGCGGAGGGGTTGCGCACGGGAATGAGCATTTTCCCTGCTGCTCTCGCTGGATACGGTCATTCATCGACATGACTCTCTACGTGAGGTAAGTTAATTTTTGAGGCACTGAGAAAAGGTTTCTTATTTCTCCTGATTTACGAGCAGTACTTTCTCATGATTTCATGTGTTCAGGAGTTTACCTTATTAATTTACTTTCACGTTTTGCTACATATACAAATGCATATATTTTTTTTCGTCGAAATGATCTGAGAATTTTGATGTGTCCAGTGATTATCTACACTGTATGACGTGTCATTGTATTTCATTCTATGCGACAATGTTCGTCGATGTTTGATCACATTTCTCAGTAATAATTATTTTTGTTTACTTTCTGCACAGACTGGGAGTGTTACTCCTCTGTTTGATGTTCTTCGCTGGCGCTGTTGATAGAAACAACTTCAAGACCTGCGAGCAGAGTAGTTTTTGCAGGTACAGAGGCACTATTACTAAACCTCCTCTCAAACATGGCAATTTCACCAGTAATATTTAATTTTTAACTAATTCACTTTTCACCGTTGCCCATAAATCTCAACCAGCAATCGGCTCAGAGCCACTAGTCTCCAAGATGACTCAAAAAGAATAAAACAAAGCATTTTCTGTATCTCAGCTGCGATCGAGATGACATTTTGTACACGTGTGACTCGACCATGCCAGCTCCCAGATGATGATGATAGATAAAATGCTTTTTATTGTGCCCTGAGATTTACATATCTAGCATTATTAAAACATTGAGCTCATAATTGTGTAAAGAATGATTTTACACAGAGTTTTACCCATTCATTCACTTGTTTAATCGTTATTTAAAGAACTTTATTCATAATCACACATTAATTTGTTTATTCATTAATCGAGACGATTACGATAACCGGGCGACAAATTTTGACCATCTGTTTCAATGTACTTTTGCCCAAGAAACCCGAGAAAAATACTTTAAAAAATCTATCTCGAGTATTTATTGAGATATTCATCATTTTACGTATTATTTTAGCAGAAAATTATCATTTTCTTGACATTATCATACGCAATAAAACGAGATTTCAATTCGGGAATACACGCATATATTCCCTCAATTTTTTGTTACGTAAATAAACACATAAACATAAATAGGCATAAATGGTAAATAATGATGACATTGTGTAATATGTTTGTCGACATGTTACACAATGTCATCATTATTTTTATGATTTCCCTCATAAATTCATAATAACATATAATCTTTGAAAAAAATGAGTAGAAGGCCCGGCCACAATATTCCAAGGTCCTAACAGTCAATCATACCAGAAACCCATGATAATGATGATTTCCATGGTTTGTGCACCCAAAAAAAATTCCCAAAACCCTTCTGAATCCTTTCGAAACCAGCAAATATGCACCGAGTCCTTTGAATTTCCAGACGATGTCGTAAAGTCGAGGCTGGCAAAACCCCCTACGAAGTGGTCCCCATGACAGTGACCCAAAATGGCTCGACCCTCCAAGCAGACCTATTCAACAAGGACACAGGAGTAAACTTCATACTGCAGTTGACAGCCCTCAAAGATAACATCTTCCGCCTGCACATAAATGAAAAGAGCCCCCTGCACAAGCGTTACGAGGTGGAGAACGCCCTTCAGGACCACCCTCGCCAGGCCGAATTGAACATCGCCGAGTCTCAGTCAGACCACGTGACAGTGACAAGTGGCCCAAGCAAAGCAATCATCCACTTCTCGCCCTTCAGAGTGGATCTCTACTCGGATGACCACCTCGTCGTGTCAGCAAATGCCAGAGGTCTCATGAGATTCGAGCACTTGCGAACAAAAACGGTGAAACAGCCTGACGACGACAGCAGCAACAACAAGAACCCTGAGGAGACCGAAGCGTCGAGCCCTGAGTACCCAGGGGATGGCGCCGAGGACGATCCAGGCGCATGGGAGGAGAACTTCAAGTCTCACCAGGACTCAAAGCCCCACGGTCCAGAGGCGATAGCCCTGGACTTCAGTTTCCCCGGTGCTGAGCACGCCTATGGGATCCCCCAACATGCTGATTCATTCGCCCTGCGGTCGACCAAAGGAACAGACCCCTATCGTCTCTACAATCTCGACGTCTTCGAGTACGAGATAAACGAGAGAATGGCCCTGTACGGCTCAATTCCAGTGCTCTACGCCCACGGCAAGGACCGAACAACCGGTGTATTCTGGCACAACGCTGCTGAGACCTGGGTCGACATTCTCTCAAGCGCCGACAACAACGTGGTGGAGAGTATCGTGAACTTTGTCTCTGGCAGTGTAAAAAAACCCCAGGTTGACGCCCACTTCATGTCGGAGTCCGGTGTGATAGACGTGTTCTTCCTGCTGGGGCCCAAGCCCCTGGACGCCTTCAGGCAGTACACAATTCTCACCGGAACAGCCCCACTCCCCCAGATGTTCACCCTGGGTTACCACCAGTCGAGGTGGAACTACAACGACCAAGAGGACGTGGCCCAAATAGCCGACAAGTTTGACTTCCACGACATTCCAATGGACACCATCTGGCTGGACATTGAATGGACAGACAACAAGAAGTACTTCATCTGGGACTCGCGAAAGTTCCCAAATCCCCTCGAAATGGTCCAGAACCTGACGAGCAAAGGGCGAAAGCTCATTGTCATAATAGATCCTCACATAAAGCGCGACAGCACTTACTACGTTCATAACGACGCCACTGCCAACAACTACTACGTTAAACACGCCGACGGCAAGGACTACGAGGGCTGGTGCTGGCCAGGCGCCTCCTCCTACCTGGACTTCTTCGATCCAAAAGTGCGGGAATACTTCGGAGAACAATATTCCGTGGAAAAATTCCAGGGGACCACCAATGACGTCTACATATGGAACGACATGAACGAGCCGAGTGTCTTCAATGGGCCCGAGATAACCATGCCCAAAGACTTGATTCATTACGGTGGCTGGGAGCACCGAGACGTCCACAATCTCAACTGCATGATGTACACACAGGTGACTTACGACGCTCTCTACAAGAGATCTGGTGGAACATTGAGGCCCTTCGTCCTGACGAGAGGCCACTTCGCTGGCTCCCAGAGGTCAGCTGCTGTTTGGACTGGGGATAATGCTGCTGAGTGGGAGCACTTGAGGATCAGTTATCCCATGTGTCTGTCGGCTGGAGTTGCTGGCATGTCCTTCTGCGGGGCCGACGTCGGGGGCTTCTTCAAGAATCCCGACGCAGAGTTGTTCATAAGGTGGAATCAGGCTGGAGCTTGGCTGGCCTTCTTCAGACAGCACTCGCACATTGATACCAAACGCAGGGAGCCCTGGACGTTCAACGATGAAACCACTCAGATTGTCAGGGATGCGATAAGAATACGGTATTCGTATTTGCCTTATTGGTATACGCTGTTTAGGGAGCACCAGGTCAGTGGGTATCCTGTTATGAGACCACTGTGGGCGCATTATTCGGGAGAGACGGAGACCTTTGCCGTTGATGATCATCTGCTGGTGGGCGATGCCATTCTTGTCAGGCCTGTGTTTGAACCTTCGGTTACGGAGGTGTCGGTTTACTTCCCGGGGGAGGGAAGAGACACTTGGTATGATGTGGACACTATGCAGGAGCACAAAACACCTGGGGCAACCAGGATTCCTGTGACTTTGCATAAGATTCCGGTCTATCAGAGGGGTGGCACCATTGTACCGAGAAAAATGAGGATCAGGAGGAGCACTGCTGCTATGAAGAATGATCCTTATACACTTGTGGTCATCGCTGATGCCGAGGGAAATGCCAGTGGGAAACTCTACATTGACGATGAGTCGAGCTTTGAGTATCGTCATGGAAAGTACGTTTATTTGAGGCTCAGTTTCGATGGGAAGGTACTCAAGAGTGGGTATATTGATAATCTGGCTAATTTGGAGACTGCCAGCTGGCTGGAGAGAGTTGATATTGCTAATCCACCGAAAGGAGTCAAGTCTGCCAAGCTTACTTCACAGAGTGAGTATTTATCTCTACGTTATACGCTTTAATTTTGATGATAAAAACACCTTCCTAGAGTCATTGTGCGGGATAATATGGTATGAATCTTTAATTTTAGATGCAGTTCTCTGCAGGGCAATCTTTATTCAATCTCAATCATAATTAAAAAATTGAATCAGAATTTTTGGCTTTTTCTATTATATTTTTTAATATATTTCAAAAATGTAATGAGAAAAATAGAAATTTAATCGTTCTATTTTGTAATTAATATTTAGATTGAATAAAGTTTACCCTGAAGGGGAATGCATTTGGCACTCGAAACGTCGGAAAGAAAAAAAAATAATCGTTATTATTTTAACATTGTTTTTTTATAAATAAATAATAGAAATTGCCCGAATTCGCGGAAAATGTAATTATCATAATTTTTTTTCTTGCAGATCGTGGAACTGTGAATTTAGAGGCCAAATACAATACCAACAACAATGTATTGACATTACGTAAACCAGGTGTAAATATGGGTGAAGAGTGGTCCATTGAACTCGTGAATTAACTGCAATTTCATTAATTAAATTTTTAGACGTATTTTTCCAGTTGTAAACATCAATTTGCTGACAACAAAGTCAATGTGCGCTTTTTCGTTCTTTTTTTTCTTCTGTTCATTTATGCAAAAAAAATAGATTATCTTACTTTGGAGGGTTCAGTGGCAATTGTGATAAGATTTTTCATCAATATCGTAAACAAAATAATAATAATGACAATGATAGACAACGAGAACTTTTATTATCTTCATAAACGTTCGGTGGGGGCTTGTTTGTGAGCCAAATATAAAAAGACAATTGATGATAGTGCTGATACTAAAAATATAACGTCGAACCATCGATGATAAAAGTTGAATTGAAGATCACCGAGTACTTGGGTTATTATCATTCTGTACTCGGCTGGCATGTTCATTCGCATCAGTAGGACTGACGAGACAAAGTACATTCCCTGATGAAAAATTTTCAATTTAATGAAACGAAATAAAACGGAAAATTGATAAGAATTTTTTTTAATTACCATTATCTGGGCAAGTATCATCACTATAATGTTGGAAGACTTGCTGCTGGATATGGCGTAAAAAAACTGAAATTAAAAATAAAAGTCACTGATTAATATACTCTGTAATAATCTGCTGTTGTCAATACAAATATTGATGATGAAGATGTTTTATTGATGATTAATTCACCTTGGTGAGTGTCAGGAGGAGACCGCGAATGGATGTGACTACGATGCATCCGACGAGGAAAAAGGATATGTGTTGGGACCAGAATGTCACGTCGATGTTGAAGCCGATCCAGTGGACGGCGATTTCTATGCCTCGAGTCACTGGATCTTTCTTTCCCACTCGGTCAAAAACGATATTTATCGTTGACTGGCAGTTAAATAATATCATCAGTTACAATTTATGATATTATTTTTAGAAAATACTTCAGGAAGAAATAACGATTTCTAAATAGAATTTTCAGGGGGGGACTTACGATGAAAATTTTCCACGTGCAGTAGATTGAGAAAAAGTATCCTAAAAAGTTGAAGTATTTTCCTTGCCAGGTGGCTGCCCACTCCAGTCGTTCCCTGGCGTTCTGAATGTCATGAGTCTCTAGAAACAGCTGACGTGATAATTCCTCAAGGCCTGAGACCTCTGATTGCAGTTGTTTGATGTCTAAAAATTATTTTAATAGTTTTTATTTGGTTTAGAAGAGAATCGATGGGATTATCAACATTATTTTTCAAATTGTTTAATAATCTCATTATTTTTTTTATTTTTTCATAATCTAAAGAAGATTGATGGAATAACAATCAATTTTCCCCATAAAAATTATCAAATTTACTCATATTTAGTATTTTACCAGAAATGCGATCTCATGCCTAAAAAAATTAGATTTCCGAAAGTTTAAACAACTACAATTATTTATTTATAGACAACAAATGTTGAAAAAAAATAATTCTGTGTAAAATGCAATTTTAATGACGCTGAACATTCACGATTTTTTTCAAATTTTTCTCGCGCAATTTCATTGACAATTTGATGATTGAAAATGGCTGTATCTATAGTGTAAAAAATACTTGAACAATCTTTGAGTACAATTACACACTTTCTTGGTGTCCTTTAGTGCTCGTCAACGGCGACAGCATCCCCCAGAGTCTTGAGCGATTGTCCGAATGCGAGACAACATCCCCTTTCTTAGCCAGTGCTATTCTCTTTTTTTTAGCAACGATCATGTCCATCGTTTGCAAGAGTCTCCTCTCGATTGCTTGGAGGTCTGCATACGACACGGGCCTCATGAAATACGCCATCGATGAATATGGGTAGTTGACAGCACCAAAGCCGGATAACAGAGCCATTACAGTGACTCCGATCACTCCGATTCTACTCACTCCTTGTTCTATCGATAACAGACCTTTCTTGGGGCTGAGGATTGGAAAGGGATCGCCTACTTTCCAGAATAAATAGAGGTAGCAGAGGTATATTAAAAAGGTCAGGGGACGAACCAAGTTTTTTCTAACTGAAATTCGAAATATTATTCTGTTACTAGGCGTATGGAGAGAAAACTTGAGCGGCATTTTAAAGTAGAATAAATAACACTTGAGTTTTGAAGTTTGAAATCTAGAGAAAATCTCGGAAAATCAGAAAGAGTGAATAAAAATTCTATAACCCACTGTGAAAATTCACACGGGAGACTATTGTTTAAAAAAATTATTGAAGAAAGGATTTGATGGATCAATTTTTTTGGCTTTTTAAATTTATTTTTCTTCGTTACACTCGACGATTAATTGGAGTTTATTTATACTTCTTTAAAGATTGCCAAGTGGGACAGTTCTTCGAATAAAGTTTTTTTTTATTGCGATATCCCAGTACATGGATAATTTTCCTTCGATATTTTCAATTCTTAAAAAAATCAATAAACAAATGCATAAATAAGTGAATAAATGATCTTGAACATTTTACTCTTTTTTGAGTTAAAAAAATCATGAAAAAAAATCAGAATTATTTTTCTTCGCTTGGACTGTCCCACAGAAATGCCCTCAACATTCGATGCTTACCAAAACCAATGTTGCTGATGATAAAATAGGCAATGTAAAATGGTATCAACACAATGACCATGAAAAGTATCATGTAGAGCCCCACATTCCAGTGAAAATATCTAGAACTGTTAGAATAAAAAATGAATTTGAGATATTCAAGGAAATTTTCTCCGAGTTCGAAATTTTTTTTTTTAATTTCCATTCGTTTCACCTAGAATCTAGGATGCCCGCAATCTCAAAGATGATCAACTCAAACATGGTGCAGGATAACGCGAATGTTGATGAGAATATCAATTGAACCAGTCTGTGGTGGACCTCGTAATCTCGGAATAATTTCTTCACAAAAAACACCCATCCGCCTAGGAAAAATAATATCTGCAAGAAAATAACCCTAAACAAGTATTTCCATACCGCTTCTGAGGACTAAAAAATATCGTGACATTTTAAGATTATTGAAGATTTTTATGATCCCACGATTCAATTATGTGAATCTTATTAAACATTCAAAAAATATTTAAATTTCAATTGGAACAAGTGGGAAATTACTCGTTTATTGAATATAGTAGTTATTTTTCCTAATAAATTAGTAATATGCTTACGAATGGTTATTTTGCATGTCCAATATAGCTATCGTAATCATTTTTCAACTTCAACTTAGTCTCATTGAAACAAACATTTCAAGCTATGAATGAATTCATTTGAAGCATGATATCCAAAGATATTCTTGGGATTCTGATTTTCAAAAAATACAGAATTTTGGCAAATTTTCGAGTAAATCAAAATAACGATTATTGCTATCGCCTTCATCTTCGAACTCGATCAAAAGGACGCCCGAACAATTTTTTTAAGCAATCATTCAATGATTTGAAAATTTTTTTTCGTTATCGTGAAAAAAAATTTTTTTTTAAATTCAAAAATTTTAAAAATTAATCAATTAATTTAATTTTAATTAATAGCGATCGATAGGGCTCAACAATACCTACATTTGACGAAGAAAAAAATTTAATTCCATCGATTCATTAGTGAACAATTGACGAAAAATTTAAATTTGTCTAAAAAAAATTGCATTTTCGGACTTTGGGGTCTAAAAGGCCTATGGGCTATGGATATAACCCGAAAAAATCAAAATTTAAATTTGAACAATTACAATGCTTCCAAAGCAGAGCGTTCGGAAGCAAAAAACGGATTCTCCTGCAATGTTCGAGGTTATAAAATACAAATGAACACGCGAAATATAAATGCGAAATAATATCCCCTACCTGTGTGACAAGAATAATAAAAGTGTCCTCGATAAACCCCATTGTTAAAATAACGAACAATTATCTCATCTCTTTAAAAAAATCTAAAACAACTATAAGTTGACAGATTGTCAGAATGCCGGACATTTGTTGTCCACTGGTGTTCATCGTGTCACACACAAACGTCGCCACCGTTTTGCGGTGCCCAATGAGTGACTGCGCCTGATAATCGGAGGGAAGTGTGAACTGTTCATTTTCCATCGAGGAACCAACTTTTTCATAAAACTCCGCAGTTACCCACAAATTTCATTACGTGGAGATTAAAATTGAGATAAATTCACTGATAATATGAATAATGCGTTTTCCGTCGGAATTAATACACGAATAACGTCCAAATTAATTTATTTTGAGAACCGACAGCGAGCGTTTACTGCAATTTTACTTCTCGATTTACGATAATTATTTACGTTTTTTCGATAATAAAAATACAATTTTCATGATTGTTTCACAATAAAACAACAGTTATAATGAAAACGCGCTAATTGACGAAAGGAAAATTATTCAAGTGAAATAATTGCCTTAAAATACAATGAATTTAAAATTCTTCCATCTCATTTAATAATAAAATAAAATAAATAACAAAAATAATATTTGAATAATAAATTATTAAAACTAAAACGAATTTAAATGTGTTTCATCTCATTGAATAAAAAATAAAATTAATAAGAAAAATAATATTTCAATAATAAATAATTGAAACAAAAATAAATTAAATTTAAATTACATTAAATTTTTTTTTTAGAAAAATGAATTTCTCGTAATTAAATGTGTTTCATCTCACTTAATAAAAAATAAAATGAATAAGAAAAGTAATATTTCAATAATAAATAATTGAAACAAAAATAAATTAAATTTAAATTTCATGAAATTTTTTTTTAGAAAAATGAATTTCTCGTAATTAAATGTGTTTCATCTCATTGAATAAAAAATAAAATGAATAAGAAAGATAATATTTCAATAATAAATGATTGAAACAAAAATAAATTAAATTTAAATTTCATGAAATTTTTTTTTAGAAAAATGAATTTCTCGTAATTAAATGTGTTTCATCTCATTGAATAAAAAATAAAATGAATAAGAAAGATAATATTTCAATAATAAATGATTGAAACAAAAATAAATTAAATTTAAATTTCATGAAATTTTTTTTTAGAAAAATGAATTTCTCGTAATTAAATGTGTTTCATCTCATTGAATAAAAAATAAAATGAATAAGAAAGATAATATTTCAATAATAAATAATTGAAACAAAAATAAATTAAATTTAAATTTCATTAAATTTTTTTTTAGAAAAATAAATTTCTCGTAATTCATGCCTAGTTGCGCCACGTTGTGTCCCACGGTGGAAGCGCCCAAGTAGTACACACCACACCGAAAGGAGCACCTGTTGCCGAACGCCCCGTACCTGTTTCTCGCTCCGATCGTCCCTAGTAGAGTCAGTACGTCGTACGGTGTCACAGTTGTCACGCGAAAGCCGCCCACCCCCGACAAAACTACGTGGCATTCACCAAAAATTCACCCCCAAAATTCACGATCAATATAATCCCTAAAAATGAATCGCAACTGTGCGTCTCTCCCCCACAGCCCCGCAAATGATGAATAAAAATCGGCGTAAAATAGTGAATAGTGTCAGTAAATTGTGAAGTAAAAAATCATGAATGCCCCTAGATCGGGCAATTTATTCACTGACTGAAGCAAAACCAACGAATTAAAGGAAAATTGAGAAGCGCAAAAATATGGACGAGACCGATCAGGATTCTGTGTGCTACGGGCCGGGTAGCATTGCAGGGGCTGTGATCGGTACATTTTTTACGACTGCACTCCTTTTAGCGATCGCTGCCTTCCTCTACAGGCAGTGGCGTCGACACAAGGGTGAGTTAAATTCAATAAATCGCTTAAAAAAAATTTCCATCAATTTTACTCCTTTCGCCAACTCATTTGACTCATTTCCATGCAGAAACAAGTCACATGATTCACGGGCATTGGACATTCACGCCTATTGCGTCGTAGCGCAAAATAGTTTTTCCTCAAAAAATCCCAGAAAAAGAGAAATGAAAAAACCCTCGAATTATGAGAAATCAGTGCGTACGATAAAACTGGAATTTAAATGATTTCATTCCACTCCTCTGCGGCTCGCACACTAGTCACGTTTTTGATTATTGAAAACACTGTTGTACATGCCTGTGTACGTGTTTATCGGTTTTGTATTTGTATTGGATTCGGTTTGTTAAGGATACTCGCTTGCACATATTACGAGGCGTCTCGCTCCGATGCACCTTCGGTACGATCATTCTTTTATTTATCCTCTCATTGAGTGTGCATTCCTGCAAAAGATGGCCAATCTAGCGTGCATTCTATTTACTATTTATCCGTTTATTTTTTCATCGAAAATTTCGACATGACCACTAGCATTTTTATCAGACCAATGCACTTTCGCTGTGGCATACCGTCGGTGTGGGTCAACTACTCACGATAAAAAGGGAAATGACAAAAATGTTACTGCGTTTCCCGAGTTAGAAAAGTGAAATTTCCGATGGAATTTGTGGTATGCAGGGAGTACTACATAAGTGCATTGGCGTCCCGAGGCGAATTACCCGGTGTTGAATTTCGTAGGACATTTGTGGAGATAGTAATTTATTGTTGGCGAATTTTTATCAATTTCCATGACTAACAACTATTGTTTTCGATTTTTTTTGTCCACTAGACTCGAAATTCAATTTATTTCCAGTCACATGGCTTTTACACCTTTTACACTTTCATTTTGTACACGCGTTGTACAAAATGAAAGTGTAGTTCATGTAGTTCAACTACAAATGCCCAGAATGTGGAATGGGTCACGTGTGCCACTGAACAATAATTTTTTGTCCTTTTCCCTCTGCGAGCGGTGCATCGTGGACTCGTTCGCGATGCGTCAAAGTGCAGTGGAGAAAAAATTTACGACACTGAGAAGAACAAAGTATTTTGAGAAGTACGTATTTACTCGTATCATGAAGCTCGTGACTTGAGAATTTTCAAGAGCGAAATATCTCGCACTAAAAAAAAATTCGTCAAGAAATTGTCCTCGTCTTTAGAACAAGTACTAAATTTCTTGACGACAAGAAAACGATTTCTCATATCATGTAAAATTGAATTAATTCATTCAACAGTTTTTAGTCTCAATTCTAAAATATTTCAATTTAAAAACCACTTGAATTGATTGCAAACTCGTCGTCTTGTCATAAACCAATTGCTCTCATCTTCCGGACAAGTGTAGAATTTTCTTGACGTAAGATTTTTTTTTAGCGTGAGATATTGTGCGCTCGGTAATTTTCCTGCCATTTCGTGATACAAAAATAGAAAAAAAAATGGTAAAACTGGAAAAAATGTCAAGAGAAAAATTCGAACAGCAATTCAAAACATCTGATCGTGTCCTTCCCATCGTTTTACATTCAGGCAAATAATTATTTTTCATTTAAATCTGGTTATCTTTGACATTTACTGTTAATACCTGGGCCGATGAGATTTCTACGATTTATAATTTGGCTTTCGATTCGATAAATAGCCCCAATCAAAGACTTTATTGTAATTCTTTCTTCCGGACAAATTCATTTAAACCGCTGTGATGGCCGCAATCGCTGGAGAACTCGAGAAGAGAGAAAAACTATTATTCTAAAATAATTTGGCCCCGCACGGGTCCAACGCTGGCCGTAATCCGCGTCGGAGAGCGTGTGTGCACCTGCGCACAGATACGTAATACGACAGAGAAAAAAATCGGATGAATCGAAATACACACAAAAGCTCATCGTATCAAAGAGACCCAAGCGGCGGCCTTGTGAATGAGAATCTGTCCTTTTGTTTTCATTCATCGTTCGCTGCACACGGGTTTTATTTTTCATCTTCAATCTCAGCGTGTACTACAACCCGATACTCAATTCTCCATTTTACTCCGCAAATAAAAAAAAATGCAGATTGAAAAAATCGTCGAATACCTTTCGACGATTAATATTAGCCAGATACATCCCGTATTGTGCACACACTTGTGTACATAAAAATACCTGGGCGAAATCTGTTGGAGGCCTTTAGAAAGTGTACACACTTGGATTCGTTAAAAGCCAGTGGGTCTGCGTGCGGGCCTTGCGTCCAGGTCGTTGGAGTTTCCGATAGCCAGTGGGGGCTGGCATGCAGCAGGTATGCACCTCTGCCCCCCCTGCCCCACCGCCCCCCCTATGCGGCAACTACGCGTGCTGTACTGTGTCTGCATTTTCTAATACAAAATCATGGAGAAAATGAAATAGTTGAGACCACATGCACACGGAATATTTCAACGCTCTGGTGATGTTAATGCGTGGAACTGGGTAATACTGAGTTGAGTCGAGTTGGGTCGAGTCATTCGATGGGATAGCTAAATGAGGCGATTTATTTTTTCATATTATGAAGTCTCGTTCTCGAATTTTTAGAAATTTATGAATTGGCGAATGCTAATTAATGAGGGGAGAATCCCGTTTTATTCAGTTGATTGTTTTTTCACAGTTCATGTATTTTTAAAGATGGGTTAAGGAATTTTAGGGTAGTTCGAATTAACGAAGAAATTTGGTTCATTTAATGAAGAATGTCTACATTATCCTAACGCCTCGACTCCCGGGGAAGTTCTCGTCGGGGATTTCTTTAGTCTTCTAAATAACACTTTTGGAAATTTATTGAAATTTCGGTCACAGTATCAGCTGAATTTTCGATGTTGTCAAGTTGCATTCAATTTCAAATGAAAGTGTTCATTAAATTTCTCATTCATCTGGAATATTCAAGAAAATTGGGTTTTTCATGTTCAACGATAATTGATGTTTCAATAAATTGAGAATTCGGAAAAGTTACTGCCAAAATTTTCAAAATTTTCAAGGCTTTTCAGGGCTGCATGGACCGGAACATCGAGAATTACTAGAATATTCAAGAAATTAACTGATTCGTCAATGAAGAAATATACGGGAATTTCATGGAATTCTGTCGTTAAAAATTTCAAGCTTTTCCAGTTAAAATTTCAAGTGTAATTTTCTAACAGTGCAATTAAAAAAAAATATTTTCACCACTGAAATATTATACACGTGTGTTGCTACAGGCTCATCACAATCGAAGTCAATCTCCTCTCATTTTTTGGATGACGTGGTTATAAATACCTAGTAAAACGTCGAGACAATAAAATATTGAATTAAAAATACTCACATGTTTTCACATATAGTATTTAAATTGCCCTCAGCTATTTAACATTCTGCGAATTTGGTCTTGCGGTCATTTTGTTGATTATTATTTTGTTTTTGTTCTTCCTCCTCCCCCCGTCCCCCTCCGAAAAAAGTGGGAGATGTAGTGGCCAAATCTCAACAGGTGAAACCTGTTAGAGATTTTATCCCACTATTTCTCTCTCGTCCGGTTCCCCTCCCGTCATAATAGGTAGGTAGCCAGACTCGGGTGTATGGCGCCCCAAATACCGGATTTTTGACGGCTTTTCGATATTATTTATTAATTTCCTTCATATTATTCATATTTTTCGGCCATTTCGCAGCAATTTTAATTTAAAAAATAATATAAACTCAATCATTTTCTTTCTGCCGACGTTTCACTTGGTAAATTCACTCATCGGAGCAATTTATTCTTCTCCATCTACGCAAATGAACGAAAAAATGAGAAAAAAATTGCAATTCATCCCTATTTGAAATAACGAACGAAAATAATTCAGTTTTCCTGAGTTTTTGAGGAATATCTCGGAATCTAAGAGAGGTATCGAAATTTTAGTAATGATCTTTCTTGTAGAGCGAATTGCGGGCTCCAAGAAAGGTCCTAACAAAAATTTTGCTATCTCCTTTAGATTCCGAGGTATTCATTAAAAACTGGGCAATAGCCAAAATCGACTTGAACCATTTCACCGCTTCGCGCCTAAATTAATTTAATATAATTAATAATTCAGGGATCATTCAGTGACGTTTAAGATCAATGTCATCCTACCGTTTTCAAGAACATTTTAGCTCCGAATTCCATAAAAACTAGGGAGTGACGGCGCGATAACAAAAAGCCAATACTTCTTTACATTAATGAAATTTTTATTTTTATTGTGAGCCGGAATTTTTAGTACTGAGCTATTTATCTGGGTTTACTAATTTTTGGAATTTTCGACGCGTCGTTTTTCTTTCATTTCGATTGCTAATTGAGAACTAATTAATTTTAGACTATTGATAATCGCCTAATTTTGAAGTCATGACGAATACTTGTTGACAACGTCATGACAAGATAATGAGAATTTTTAGCTCTAGGGCCGGTTGCGCCGAGCCCTGTCAGCTATTCAACCCATAGGAGAAATTTGTTTCTGTCTAAATCTTAGAATAAAACATTTTATAAAAAAATGTTGACAACAATTTTTTATTCTTTTTCTCAATTTATTTTTCGTGAAATTATGATTTTTTTTCAATGCAGAACGTTCACACATACGAGTGATGGAATGAGAATGCGCGTAAACCGATGTCCCACGCTTTCCTCTCGCGCGAAGGAGGCGCTTGGAATTTCTAGACTCAATGTATTTTGAATGAAAGAAACGGGCCATAAATGCGCATGATACTTTCATGGTATACTCACAATAAGTTGACGATACATTGCTTTATACGTATCTTGTTCAATGACATGAGTTCAACATTACGAATGATATCACGTGGAATGTTATCGAGTGTGGAATTGTTATCGGAGCTATCTCACTCGTAAAAATTTCACCCATCTACGGTTGTACGTGCGCACGTGGTGGCACCGATGAATTACTTTGAAATTCCACATCAAGTAGAATGAAAAATCGCATGCCATTAAATTAACGAGAATGATCTCTAAAGTGCGGAAATTAATTTTCACTGAGGCTTATTTCTTCTGAATATTTATGACCCTATCGGTCAAATATTAACTTCATTGAATGAAATATGTTGTTGATTTTATCGGATTAGCATCGTTTCTGCATATTACCTTTGATCATTATGAATTCATTAATTAAAAATTTTTGCGACAAAAAATTCACATGAATACAAAACACAATTCAAATGAATAAAAAATACATAAAATGTATAAAATAATAATGCATTACACCTATAACACATAAATTTTGTTATTATTAATAGCATTATCATGATTCTACAAATTTTCTATTACATATTTTTACATTTACATCACATATAAATAAGCATTTTTTATTCGTAAGCTAAGATGAACATTTTGCTGACCAAAAACGTTTCACCTATTTTTTAATAGAGAAATACCACAAATTAATATTATTATCTGCATACGAGGAAAAACTGAGTCAAAGGATGAGTTTTCCACCTGTTGGAATGTTTTACTCCTCCAGATTCTGGCGCTCAGCCGTTGACCACAACTTGGTCGTCGCAAAAATGATAATCACATAGGAGAGCCCAGAACACTAGAAGATAATCCCAGTACCCGGTCGCTGGCTATTCGCAATGCGTAACCAGCGAGCTATAAACCCCCACCCCACCGCTATTTTTTAGTCCGCAGTCGTTTTTATTTCTCCTTCAAACACATACATATTTTCCCCCTCACCAACCACGCCTCAAATTTTTGCATAATTGTCGCTTCCCTGTCACACACCTCTCCCATTCCTCCTATAGAGATACCCCACCATCTGTCGGTGTGTTTATAGCCTTTCGAGTCTTTTGCGCCTCGCGAGTTCCATTTGGAGTCCGATGGGCGCTTGGATCCTACCATTGTGTGGCGAATCTCTGCTGTGCGCCAATGATTAGTTGTCCCCGATGCTCACCATTGTGTCACTCCTCAAAACTATTTCGAAATCAAATATAGGGGTGTGTCCCTCGGGAATTTCGATGAGACTTTGCAGAGAAAATACATTCACTCATTAAAAAAATGGAACAATTAAGCTGCTGTTAACGAGGCTTCTCGACTATTACCAGGATTTGTTAATAGTTAACGAATCGAGAGCCTGATGAAGCTGAAGTAATTTTGCGAAACGTCGCACTATGACAATTTAATCAAAGTCCTGATTATTTCTCCAATTTGACGAATCCTTTAGTCATCAGTACTAAACTTCTAGGCAGTGTCTTGCTCCTCCAGTTTCTCCTTATTTCAATTGTAATTCCACTGACATACAACGTCTTATTAGGATTATGGCGATAAATGAAAACACTCGTGATTGATTATTTGAATTTAACTGGTTTTATTAATGAGGGCACGTCTTTACTCTTCAAAGCTCTCCGAGAGACTAATTCGACACGAAGAAATTGGTGACGAACTCTGGTCAAAAATCTGATCCATAAAGAGGCATTCATCCCACTCCTCCACTCTACTGAGACTAAACAAAATTCTTATAAACACTCTGACTCCGGTGTTATTAAACATACAATCCATACCAAGAAAAATGAACTCATTAGAGATGGCTCTTTGCCTTCATCTACGTCTCACTCATATAATAATTCCAACAAGTCTCGATGAAAATCCATCGTTAATACGGTAAAATATCTCGCTGCACTAGTTTTAGTCAGAGATGTCTTCTGGCTGTCTGCGAAGCGCTCGTCTTTTACGCAAAAGGCTTTAGCGCGCAAGTTGGCCTCGACGGTTTACCAATATTGGCGGCGTAAAATGACGGAGGTGACTGGCATGAAAAAAACAATTTTAAAAAGCAGTCGAAGGGACCCAGCAAATGCATGTGATTATTCTCGCCAAAATTTCGTCAACACCGGGGGTTCAGGTTGACAAACAGCGGGCGAAAAAATGGCGGGGCACATTACCGAGCGCTTGCGCTTAGTGTTGATGCGATGCGACTTTGGAATCATACGGGTTGAGGGAATTTTACAGAGGAGACGACGAAGAGGAGAAAAGTAGAAGATATGTACGCGTAAAGGAGGAAAAAAGAGATGAGGAGGAGGGAGAAACGTGAGCCCGCTCACCTTGGCGCCCATGGTATGCGCCCACTGGCGTCACCGTCAAAGGCGTAGTCACTTCAATCTTCCGTCGGTGTTGAAGCCCCACCGTTCTGCCCCGGGGTCCCTCCGTCTCTCTCTTCCCACGTTACCAGACCGCAGTTTACTTCTTAGGTTTTTATTACTGCGAATGATAATGGCAGATTCAACGATCGCCATTTCACGTGTTATTGAATAGATATTTTTTATAATTTTTATTATTTATGAAACAGGTTGTTGGGAACACGGTAATGATACACTTGATTTACCATTTACCAAGCAACGTCATTCTCTGTATTTTCCTCACCTTGTGTCAAGTGTCGAGGATGATTAATCACAGATTCAAGCAGCGTGAATCTTCATTTGGCACGAGCGTGGGTGCGACGGTTGTTGCATACGAGAGGAGAAATCGGGGGAATGAAAAATATATAATCCATCCGGAAACCATAATACATAAGAAATATGTAAATCGAGATGATAATTCCGGCATTTTTGCGATTGCCGATTATTCGCGGGGTGTGTACGTGTGTTATTTCAATTCTCATCTCTGATTTTTCACAGCGTCATCTGAATTTTCGATGTTGTGGGGCTCAATTCAATTTCAAATGAAAGGGTTTATTGAATTTCTCACTCATCGGGAAAATTGAACATCACATTCAATTTAATTTTCAATAGATCGGGAATTCAGGAAAGTTGTTGCCCGAAATGGACTAGAAAATCGAGAATTACTCGAATATTCAAAAAATGAAATCAGTAGCGAAGTGGTAAAACGACTTACGTCGACTTATCTCCCAGTTTTTGAGGGATATTTCCGAATCTAAGAGAGATAGCGAAATTTTTATAATGGCATTTGTTGTAGCTCTCGATCCGCTCTACAAAAAAGCTAATAACAACAATTTTGCTATCTCCCTTGGATTCCGAGATATTCATTGAAAACGTTTTACCACTTCGCTATTGAAATGTTTTGTCCATGAAAAAATTTACAGAAATTTCATGTATATGAAATATGAAAAATCATGTCATATGGAATGAATAAATTTGAGAAGTAATAATATTTTGCCACAACAAGCCAATATGTGATGACCCGTATCACAAGATGACAATGAGAAAAAAATTCATCATAAACCTTCGTGAACAATTCCGTGAAGCCAGCATGAACGAATTGCGAATTGATTTGTTGAGCCGATATAGCGGGAACACGTGGCGATGAAGAATGTGCTTCCTTCCTGTGGGGGAATGATCCTTAATATGGAATTGTCGGTATTACAGCCGTAGGAATGACTGATATGTAAATTGATCCCCCTAAAAATAGAGGGAAAAAATCGAGAAAATTTACCATTTTTACAGTTCCATTGCAATTCATCCAGAATAAGCCGATTAATAAAAACTCCGCACAAATGCAGAATCTTCATTATTTCGACTAAACAAGCACTTCGATCTCAACAAAAAAAAATTAGTGCAAAAACAAAATGAGTAGTGTTGTTACCGAAGAGTTCGAGCTTCTGTTTATTTCTCATCATGCGCGATGGAGATAATGAACACATTCATAACACCGATTAGCGCCGAATAATCAGTTATCATCTCAATAATACCATAGAAGAAATGTTCAAACAATTAGACATTTAGATATTTAATTCTATTTTCCTTCCTTGAAAAACGTAATTCTACAAATCCTTGTGATTCGTTTTTATCGTGTCACAGAGGCCAATGTTAATAATATATCGTTAGCCGTCCGTGCGCTCCGGCAAATTACGAGTAAGAACGAAATTTCATTACACAGGAGTCAGTAGTGTCAATTGATGGCAATAACTCGTCAGAATAATCCGATGATGACTCACGATTGCATTCATGAATCCGACCAACTCACGATAATACTTCATTGCAGGAAAGCACCTTGTGCTGGTGACAGATCCGGAGATTGTCGAGGATGCCTATGCATTCGATAATCCCTGCTTCAAGGACGCGACAGGACAAATCGGAAGTATGGAGAGACCGCTGTCCGTCGCAGCTATTGAGACACAAATCAAAGACTCACCAAAGTGGTCAACCCCGTGGTCAGGATTGGGCCTAGGCGCGGGGAATAAGCACGACAAGAGGCGGACACTCGACGATTCCTGCCTAGGGGTGAATATTTGTTGCGCATGTAATGAAAACAAAAATTAGAATAACATGTCTATGAATGAAAAATTTTCTCAGCCGAAAGCTACACGAGTGAGTGTAGTGAGCCTCCGCAGCCGAGACTTCACCGGCCTCGGTTTCAACGTCGCCGGCAACATGAGAGAGGGAATATTCGTGAAGGATCTTCTTCATCGTGGTCCAGCGTCCGAATCCGGTCGCATTCATCCAGGTCAGTTGGCCTGATTGAAATTTTAAATTAAGCCGTGATTTGGTGATAGTAAAATTGAGTGATCACGTGAGATGTTAATTATCTCTCGGGTATTATCAAAATCCAAGTCGACTTCTGGTGATAAAAATTAATTAATTGATTAATTAAGGCTTCAAAATTAAGAGTCACGAGGGTGGAAATAAGGGTCACGAGGGTTAAAATAAGGGTCATGAGGCTCATAATAAGGGTCATGAGGGTCAGAATACGGGTGGTAAGGGACATGAGAGTCAGAATAAGGCTCATGAGGGTCAGAATAAGGGTCACAAGGGTAGAGTAAGGGTCCAAAGGGGTCACAAGGTTAAGGGTCAGATTGAAGGTTCAAATAAGAGTAACAAGGGTCAAAATAAGGATTATGGGGGTCATATGCGGGTTGGTGAGCGGAACGAGAATTATTCATAATTTTACCAGAAATCGATTTCATGCCTAAAAAAAATTTCCGAAAGTTTAAACAATTTTAATTATTTATTCATAAACAACGAATGTTAAAAAAAATGATCCTGTGACAAAAGTAATTTGAAAGACGCTGAATATTCATGATTTATTTCAAATTTTTATCACTCAATTCAATTAACAAATTTCATGATAACCAAAACCAAAAAAAATTTGGTGGTCTGTGCCAATCTGCAAAACATATTAAATTTTTTAAAAAACCATATCTTTCGAAGGTGTCGTCGGCGTCACCCAAAGCGGTTTAACATCATTACCACCAGCCCCATGGAATTATTGAAATCACCTTAATCGTGAAAATTAAATAGCGATGTGGTCACGTAATTCAAGTACTACCCATGATTCATCCTCATTAAAATCCACCACCACATTAGCCATATCGGCCACCATAACTGGAGTGTAACAATTTCCCCGGGTCTTGATTATTCCGCCGGCCTTATTCACCATTGACGCTAAACTCTGTTACAGGCGATCGAATAACAAGCGTGAAAATAAGCTTTCGAAGTATGGTGTACGAGGACGCCCTAACGATCCTGAGTTACGCATCACCCTACGATGTTGAACTCGAGGTGGAGAGCGGTGGCAGTGGCTCCCGGCCGACGACGCTCTTAAAAAAGACGGTTGGCCCGAGCCCCACGCGGATTTGTCACCCCATCTACCGAAGCCAATCAATTCCGGAACTCTCTCGCGTCCACAAGTCCTCAGCAAAACGACTTTTCATTGCCGATCCCACCGACTCTCTCAACTGCTCCAACTACTCGCCCCTAAATTCCACCCTCAAATCCTCAAAATCAACGCCGGGAAGTCACACGTTTGAACGACAGCACGAGGAAGCGAAGACCAACAATCACCACCAGAAATTCGGCATCAAAGTGCTGCCCACATTGGAGGGCACAGTCCACAGGATTGAGAATCAAAACGAGCACAATACGAATCTCGAGCGAAAGCACTCGCGGAAGAGGCTCGACGTGGAGAGACGAGAGATCGTCTCGTCGACGCCGATTCTCGCGGAGAAGACGAGCGAACGCCTCCGCCAGAGGGAGAACCGCCTGGAGAATGGGGCAGACTCGACGGACTGCAAAGCATCGAATCCCCATCCGCGGGATGACGAGAGCATGATTCCCTCGGAGGTGCCGGCGGAGGTGCACAACGCGGCAATGGCAGCGAGAAGAAATCGAAAGAGCAGTGCCGAACTGCTGAGCCCATTCAAGCCCGACGATTTCGGATCCACCCCAGAGCCGGAAGACCGCAAGAGCCCGCAGAAGAACAAGCGAAAGGCGCCAGCACCGCCTGCGTCGCCGATCAAAGACGACCAAATCCCCTCCGCCGATCATCGCCAGCTGCAAGACAGGATCGACACGATAGCGGATTACACAGAATCACTGAGCGATTACGTTGAGAAGGTGATGGAGAGTGAGACTGACGGCGAGCAGACTCAACTACCCCGAGCGGACGATCACTCAGAGCGCAGGAACTCCGCGGAATCGGACACTGACTCCGAAATGCAGCACAGCTTCACGACGATCGAGCTCAACCCATCGGACATTACAATCCACCACACGCCAGTGCCCAGGGCGCCTGAAGACGAGACTGAGGACGACGTCTACAGGAAGGCAGCGAGCCTCGGCGATCTGTCCAAGTACGAGGCGAAGAGTTCGTCTACTCTGGAGAGGGCCCAGAGCCTCGACATGGCGGACGCCGGCTTGAAGAAGCGAAAGGCGCCGCTTCCCCCCGAAGACATCGCCGAGTTCAACGAGGACTTGACCAAACTCGACGACATCGAGGCCTTCGACAGGGTAAAACTGAAGAAGTCGAGTGAATGGGGCACCCTGGAGGACGCTATTTGGAAGAAAGCGGACGGTGATGGCGAGGAGAAGCCGAAGGCCCGGAAAAAAAGCAGCGGAACTCTGGAGAGATCCAAGTCCGCTGTTGAGATCAAACTTAAAGAGGATAATTCACACTCTCAGTATACCCCATCTCCGGGGGAGTCCGACGATTGCAGCGCAGAGCTGTACAATCTTCCTCTGAGCAAGCGCCTCACGAGGGACTTCATCCACGCCGAGAGGATGTTCAATCCCGACGAGGACAACGCCCTCGTGAGAATTGTCAACAACGGACGGGTTTTGAAGAGCCCAACCCCAGAGCAAGTTGAACTGGACTTTAGGCAGGCGAAGCCGATGGACAGCCCCGAGGGAAGTGATCCTCCAGCTGCTGTGGAGTCCTTCGATCAAGCGCTGAGATTCTTCGATCTTCACACATGGCTGTCCAGTAAACAGCCGGTTAAGGCAGACCCTGACACGATTAATGGGGACAATAGAGACATGTATGTGGGCATGAAGCAGGTCAGGGAGGAGCCTGTGAGGAGAATTACAGTGAACCGGAGGTGTCCCGTTTGCGAAAGGAATGGTCAGCATGACAAGCACTGTCAGCTTCATGTTAAAAGTAATGGCAATCACGATGATTCGTCCAAGTCGGTGGCGAATCCCGTGGACGGGGAGGTCACGCCTTCCACGTTGACTGATATTGAGAGGCAGATAGAGAGCATTAGTGGTCATGCAGTGGTGAATGATGACGAGGATGTTGATGACGGCTGCGATCTCGAATTGGGGGTCACTGTCAACAGCAAGAGACTCACTCCCGAGGACCAGCACAACGTCAGTAATATCAGTGTCTCGAGCGAGGACAGCGGTCTCGTTGGAGAGTCTGGAGAGTTTAATGCCGACTCGAGGCCGCCATTGCCCAATACCCCGGCCCCGCCGCAAAAGTCCTCCAAAAAACTGACTTATATCACTGAGATCAAGGTTTCACCCAGGGACGGCAGGGAAAATCTTCCTGAGGTCAACGAAATTCATCCGAAACCACCCAGGGGACAGGTGACGATCACTTCCAATGGGAAACCAACACCTGGGAAGAAACCGCCAGTTCCACCCAGGCGGAGTGACTCCGCCAAAAGCAGTGGGAAAGACGCAGCCGTTGACAAACAAGTTGTTTATGTCTCCGAGTTCAAGTCTCCCGAGATCAGTCAGACTGAGGTGACCGATGGCAATGATAAATCGACGGGGAATAAGAAATTCGAGCGCTGGATTTTTCTGGGAGAGAATAGGGAGGAAAGTTCTTGGGGCAATGGGTCGAATCAACCCCAGCCTGTTACGAACATCGTGGTCTCCTCGGGGGAGGAGAAAATTTTTAAATGAGAGCGGAAAACAAGTTTTTATGTGGATATGTCTGTGGAGTCAATATGGGGGTCATTTTGGGAAACGGTACTTATGGGCAGCGCCATCTATCGGAATTCTAGAAAATTTTAGACCTTTCGAGGTAATTAATAAGTTTTTTATTATTGCATTCAAACTGTGACGGTTTAGTCTGCAGCAATTCAAGGAGTTTATAGAAATTTCTAGGAAATTCAGGGAGTTTCTAGAAAATTTGAGGGAATGCGAGGAGTTTGGAGGAAATTGGAGAAAGAAGGAAAGATCATGGACGTATCCACGTACAATTACAGTTGTATCGAAGATACAATCGCCTGTAATTTTTTATTTTTTTATTTATTACTTTTTTTGAGCGGGGAAGGGTTCAAATAGTCAGAAATCTGTTAGTCTCTATTGCGATTTTTAATGAGTTTTGAATGCTGTTGGGGAGGAAATCGGGAGCGAAGCGGTAAATCGGTTCAAGTCGATTTTGACTTTGGGCCAATTTTTAGGGAATATCTCGGAGTCTAGGCAAAATTTTTGTCATGAGCGCTCAATTCGCTCTAAAAAAAATGTCATTTCGAAAATTTCGTTATCTCCCTCAAATCCGGAGATGTTCATCGAAGCGTCTACGCTTAAAAAACTTGCGTAAAAAAACCTCGTCAAAACAACTCGATGACTAAAAAAATTTGAAGAAAAAAAAAATTGAACAACTGGAATTTCGAAAAGTTTGAAAAAACTCCTGAAAAATAATGCAAAAAAGCACAGAGTATTAATGCTGCTGCAATGTATATCCACATAATATATAACATATAACGTGGGAAAAATTCCTCAACTGTTGGAAATGATTTTTTTCTCCACGAAATTGAGATGTAGTATTTTTTAAAAAATACTAAAAATTTTCCAGACACTTCAATTGACGAAGTCAATTTTTTTCGGGCGACAAGAGCTAAATCGATTTGAACAGTTTACCCCTCCGCTACTGAACTAGAAATATTAAAGCCGTTGTTTTCCTGCGCCCGAAAAAATTGAAATACCGTGATATATGGTGAATGTAAGTATTACTGGAAAGCTATGTGCCATAGAAAAAAAAAATTGAAGAGACAAAATATCATGACGTGGCAATCGCTTTCTGAGGATGTGGGCAAAATTATTGAGAAATTGAAACCGATCTTCCGGAAATAGCAGTATTTTTCTTCACCTGCTGATTCCAATTCCTGTTCACTAAAGACGTTAAGAGTTTCGTTAGTTTATTGTATTCCAATGACAGTGTAGAATGCATGTTGCAAAAATCTTGGTCAACATCCAATTAAATTGACAAAAAACTGTTATAACAATTGATATTAAACTGTATATTCTCCTTAAAGTTAATGTAAGAAATGTTGGTGCCGGAGAAATGTATTTCTCATTGGGTATTTTTGAATTATTTCACACGAAAAAAACCCGAGTCTAAATGATAGAATTGTATATAATACTCATAATGTATAAATTCAATACTTACTGCACACGCTAATGAATATGTATGAATGAATAGAGGGGCTATTTGACAAAAGAAAAAGAGCAAAGTATATATACGAAACAATTGATATAATTACAACAGTAGCTTATCACCCAATATTGTACATTTTATTATAATAATTTTTTTTTTCTAATCTAGTGAATAATTGTTGCATTGTATGTAGCAGTAATTTATACGTTAAGGGAAAATAAATGTTTGTTCATTACAGTCGATGAATATCCATTATCAAGTGACTATGTACAATAGAAAATTACTTATTGTTAGTATCAAAAAATTTCAGTTACGTTGCAGATTGTTTGTAATTCTTAGTACTCATGAGTTTCTTTCCACACATGGCGCAGATGGCTTTTTTGTAGGCACAGGATTGACAGTAATGAGAACCGACCTGGTGGACTTTTTGCCTGCATATTCTACATATTTCAAACTTTGCTGTGTAAGGATTGAAGCGATTCTTGGACGCTGATAGGGCCTTGTTTTCACCTATTTTACGACCACCACTCTCTACTGTATTTCGGGCACCTGATTTCCATGGGTCTGGAGTTATTACTTTGCCCAACTTTTTTTCACACTTTTCACAGACCATTTTGCCTTATCTGAAAATTCAATTATGGATTATAGAATTGTGAGTTAAGGATGTTCGACACCCTTTCAGCCAAAATTGACGTTGTTTTCATTTTTCTGGCAAATTATCGATGGGAGTGACGTGAAAAAATATAACGATTTTGTGGTTTGTCATTCTTTAATGGCTCACGAAGTTGCGTAGTGGTGCGATAATTTTCATGCGTTTTTTCTACAGTTTTGTGATTCTTTTTAAAAGTTTAGAGAAAACGCAGGAAAATGTTCGCACCACCTTAAAATTTCGTCAGTCATTAAATAATGACAAAACGCAAAAACGTTATATTTTTTCACGTCAATTCCATCATAAGTTTGCCAGAAAAATTAAAAAAACGTGAATTTTGGCAGAAAGGGCGTAGAACATCCTTAAGTATTTCACACTCTTTAATGCTCTCTCACAATGTCTCACACTCTCTGACACTTTTCCACGTTCTTTAATGCTCTCTCACAATGTCTCAGACTCTCTGACACTCTTTCACGCTCTCTTGCACTCTCCCGCGCTTTCTTGCGATCTTTCACGCTCTCTCGCGCTTTTTCGTACACTCTCGCGCTCTCCCACGCCCTCTCGCTCTTTCTCGCACTGTCTCACACTCTCGTGCTTTGTCTTTGTAATTTATACATATCAGCATTCATAAGGTTCAAACAAGGGTCTCAAAAGGGTCACGAAAGTCAAACAAGGGGCTCAAAGCTCAAAAGGGTCATAGGGTAATTGCAATTGTGAAAGTAAAAAAAAAGAATAGGTTAGAACTAGACTCCCTCACTAACTTTTCCAAAGGAATTCATTCGCCCAAAAGATTCTCACCTCACAAGGGCCCAATGTTTAAATGCCTCAAATCACCCAACGAATTCAGCAACTGTTTTCCAATTAAGTATCCCAGACACAAATTTAAAGAAGCGAATGATTCTTCATTCAATCAATACTCTGTTGTAGCGCATTGCCACGATTAAATAAAAACACAGCGAATGGCAAATTACGCAGAAAGAACATAACCACAAAACCATGCATATGACCGACTGACGGTAAAACTCTAGGGTCAGCAGCTGTGATTGGTCCGGCGAAGGGGGGGGTCACGTGACGGACCATGTGACGCATGCGCATTTTGGGAGATGCGACAGCGCCACGCCCGGCCGCCAGCGGTACTAGTCCCCTGTTTTGGTGTCGGCGACATCAAAGCCTCAGCATACCTCCCTATATCATACCTTACGCCGCGCTCTTTCTCCTCCCCCTCTTCCCCCCCCCCTGCCAACACTCCGCCGTGTATTTTTTTCCACATACACAACCAACAGTGCACAACAGACTTTCAGGAACGGACAACAAGGGAATCAGCATTCACCAATCATGTCCATGTTCTTCGGTGTTTCTGCACGTACCCTGATGAACATGTGTCTTCATCAGACACCGTCAGCCCTGTGCTAAATATTCACCTCGGGAGTGTTACCTCGGGAGTGGATTTCGATTTGAGGCTGTGAAAATTTACACAAATGATCCACGTTATTTGGGTTATGGAGAGTATTCAGTGAGTGCACGTAAAATATCTGTGGAAAAAGAGAGAGAAAGAGAGAGAGAGAGAGAGTGAGGGAGGGAGTGGGAACGTGAGTGAGTGTGAGAGAAACAAGGGGCAGAGAAAAATAAAGAACCAATTGGAAAAATAAAGAGCCAAAAAATACCGAGGGCAGACCTACAGTATGCTCAGAATTTTTAATATCGAATTATTATGGCTGGGGGTGAGGCTGCCGGGACAAAGCCTCGTCAGGAGAAACAGTACGATTATCTTTTGAAATTTTTACTCGTCGGGGATAGCGACGTTGGCAAACAGGAGATACTCAGTGGCCTCGAGGACGGCGCATCCGAGTCACCTTTCTGCAGTGGCAGTGGTATGTTATTTTGTGTTTGTGTCATCATTCAATCATTTGGTTCATTTATTTTCTTCAAAGGGAAAATGAGGTTTTTTCTACTGTCTGGGGAAGGTGGGGCAAAATGGACACTCGGTTTATTTATTGTTTTTCATGTCAACAGGTCATTGAATTGTTTATGAAGTGGGGTATTTTTTATTTCAATGGAGAGTAAGATTATTTTCCTTTGAGCTTAGCTGAGTTTTTGGAGAATATCTCCGAATCTGAGGGAGCTAGCGAAATTTTTGTCATAACCTTTTTTGAAACTCTTAATTCGCTCTACAGAAAAGGTTATAACGAAAATTTCGATATTTGCCTTAGATTTCGAGATATTTAACGAAAACTGATCAGCAGTCAAAATCGACTTGAATCGTTTTTTAGTTGTGAGCATTGAAAACAAATTTTAATGTGCCCATTTTTTCCCTTATTACGCTTGCACAAGTATTGTCATGATGACGATGATTTGACAGTTTGGGGGGAATTTATTTACAGCTTACAAAACAACAACTATCCTGCTGGATGGGAAGAGAGTCAAGTTACAGCTGTGGGACACATCGGGTCAGGGGAGATTCTGTACGATCATCAGGTCGTACTCCAGGGGGGCACAGGGAATACTTCTTGTTTATGATATCACGAACAAGTGGTCATTCGATGGAATCGACAGGTGGCTCAAGGAAGTTGAAGAGGTGAGGAGCAGTTTCTTTTCACATTTTTTTCTCTGCGGAAATGTATTGCAAGTGCAAATATTCATGGAGTCTTGCATCAATTCCAGGCAAAATTCATGTTGAATTCGTGATGAGATGATTCACTTTTCGTCATTAATTCTTCCTCTTTTTATCCATTTTTTCCACCATTATAATCAATACAAAATAATTTATCAAATTAAAAAAAAAATAGATTAAATTCCCTGATGTTTTTCAAATTTTTCTCCCGCAATTCAGTTGGCAAATTAAATGATTGAAAATGCTTCAATCTACAGTGTTGTCTGCTCCAAACTGTAAAATACACTTGGATGTCCTTAATGTATGAATAACTTTTGCGCTGAAATCAATTGTTGCCTCAAAGTTTCACCACCAGCCCTGATTTATAATTTTATGTTGACCAGCACGCGCCAGGTGTTCCAAAGGTACTAGTTGGTAATCGCCTGCACTTGGCATTCAAGCGACAAGTTGGCGTTAGGGATGCTGAGGCATACGCAGCAAAAAATCGTATGGCATTCTTCGAAGTATCACCATTATGTGATTTCAATATAAGAGAAAGTTTTTCGGAACTCTCGAGAATGGCACTGCACCGAAATGGCATGGAGCGTTTATGGAGATCTAATAAAGGTAATTGAATCATTAAATATCATTAATTAATTATAACTAGCGCAGGGCAGTGTATTGTATTGTTTTCCAAAATAGTCAAACCTTACCATTTCTCACTTTCATTAATTTTTTTACACAATACTACATTACATTTTTTTTAAATACATTAAGAAATGAATTTCTATTTTTTCACAATTACTAAAAACAAAAGATTATAGTACATCAAAAAATATACATAGACATCATATTAAATGACTTGATAAGTGGAATAGAGGCTTCAAAAATCGGTACACTGGATTGTTTTAAAGTCGATTTAAAAGTGAATTGAATGAACCGTTTGCCTCTGGCTTAGATCCCGAGATATTCATTTGAAACAGACGAGTAACCAACATCTTCACGATTTTTTTTTCAGTCCTCAGTCTCCAAGAGCTCGCCTGTCGAGCGATAGTGGCACGCACAACAGTGTATGGAATTGATCAGCTACCCTTACCAACGTCAATAAAATCCCATTTAAAATCTTACGCAATGACGACAACAACGCAGCTCCGCTACAACGGAAATCGTTCACAAAATTCAAGCAAAAGCCTTGGATCTTATCATCGCAAGTTACGATTCGTCGGAGCGGGTCACAATGGACTGACGACACCGGGCAATTCACCTGGCAGCATAACAGACTCTCGTTCCAGTTGCGCTGGCCGTAATTCTTGCACAATATCCTGAGGGTATAGGAAACAACAGAATCTTGTATCGTTCGACATTCACCGCTGGAGCAACTTGTTCCTTCATTCATTGGGATTCATTTTATTAATTAACGGAGATGGCAGGTATTCTTGGGAGAAATCATTCGTCGACTGTGGTTCGTAGAAAAATGACATTATTTTTTTTTACCGCGTCTTTTCAACTGCGACATATCAACTGATTTCATTCAAATTATCGTTCTTTCAGTAATTAGCCAGAATTTTTCAATTTTCATTCATTTTTTGGTTGATTTTAATAGACAACGTTATCCAACGCAGTTTAACAACTTATCTGACGCATCACCAATTAATGCGATGTAAATACGATTTTTTCGTTTAATGAACAATTGCAAAAAATTAATAATTTCGTGACAATTTAATGTTGATAATTTAATTTGAATTAAAAAATTTAATTTTCAATTAACTCAATTTTTTTGTACTACATTTCAATTATTTCGGCGCACAATTCAGTAAATAATGCAGAATAAAAAACAATTGTTGCTCCAATTAATAACTTAATACACACATCAACGAAAAACAGGAATTTGTAAATACACAGATTATTTATTTGCGCTGTATTGATTCAAGTTATAATAGTTGAAATGTCGCCTAGTTGAAAAGACATGGATTTTTTTTTTAATTCGCCTGGAAATTTCTTTCATTGCTCACATTGAAAACATGTCCCTAGTTGAAGACTCATAATATTGTATATCCAATATACGTAATCGTAAAATGCGGAATAACAGCGAGTACTTAGGCGATTTATCGTGGAAAAATGATCAGTTCTAGAGAAAATCAGCCGGTGAAAATTTGGTAAATGAGTATTCACGCGTGAATCATTTATTTTCGTGATCGATTATCCAAAATGATGGCACTGAGCCATCCGTCCGAGGGTTAATTGAGAGAATTTCATAAACAGTGGAAAATAAACAACAGAACTACCATCATATGATTACAAAGAGTAAGGTTTATTTATAAGCAGATTTTTTATGTACATATATTTATAATAATAATTATTACTATATTTTAAATGTTGAAGTTTGTAATTTGTTGATGGATCAGACTCTAGAAGAAATTATGTACACGATGGGTACACAGAAAAGAATGGGATGAGAAAAAAATTGAGTGTAGGGTATACCGCGTGAATTTGTTTAACGACTAGTCCTTTTGAAAATAATTCGACGTAGTGTAAGAGGAAGATGAAAAATGAAATCAGATGACCAGTTATGGAATATTTTTTACACTCATGACTTTCTCAGGCTTTCAATTTCGTAGCAAGTGTCAGAGACACCGTCCTTGGATTTGTAATTCACTATCGCCAATCCTCGTTTCTTGTTTTTACTCCCTGCATAGACCAAATAATTCGAGTTACATTTGTTCATGTATATAATTAGGTTTAGGCCCAGTTACAATTGCCCCCTCGACGTTATATTGGAGTCCCCACTCGACTGCCTCCTGCACTGAGAAAAACAATTTTTTTTGAGAAGTTACTTATATCGAGAAACTGGTGGCCTAAAAATTTTCAAAAACAAAATATCTTCCAAAAAGCGATTTCTGATACTAAGTAAAATTTAATTAGTTCATTTAACAATTTTTTAGGCTCAATTCTAAAGTATTTCGATGTGAAAACCACTTGAATTGATTTGAAAACTCATCTTTCGGACAAACAGAAAATTTCTTGGCGTCAGATTTTTTTTCTTGACGTTTTATAAAAACGTACTTCTCAAAAAACTCTTGTCCTCTCAGTGTGCTTTTATTCGCTTATCGAATTTCATGATGATTTGAGGAGATGCAAGTGGTGAATCATCTGCAATTAAATGGGTTTTATGAAAATTGCAATCAAATAATTTTATTATAAAACGCGCCCTCGTTGTTTTATTCAGTACGCCGACATGCGAGAGCCTCAAACTCGGGTATTTTATTTTACTGGACTTTATCAGTAGCGAAACGGTAGATCAGTTCAAGTCGGTTTTGACCATTGGTTATTTTTTGCTAAATATCTCGCAATCTAAGCGAGATAGCCAAATTTTTGTTATAACCTTTTTTGCAGGGATAATTATGCGCTTCAAAAAAGGTTATTACGAGAATTTCGATATCGGCCTTAGATTCGGAGATATCCTTCGAAAACTCGACGTCAACAATTTGTCATTTTGAGAAAGAAAGAATAGATTAAAAAATCTTGTTATCAAATTTTTTTGAGGGCATACTACAGAGCAGAATGAGCTGAATTTCTTTTCTTTCTTCTTTTCAATGATCCCAATGAACCAATTCTATTACAGAGTCCTTCCCACTTGGAAATTCTAAACGATCATTGTACAATTCCTCCTTTTCCATAATCGTTTTCGTTATACTGTTCATTTCAAACAGCTCCAACAGGTGAGACATGTCCAGTATTTTCATACTTCACTTTCACCTGTCACTTTCTACCCAGTACCATTAACGGAGGTAGGGCCAACTCGTTTCGAATAGCAGATGAACCCGATTGTACTACCCTCAATTATCCACAGCCGATCAATTGACCCTTTTTTTCCTCAATCATCGTGCCATTACGCAAAAGTAAACCACAACTCCGTCTTTTGAATGAGAGAAGAGAAAAAAACGAGAATAAATGAAAAAAATAGTAATATTGGAGACGATTTTTGCACCGACAATATAGTATATATGATGCAAATTCGGATCTTGACAATTATTTTTGAAATATTTACTGACGTGAAAAAAATGAAATAGAACTCGTTCACACTGTGTACGATAGAAGCTAATGTGTAGGCGGAAAAAATAGGCCAAAATATGTGTCAAAAAGCGTTCAATCTCTCTCGGCTATTTGTTCCGGGCCATTTTCCTGTGGTCTATTTTTTCCTAGATGAAAAAATAATGATGGACACACAAAAAAATTATAGAAATACTCAGCGCATGGTTCTGTTAGTCGCAGTGCAGTTAGTGACATTCCATTCACTGTTAGAATGATCAGTGAGCAGTGATTATTAATTATCGGAAGAATGAAGAATTTCAAAGATAGCGTATGGAATTTTTCATGAATCAGCGTGCGTTGGATTCATGTGAAAAAAAACGAGAATGAAGGTGGGTGACAAATATAATCATAAGCCGAGGCATATTTTTGTACACTGTGTATAAAGTATGTTAACTAAAGTCTCATAACACCCATTCAATAAATTTTCAATCACTGGTAGAAAATTTTCAACTGAAATTTCCTCGATATTCAGATGACAGATGTTATTTCAATACGCAGTCGTCAATTTTTTAATGGAATTTCGTGAGCAAAATGGTTATAAAATAATTATTGGAGCTCTCTGAACTCCGGAAATCCCACTGTCTTGTCACGGAATCGGCGTCGAAAAACATTAGTAGCGAAGCGGTAAAACGATTCAAGAAACGATTCTGTTCGTCAGTTTTCAGCGAATATCTCGGAATCTAAGGCAAACAGCAAAATTTTTGTTGTGACCTTTTTTGTAGAGCGAATTGAGACCTACAAAAAAGGTTATTATAAAAATTTAGCCATCTCCCTTAGATTCGGAGATATTTCCATTTGAACCGCTTTACCTCTTCTACTGCGTTCTGACTACAAATAAATTGACGGCGATTGAATAAAAATCAACGGAAAAATTATAAGCAGCGATTATCACCTGTTTTATCACCAACGATGAAAAAACAAAAAGGGTAATTATGTGTATTTCTGCAGACGTCGTTTTACTTATCCTAGACTAAGATTAACAATAAACTAAAAACGAAAAAAAATTGTATCATAATAATTTATCTGTAATATTTATTTAATTCAATTATATACATTGCTACGTACATTTGACTTTAATAAATATGAAATTACGAATTTGACACTGAGGAGAAAAAACAAACAAGTCGTTTCGCTGTTGTTTTTATTTTCTTCTTTTCTTTTTCTCTCGTCAATCTTTCTTTTAAAATTATCATCGCCCTTTATCCGGCGTTAACTGTTCACAAAAGCCCTCGGAATATGGAGAAGCTTCATCGGGGTGAGCCGGATGGCGATGGAAACAAAGTGGGATCATCGCGATGCGTGGATCCTGTTCCACAGTCGTTGAAGGAAGTCGCTGAATTAATGAGCTCTGTGAACAGACGTTTGGAGGATTGTGCTGTTGAATGGCAGGCGACACTATCCCGGAAACAGTGGAGAATTTTACACGCACAATCGACAACTCAAACGTCGTGGGAACACTCTCTACTGGCGAGAACATATCTCACGGATAAAATTCTGGATGAGGAGTTTGAAAAATTGAGGATCTGTGGGAAGAAATTGCTGGCGGATTTGAATAACTTCGTTGGTAATTATGGGATAATGAGGATGATGGAGGTTTTTTTATCTGGCTATTATTGTTAAATTTCAATTGAATAATTCAGTAGCGAAATGGTGAAACGGTTCAGGGAATTCTATTTTCAATTAATAAAGCTAAAGTTAATTCACAAAATTGAATCACCGTTGATTTTCCCGAATTATTTCTCGGTCATCTACTGAATATTTATTTATTATTCCTCGATAACTTAGCTACGAGCTAATTCCACTTGACTCGTTTTACCCCTTTGCCACTGAATTTATATTTTTTGAACAGGTCTATTAAGAGGGGAAAATGCAAACGTCTCTGGGGTGAAAAATACTGAAAATCAGCTCTCGGGTTCTCCGAGCACTAGAAATCCCCCCGTGACGCCACTCGACCTTTCACTTCTCGAGGAGAATAAACCACCGGAGGAGAAGGCAGAGAGACGAAGGAGCAAGAGATTGGCTGAAAATACGGCGACCACGGTGCAACAGTCCTTTGCTGATCTCATAAAAGCTAAAATTGATCTTGACACGAAATTTCTGGGTTTCGAGGCGGTACTCAATGGCACCGGCGGCATCACCCCCTCGCCACCCTCTGAAGGGGCCAAGTGTTTGTGCCAAATTTGTTCGAGTGTTTTGGTAAACAAAGATTCGAAATAATTCCCTCGTCAAATCGAAAGTTAAAGATGACCAAAATAGCGGTAAAATAGGAAAAATTCATTAATTTCCTATTTAATCGTTTCTTTCCATTGCATTGCGTAGGGCAGTGTGATTCATAACGATTATATCCTGAGAGAAGCTGTGACCAAGCCAAAAGTGCGCAGGATGACTAGAGCAAAGAGCAAAAGACTAACGAAATCGCCGAAAATTTGGAAACGAAATTCCGCGAGAGTCGCAAATCAATCGAACAAATAGTCCTCATTCATTCATTAATATGACGATAAAGAGAACAATGAATGGTCCACAAGACACAGCACATGCTTTTGGAAATAATTTATAAACATTCTTCGTTGAATCAATCGTCACTGCACGATCAACTTTTATTGTTACAATAAAATGTGAAATATATCATTTTTTTAAATCTCCTTGTATTTTTTTTAACTATTAAAATGTAATTGAAATTCTCATCTGTTTCATCGTCAGTTCTATGCGAATTAAAATATCTCATCGGTCGTGCTTTCAATTTACGTCTTATTTCCTCTCAATTTATGTCCGATAATATTGGAAAGGATCATTCAGGGTGGCATTCGACCATTGCACGCGTCATAATGATGATTACAGACTAGAAATAATTTTCATCACTCGTAATATCACATAATATCCTCTAGATAACGATGCACTCATCACGAATGAATAGATTAAGAGAGACGTGAGGCTTTGATCGAATATTATTGCACTTTTTTTTGGTTTAACAGGCAGTATTTTGACAAAAACCTGCCTGCAATCTTGAATTTAAAGAGATTACGTCTCGAATTTGAACAGAACAAAAAATTATATTAATTATTTTAAACTTCTCTGTTAATTTATAATTCAGTAACGGAGCGGTAAAACTGTAAATCGATTTTGACTATTGGTTTTCGAAGGAAAACGTTTTACAATGATTTTATTATTTAAACTTTGCAGGTCGGCATTTGAGTCTCGATATTAAACCGTTAGGAAACATTTTACAAATCTGAAAAAATGGGAAAAGTTACTTTTAGAGGAAGTTTTGTGAAATAATTGAAAAATTGCAATTTTCGAAAATTATGCGCATTTTCAATAAATAATTAAAAACAATCAATTTTCCACCACAAAAATCATTTGTGCGGAATCGTAACTAATTTATTCATTTTCAGAATTTTACCGGAAATCAAGGTTTCCGAATGTTTAAACAATTTCAATGATTTATTTATAATAATTCTGTGCAAAATGTAATTTGACTGACGCTGAATATTCACGATTTTTTTCGAATTTCTTCACGAAAATGGGTGAATTTATAGTGTGGACTGTCCCAAACTGTAAAAGACACTTGGATATCCTCGAACTGTTTTACCGCCTTGCTCCTGAATTTTGAAATGAAAAATTTGAAAAATTCTTTCTCATTACGAAATGCCAAATTCCCATCGCCTTCGATCTCGTTCTCTCTCTCTCTCTCTCTGCCCCAATTTTGACTTCACCCAATCCATTGTGTATGTACGGGCGTTATCCCCATTATGCTTTGTTCATAATTATGCGTACATTAACATTAATAATTAATGATAATTATCAACGGCTATTACTCTGCACATAAATATCCAATGATAAAGGATTAAAAAACATCATCATCATGATTAAAAAACTGAATATTTTTGTCTGAAAAATAAGTAGATCTTTCCCCCAAACCTCACGTACGAAAAAATTTCATAGAAAAACCGAGAGAATTCCCTAGACAATTCTATTGGAGTTCGATAGAAAATATTTTACAGAAAAAGTCAATGGAATTCGATTTTTCCATACAACTTATTCTCCCAAAATTTTGTCTGCAGAATTGTCTAGCGAATTTACCAGGACTTTTTATTAATTTTTTTCGTGCGTGATGCACTCGGTATTAGCATTGTCATATTAGAAAAATTGTATCAAAGAAATATGTTACGATAAAACAGTAGTGAAATCGTCAAATGACCTATTAAGCTTTCATTGATTTTTGTACTGCAGTTTATGTTTTATATTGTGCTAAAAAAATTATGCCAGTATCGCCACTCTACCAGTGAAATAATTTAAAACTGAAAAAATAACTCGACGTGTGAGCATTTGGGAAAACTACGAAAAAAAATAGCAATAATTATATATTATTCGTTTCTTCTCTTTACTACATTGAAAATTTTCAACATATTCTGGCAGCTCTCCAACATACTTTGCGCACCAATCCCATTCACACTCAAGTCTTTGAATAAAATTTTCAAGCAAACAGATCTCACATTTAGAATATCATTATGCCGATTGTATAATGAAGTTAATAACCAATGGAATTCTACATTTGGTCTGCAGTTGAGTGCACAACAAATAAACTCAATTTGTTAATTTACAATTTAATGATACACGTAGAATTTCACAATTCAAAAATTATTGTTTTTCGTTATTTTTTTTTTACAATTAATCAATCGTACACTATAAACAAGCTTATCACGCAATATTGAGGCACTCATTTCCCCAAGACTATCACGATTTGTCGATATTTCATATTGGAGAAATTAAAAATCAATGCTGATTAAATTTATTACGTCATGTTTCAATTAAAATTGTGGATTCTAGTACGCTTTAATTTCGAGATCTGCTTGTTTCAGTTAAGAAGACGTAAAGCAATAGAAGATAATTGCCATGGGTCGAGCCGAGGGCATTTATTTCACCTGAACTCGTAGATTTGTATACTGTGTTCTGGTACGTGTCTGAGATACAATGATTGATACCTGAAAATGAAGATTAAAATGTTGTAAATTAATCTCAAATTGGATCGACGATAGAATAAAATAGATCCAAGCATTTTCACAATATTTTTCTCACAGTCATTGATAATGAGATTAAAGTGCTATCGAACTACTTTAAATTCAATTCATGACTCAAGTTTTGAAGACGAATAATAAACAAGTTATTTACAAATATAAACAAATAATGAACAGAAGAGAATTATAAATTGGGACATGACTGCCATCGGTGGTACTGCATTTTACAATGAGAATGATTATAAACAATGAATTGAAAATTTGTAATTTTAATGTCACACGTGATGAAAAAAAAACTCACCACTCTGAGCTACGATGGTAGTAATATCCCTCGATCGAAGCCGCTGATTTTTCAAAGCATATGTAATAAAATCCAGCAAAAGATGCCCCATTAATGTCCTTAATAGTATGATCAGGAACTAGAAAGTGTTCCTTCCATCTCATGAAGACGAAATCAGTCCCTTTCAGTGCTTCGTAGTCAAATGTATCGGAATTAAAAGTCTTTGCGTATTGGCAAAATGATTCGAATTTACTCTGCAAAAAAAAATTAAACATTTGCTTATGATTGTGGAAGTAGTGACGCAATTATGAGTCGTTGACTCTTTCACGGTAGATCCATACCCAGTGTTTTTTATCAACGTCTTCGTCGGCGTCCCACTTACGCGTGAGAAATGGATACTTCTTCGATATAATCTCGCCATCGAAAAATGTTGTTAATGTGGGAAATTCCTCGGTGAGGCCTTTTATTTTTAAATAACCGCAGAGATAACTATTCTCTTCATCCACATGCTGTAAAAATTCACAACGCAGATTAGCGAGTAATTAAAAAGATAAGGAATGCATGAAAATATTTGAAATGATCAATAAATGAGAGGAAGTGAAAACATTTAATAAAAAAATCTAGTAGCGAATGCGTTAGATAATTTCACTGGAACTCAATTTTTCTGTGGAACTTATTCNATTTCAATAGAATCATCCAAAAACAAATAGAAAGGTCAATAGAAATCCAATAGAACTTTCTAGAGAATTCACTGGAGTTTTCTACGAAATTTTCTCATACGGGTCTTTAAATTTAACTCGCAGTGACACATCTTCAACCATAAATACAATTTAAATACTTGAAATATCGCAATCAGAGCTAAAATAAATGCGACTGATAATTAATACACAAATAAATATATTTCGGAGTGGTAGTAATATCACAATTTGAGATTAGTATCTTTATTGTATTGAGATATTTTACAAATTTTTTTCATTTCATTTTCTTTTCTTCTCACCAAGAAAATCAACGAAAACTTTAAAAGTTTGAGCCAAGGAAATTCTTCAGAAAATCTCTCAATAGGATAAGCCTTACAGAAAAATCGAATTCTATCAATTTTTGTATAGAAATATTTATTATTATTCAACATTTCAATAGAATCGTCCAAAAACTAATAGAAAATGTACAGAAAAATTGAAAAACAAATAGAAAGGTCAATAGAAATCCAATAGACCTTTCTAGAGAATTCACTGGAGTTTTCTACGAAATTTTCTCATACGGGTCTTTAAATTTAACTCGCAGTGACACATCTTCAACCATAAATACAATTTAAATACTTGAAATATCGCAATCAGAGCTAAAATAAATGCGACTGATAATTAATACACAAATAAATATATTTCGGAGTGGTAGTAATATCACAATTTGAGATTAGTATCTTTATTGTATTGAGATATTTTACAAATTTTTTTCATTTCATTTTCTTTTCTTCTCACCAAGAAAATCAACGAAAACTTTAAAAGTTTGAGCCAAGGAAATTCTTCAGAAAATCTCTCAATAGGATAAGCCTTACAGAAAAATCGAATTCTATCAATTTTTGTATAGAAATATTTATTATTATTCGACATTTCAATAGAATCATCCAAAAACAAATAGAAAGGTCAATAGAAATCCAATAGAACTTTCTAGAGAATTCACTGGAGTTTTCTACGAAATTTTCTCATACGGGTCTTTAAATTTAACTCGCAGTGACACATCTTCAACCATAAGTACAATTTAAATACTTGAAATATCGCAATCAGAGCTAAAATACGACTGATAATTAATACACAAATAAATATATTTCGGAGTGGAAGGTTCGAAGTACGATCTCCCATCTGGACCCCAACTAACCTGCAAAACCACTTCTACATCGTAGCTATTTCCCTTGGACTTTTGAGATCCCTGGAATCTCGAGCCATTGTACAACAATGACTTGGTGACCCCAGGTTGTTTTGAATTGGCAGGTGGTGGTGGTACCACATCCACTTTGACCGGCATTATCTTCCAAATCCACTCCAATATTACACTTTAAATAACTTCACTTTTCAAAATCGTAGTAATCATCACAAGGTCAGTGTTCACCAGAATTTTACGCCCGTTTCGCCCCGTTGTCGCGAGCTTATCGGAGCATTGAAGACTCAGTGATGGATGATCGAGTAAAAAATAAATAAATAAAATCTTCAACTCAGCAGAGACGTAGAAATGAAACGTCAAGTCTTTCTGCGTTGGTCAATTACTAGCCACTCCCCTGTTTCACTCCGCGGAAACTCACTTCACCTCGACGCTGGAATATCCCAAAGAATCGCGAATTTCGCGTGTGTGTGAGTGTGACTGTGCAACCCCAGTTGCATTGGCAATCTCAAAGGGGAACAAAAAGAAAACAAAAAAAAATGAGAGAATGAAGTGGGGAAATTCGGTTGGAAACTTGGATCGAGAGACTAGGAATTGTCACTCTTTACGATCGACTACGGGGAGATGTACGTGAACATGTACGTACGTACATACCGGATGTTCATTTGGAGCATTCAACCCAGCCATGCTGGGTATTATAGGACGGCACTACAATCGTGCCCTCCCCACTCTGCACTTCTCGACGAGAATTTTCTCGGGTTTCGTGTCCCTCCGGTGTTCGGAGTGGAAACCATTCGCTGGGTTTCAATCGTTTCAATACTAGTTCCAAGTAGCTCGGAAAGAATGGGACTGTTTCAATAGCGAAGCGGTAAAACGAGTGAAGTTGAGCTAGCAGAAATCATTTTAAAACAGTCGTCATCGTAAATGACATTTTTTTTTTATTTAAGCATTTCTGAACAATTACAGTTCAATTTGCATACATATAGGGAGGTTGGGGTAAAACGGACACTTGACTTTTTTGAAATGTTGATGAGGGGTTGAAATGTTGATAAAATTTAATAATTTTTTCCTTCAATGCAAAGAATAATTCTTTCCCTTTGTGACGAGCCGGAACTGAGCTCAATTGATCAATTTGTTTCTGAGTTATGAATAATTTTAAAAAAGTCTAAAGTGTCCGTTTTACCCCACCCTTCCCTAAATAAAAATATGTAAATTAGAATTTCCGTTCAATTTTGAACTAGTCAATTGTTTAATAGTATTTTTCAATCTTCAATTATTAAATTAATCATCAATTGAATATTCAAATTGCGAATTATTTCGTCAATCAATAATTCAGTTTGTAAGATTGACGATTATGTGGATTATTTGCTCAATGGACAATTGACAGTCCTATATTATCAATTATCTAATTCTTTATCGAATTAATTAATTATTAATTAATTAATTATTAAATTTTCATATTATATGCGAACGTTAACCAACGGAAGGATATCCATGTTTCAATATTATTATTATTGCCAGTGGACTGAAGATTATATATTTCGTATCTTATTTTGAGCTGATATGTAACATGAATGGAAATTTGAGGAAATGCGAAAAATCACCGAAGTGTATTGATATTGGAGGGATTACCCATCTCCTAAACGATTTTCACGTTGACATGAGGATAAAAAATGACATTCAATCACCACCGGAAACTGTAATGAATAAATAAATGAATAAAATAAAATACAAAATAAATAAAATGAATAATAAAATAAATAACAAATTAAATAAATAAAATAAAATACAGATATCAGGAGCAGGACTATAATGCCCAATCAAATAAAAATTGAAGAGTTCACATCCGATAAATCTCAAATTTATCGTCTCGTGACCCCCACATTGTGCTGTGGCCAGCAGGCAGGTGGCGCCCCGGGTAACGTCTGCGCCAAACGGTAGTCACGGCATTTTCGTGGTATTTCTCGGGTGCAGCACGAAAATGGCTTGCTCAGCAGTGAGATGTCCAATTTTACGTAATTCCACAGTAAGTATCAACCCCAATTGTCTGAATAATAAAGAAAAACGGATCCAGTGCGTATTTTGCTAGGTGAAAACACCAGTTGTCTAGTTAGTGGATGATTTTTTTTCCTCCACGAAGTGTGTTATGTAAATCCTTGGACGTTTGGGACAACTGATAACTGCATGACTCGTTGGGAGATCCACACTGACAACTGACGTATTCTGCACTTTTCAGTGATTTCGTTTGGCCTCGGGGAAATTTAGGGTTTTTGTTTGAATGATTCGTAGTGTTGTCATGTGCTTGCAGGTGAGGAGCTACGCTGCCCTCGCGAAAGCAGCCCAGTCGTCGCCAGCGGCCACTGTTGACACTCAAGTCCTGGGTAACAAAGTAACTGTCGCTGCTCTTGACAATAACAGCCCAATCGCCCAGGTCTCAATTATTTTCAAGTGAGTACGAATCAGCAGAATTATTCAAAGTATTTGGAGTAATGATAATGGTGATCCAGCTGTACACTTCGATTTTCTGTGTTGGAAAATGTTTGAAAGATCATTTATGTCCATCTAGTCATGTGACGTCCAGGCACAAAGTAACGAAGAATGAATAAATAAAAATAAATAAATTAGGGGAGGGTAGGGTAAAATGGACACTTGAGACTTTTTAAAAAATTTTCATAACTCAGAAACAAATGTGTCAATAGAGTTCAGTTTAGGCTCATCACAAAGGGAAAGAATTGTTCTTTGTATTGAAAAAAAAAATTATTAAATTTCATCAGCGTATCAACCCGTCACTCATATTTTTAAAAAAGTCAAAAGTGTCCATTTTACCCCAACCTCCCCTAACAAAAAAAATCATTTAAAAAAATAAATTTAAAATCGCTCACAATCGATTATTTTCCCATACATTCTAACTGATGAGTGTAAAAAATTCAGTAGCGAAATAATAAAACCGCTTAAGTCGACTTAGCTCCCATCCGAGTTTTTGAGGAATATCTCCGAATCTAAGGCAGATAACGAAATTTTTGTAATGACCTTTTTTGCAGAGCGAATTGAGTGCTATAGAAAAGGTCATGTCAAAAATTTCGTTATCTGCCTTAGATTCGGAGATATTCATCGAAAACTGCAAATACTCAAAATCGACTTAAACCGTTTTACCACTTCGCTACTGAATAGCTCCATAAACTCCTCTCTTCAATTATTTCTTAAACGATCGTTGAGGTCAGCAGGTTGGTGCAATGACTCCAGACGTAGTTAAAATTGAGTTTCCTTGCATTTGCAATATTTACAACATTTGGGTCAAATTGTCACTCCAACAGAGCTGGCTCTCGTAATGAGACGTACGACACCCAGGGCATAACTCACCTGCTGAGGATCGCAGCGGGGTTGACGACATCGAGGTCATCAACCTTCGCGATAACCCGAAATATCCAACAGCTCGGTGGCAACCTGTACGCAGTGTCCGATCGCGAATCCATCGCCTACACTCTCCAGATCACTCGTGACAAGCTGTAAGTGCTTTCCCCCTGGCAATTACGCACATTATGACAACATGATTTATTGGATTTTTTTTTAGAGAGAATGCCCTCGTATTCTTGGAGGATGCAGCGACACGTCAGGTGTTCAAACCATGGGAGGTATCAGACTCGACACCTCGATTGCGCTACGAACTCTCGACTCTTCCTGAAAATGTTCGCATTGTCGAGCTTCTGCATAAAGTCGCTTATCGCGAGGGTCTGGGGTACTCTCTCTACTCACCGAAACGTCACCTTGATAAAATTCCATCAGAGACTGTAAGTTTTGGCTGTTTTAAAAATTTCAATTTTCTTACAAGACTGTTATTTTTGCACTTCTAGATTAATTATTATCAACAATTAGGAATTAAAATAATTATCATTATTTCAAATAATTAATTTTTCAGTTTTATAATTATTACATTTCATTATTATTACTATTATTATTATTATTCTTCTTTTTATTATTAATAATGATATAATTTATTATATTAATAATATAATTAATATAATTAATATAATTAATTAATATAATAAATTATATTATTATTATTATATTAATAATAAAAAGAATAATAATAATAATAATAATAATAATAATAATCAGCCCCAACAGTAACAAGTAAAAATAAATTCATTTCATGTATATTCTCATAACAATAACTGTCAATAAATCTCATATATAATAATTCTCATAACAGTAACTGTCAATAAATGCCATGAACTTTATCAAAACTTAACTAAGGTAACGCTCATAGCTCGTAATGTGCGCGCGTCAGCGCGACCATTTCTAGTCATTTTTTTACTGAGAAAATCGTAAGAATCCACTAAAAACCAGTATTTTTTCACTGCATTATATTTCGAGATTATCATTCGTACAGTAAAATTCGTCCCGATTTTCGAGGTAATTATTTTCCAAATGTTCTCTCCGTGTACATAAGACCGGCTTACAGTTGCAGCACTACGTTAATACGTGGTACACGGGTGGTCGATGTGCAGTAGTTGCCACTGGCCTACCTCTCTCGGAAATATCGCCCCTGGCATCAGGCCTTACCCTCGGTTCAGGTTCTGGTAACACGGTGCCGTCGAAATTCGCAGGAGGTGAAATTCGCAAAGAGCGTAATTCACCTCTTGCCAGTGTGGCCCTGGCTGTGGAGGGCTCTGGCTTCGACAAGGAAGCCGATGCTCTGGCATTCGCAGTCCTTCAGAAGGCTGTGGGCACAGGGCCACACGTCAAATGGGGGACTTCAACGGCACCACTGCAGAGAGCTGTTGCCTCAGCAGCTGGATCAGAGCCTTTTGCCATCACTGCTTTCAACGCTAGTTATTCAGACTCCGGACTTTTTGGATTCCTCCTTCAAGCGCCTGCTAGTGCCGCAGGACCTGTAAGAATTATTTCTCAATCGATAATTATTTTTCCGAGTGAAAATAACAATTTAGTCGTGAAGCGGCAAAACGCTCATCTGAGATTTTGAGGAATATCTCCGAATCTAAGGGAGATGACGAAATTTTCGTAATGACCTTTTTTGTAGCCCTCATGTTGCTCTACAGAAAAGGTCATGACAAATATTTTGCTATCTCCCTTAAATTTCGAGATATTCACCACTTTTACCACTTCTCAGGAGATGAACATGTGCAAATCGTTTTCTAAATAAGAATTACATTTTTCTCTAGCTAACGAAAGCTGCATACAAGTGGATGTCATCACCGAATATCACAGACGCTGATATTGCGCGTGGTAAAAGCGAACTGAAGGCTTCGATTCTTCATGCTTCTGATAACAGCATAAGCCAGCTTGAGAATTTGGCACAGCAGACCCTTTTCAAGGGGCGCATCATCTCTCCAGCTGGACTTGCAGCTGAAGTTGACAAAGTTAGTCCAGCTGATGTTAAGAAGGTAGATAAAAAATGGAACTTGGAATGAAAATATTAATTGGCTGCACTTTGACCAAATTTTCAATTATTTCAGGCCGCTGGAAAGCTCACTGGAAAAGTAGCGCTCGCAGCAATTGGTAACCTATCAACAGTACCCCATGTAGATCAGCTCAGTTAGATTTTGCAATCTAACATTCCGCCGTTAATAGTATCGAGCTAACTATTTATCAGAAATGTCAATAATGCATCACGTCATTTTCATGCGAGAAAGCGTTGACGGCATTTCGCGTCTGCAATTCATGTAATTGTGTACATAATAAGTAAATGAATAAAGAGATAAATAGTTGAATCGAAATATTAACTTCAGTTGACCCAAAGATTGGTGTAATAAAACTCGAAATTAATACTTCATTTACAATTTTGTTATTTATTTATTATAAAATTAATACAATTGAATCGCCTCTATCGAATAGAACTTGTTGAATCCTCTGGAAGATATTTTCAGTGGTTTCCCGTTTATTATCCGTTGGACCATTGGTCTCAGCTCTTCCATTTCTTTCAGTACCTGAAACTGCATAAGGAAAAACATAGATATCGAAGAGTCGTGTTATGGACCGTTATTATCAGTCTGATGTGTGAATTCTAGGAGAGATAACGAAATTTTCGTAATGATCTTGCTTGAAATGCAGCAAATAATTCATCATTAAACGTTAGCGGTCAGACTATCAGCTAAATATTGAGTCTAATATTAGGAGATTATCAAGTGCAGTGTAAAGAAAATTATCGAATTTAATATTGAGACATTCAACATTACGGTTCCATGTGATTTCATCACTGCGACATTTCATCCGCCGAGAATATTTAATCTGATTTTTTTTCTGGTGATTTGTCGGGCGGATGAAATGTCGCAGTGATGAAATTCCGTGAAATTAACTCACATGATCATCCAGGATGTCACTCAACCTCCCGAACATCCTCAGCACCTCAGGGTCCTTAGACAACAAATAATGCTGGTAATGAGAGTCCATAATCAGACTGCACCACTCGTAAAGCTGCTTATCATTGGCCTCGACACCCCCCTGCCCCCCTCCCTCGCAACCGAGTTTCTCTATGAAATACTCCATCAGGCTGAGCACCTCATCGAACATCAGACTAGCCTTCAAATGAGGCAGCAAGCAAATATCAGAAAAGCTGACACTGAATATTCTGTCCAAAAATTGATGCCTGGTGATGACACTTCCCTGCTTCCCCGAGGAGCCATTCTGCAGTGGAACAAAAGTCTCCTCCGGAGTTCTGATGCCGAACGCCAGCAGATCAATGAGCAGCTTCTCCGGGAGGTCCTTGAAATTATCCAAACACCAGACAATCGTCCTGACGTCTTTGCCCTCAATCAACTGAGGAATCAACTCCCTCTGAATAGTGGCATCACTGGCTCCCTCATTAACATAAACTGTGATCTGCTTGGCTATGTTTTTGGGCACCCCGACAATGGGAATTTTCTCAGGCAACTTGACTGACTCCTGCCAATCGGCAATGGTCGACTCCCTGATCTCCATGACATCGCAGTCGTCAGACTGATGGTGATCGCGCTGGAATCTCAGGGAGGAGCCGAGCATCGTCTCGATCCTCTGCGACGCCAGCCGATACGAGACAACAGCTAGATGTTGATTGGCAGCCAGCAGAAGCTTGTGATCCATCTGCCAGAGTTTGGCCCCCTTCGTGTAAAGTTTAAGTTTGTGGATTGCTTGGACGAGTTTGAACTGAATATTGTAGATTATGAGAACAGCCCCTTCCTCGTTGGCATCAGCTCCGTATATCGCTATTGTGGACTCGTTGAGGGCAGTCATTGCTGCAGGATGTTTGGGGCTGATCGAGGTGATGACGCTCACGAGAATCCCTGGGACGGGCTCTGAGCAGGCGCCTGTCAGGGGGTAGCTGTAGAGACGACCGTGGGACCACAGGGTCAGGAGGTACGCGTTGTTCTGGTTCTGGAGGATTACGTGACCGACCAGCTCCTCCGAGGGCCTCTTCAGCTCTATCCGCACGTCGTTGTCCCTGTTCCCGACGTACGTTTCGGCGTTCACCTCGCGCACCAGAAAATTGGAATGCTCGGCCGGTGGTTTTGGGGAGCAAAGAGCGCAGAAGTAAGTTTTGCTGTTGATGCGGAGGAGTCGGCAGTCCCAGAGTTCTTCGTTGGAGGGGTTGGGGGGGATCTTGCTGCTCCAGGCTTTGCGATTCTCGAGGGCCCAGGGGAGGGAAGCTGTTGCTCCGTCTCGTCGGACCAGGACTGGCGAGTCCTGCTCTGACGAGGGGACCACTAGGGCGCGAAAGGGAACGTCGAATTTGTATTTTTTCACCTTGTGCAAGTGCTTTTCGGGCTTCTCCCATAGGCGGAGGTATTTCTCGTTCAAGACCGCGACGTAGTGGCTGGTCTTGCGATCGTAGACCACTTGGGTCGTTAGCCATTCTTGGGAGGACCAACAACTCGCTTCTTTGAGGTCTTGGAGCTGGAAGATAGCGTGGAGTTGAGAGAAACTGAGGAAACGTTACTTCTTTCAAGGGAACCTTCTCTTGGGAGGAGAATTCGGTCGATTAGGAGCGGTTTGATAGCACAAGTTATTATTCAGTAGCGAAGCGGTAAACCGGGTTAAGTCGTTTTTTACTATTGGCTAGTTTTTGACGGATATCTCGGAATCTAAAAGAGATAGAAAGATTTTTGTCAGGACCTTTTTTGTAGAGCCAATAGAGCGTTATGAAAAAAGTTATGAGAAAAATTTTGCTATCTCTCTTAGATTCCGAGATATTCAGCGAAAACTGGCTGATAGTCAAAATCGACTTAACTCGGTTTACCGCTTCACTACTGTATTAGTTTCATGATTTTCGGGATTCCTCGGGTGTTCGGGGTTCAGCACTCCTTCGTGCTGCTATTTGAATCCTATCGGGGGCGAATTTTAAATGGAGGGAAGAACGCAATTGGCTGTTCATTCACTCCCAGTGGTTCAGATGAGATTTACAACTTGACAATGGTTTAATTAGTGTTTTTTCTAATTTGTGCATTGGCTAATTAAAACACTGTGAATCTCATCTCGTGAACCACTGGGAGGATAAATTCATCGAAACTCATTTTTTATTTTAGGAGGAAAGATAACAATTCATTATTTTTCGATTATGCGAAATTTGAAATTTTCTTAAGTAAAATAATTTGGAAAATAATTTATCAATGGAGTTCATTCATGATGATTGTGACAATCACTCCATCATTCAACGTGATTGTAATATTTAGGATTTGGACTACATGGGAATGACTGCCCTGGAGGAATACGCTTCTAAAAAAATTAATTCTTCTCCCAAGAAAATAATTCCCTGGCAAAAGTAATTTTTTTTCTTAGTTAGGGGTGATCCGTTAATTTATACAAAACAATTCCAAATTTTATGCATTTGATTTTACGTTTTTTTTTTACATTTTTGTTTTTTACGTATTTTTTTTTAAATCAAATTCTAATTCTAATGAACGATTAGAATTCCTCCCAGCATCACGATATTCTTAAATAAAATATGAGACTTTATCAACTATACAGAAAAAGTATAGCAATATAACAATAACTATTATTAGTAAATGAAAAATATTAATGAAGTGCTATCAAATTGATAAATATTATCATTTAATTTTTTGTACAGGGGAGTGGCATTCCAGTGAATCAATTGTTACATTTAATACGGAATGATTAATTCATTGACAATTTCTGTTGCTTTTGCTGAGAATGAAAACAGCAACAATGAGTCCATCAAAATAAACTAACCTTATATCTGTACACCATGTTCCTGCCCAAAGTAACGATTGCACATCCCGAGTCAGCATCTCTCTCGACGCCGAGTAAATTCTGTGGGTCGATCCCGGGACACAACGTATGATATGAACTGAATTTTGCCATTGTTTGGGTTTTTAATTTCTGTAAATATTGGTTAGAGTGTGAAATACAACGTGTGCCATGCCGCCCATGCCAGCAGCTGGGTAACGACAAGATTACCCGGTTGGTAAAGGAGATTGGGCGGCGCGGGAGCGCTAGCAGATTCAAAATTAGGGTGGTTTCCGGCCAATTCCCGCCACTACGGCACCCCTTCCGCAATTTTTTGACGTGGCGCCCCTTCAAAAGACTCGAAATAAATTTAAAAAATCCTCTTAAGGATATCCAAGCAGTTTAGGCAATTTTTTCTGGCGAAAATCCTCTTCAGAGTTGACGGAATAGACCAAGAGTATTTTTCAGGCGCAATATCAACTTTAGTTTCCCAACATTTTTTTGAGAAAACGATTTTAGAAAAATTTATATTCAACACATTGCGAACATGAGTAATTATAATTTATGGATGTGGCCATCCCTGCTTTTGCACAATTTTTCTTCACTTCATATTTTTAATTAATAATTCAGTAGTGAAGTGATCAATCGGTTTAAGGCGACTTAACTCTCAGTTCAGTTTTTGCTGAATAACTCGTAATTCAAGGAAGATAGGAAAATTTTTGTAAGATCTTCTTCGATAGTCTTCGCTTTCCTTTACAAAAAAGATATTGATGAAAATTTTGTCAAGTCCTTTAGAATTTGAGATATTCATCGAGAACTGGCGCTGGAATGGAATTAACTTTAACAGTTTAACCACTTCACTACTAAATTATTTGTGAATAATGTGTCCAATAATTTAATAATTAACGCTCACTTCACAAGAAGAGACATTGTGAGATTATGAGAAATCTCATTCTCCCAAAATATTCCGCGAAAAAACCCCTTTCCCTGGAAGATCGATAAACTTGTACACCCGCTCCGAGCCTCCGATTTATAACCCCCAGCCTGTTGGAAAATAAATTAGATGCCAATTTCATATTCAGTTCTCCCGAACTTCCCGAGACCTGCCTTCCACCGAAACTGACATCCACGCACATGCATGTCTCTCCTATGAACTCTTTCTTCTTCATTACCTCAACGTATTTCCGCGAAAAACGCTGAGGAGCAATTGAGTTGTCAAACGCAAGTGTTGGATTTCGTCAAGTTCTCGCATACGTATTGAGTGTATTTCCCCCCGAAATGTTGCGACTTGACGACTTCCCCCGCAGTGGATTTAGTGTACGAAGAGAACACGCGCAATATGGACTTTTGGGATCAGCCGTACTACAGCACAACGAAAACTCTGTCTTGTTTGATGGGACTGTGGCCGTATCAGTCTAGGAAAAAACTCATTATTCATCGTAGCGTAATTTTTTTTTTATTCACTATCCAAGTTATACCCGAGGTAGATTATCAACGCGTGATAAATTGTTCAATTCAGTAGAGAAGTGGTAAAACGGTTCAAGTCAACTCATCCCCCAGTTGAGTTATTGGGAATATCTCCGAATCCAAGGGAGATAGCGAAATTTTTGTAATAACTTTTTTTGTAGAGCGAAGTGAGAGCTGCAAAAGAGGTGGAAACGAAAATTTTGCTATCTGGCTTAGATTTTGAGATATTCGCTGAAAACTGCCCGATAGTCAAAATTGACGAAGCGTTTTACCACTTCGCTACTAAATTCATCCGTGAGCTTCTGTTCATTATACATGGCGATAGATTCTAGCCGTTTTCCATGACTCCAGCGATTTTAATATCATCATGGACTCGGTGGGAACGTTTATAATGGATGCAGGTTTTTTAATAAATGCATTCACTTATTTTTGGAATTTTAAAAAGGTAAGGCGCACGGTTCGTTGTTTCACGTGTCTGTGATTTACTCATGATGTGAGCTTGTTGTGGACATTTTTCAGATGAGAATTCTTCTCAATGATGTCGAAAAAAATTGGAAGATATTTCCGGAGAAGAAAGGGCAGCAGATACTGGAGAAATATGCCCGAGACGGTGGCAAATTAGCAATTCTTTACGCAGGTTTATTACATTATGATATCCTTTCTCATGAAAATTTAATTTTTGTGAAGGATATTAAATTTCGTTCTCACGTGGAACATAATGTCTTTCGACAGAGCTAATTATTTCAAGGGATGGGCGATGTTTCTGGAAAAACGTCGATTATCAACAAAATCTGCGTTTTCTCTCATTTTTAATAATTTTTTAAATATCGTTTTTATTGAAAATGTGTGTTTAAAAAATACTACCCGACCTGGAGAGTCAAATTATTAATCTCTAAACAGAGTTGTTGATTAATTAAAAAAATTATATTAACTATTCTTCGTGGATGGACGTTATTGCGATTGCGGATAATATATCATTTTTTTGATTGTCAATCAATCAATCAACATTATTGTTCGTTAAAAAAATGAAAAATGTTGTTAGCTTGCTCAAAAACATCGATGATTTGAATTAATCGACAATCACCGCCCACCCCTAATTATTTCTCTCGCAGTGTTTGATTCAGTAGCGAAGTGGTAAAACATTACAAGTCAATTTTGACTACTGACCAGTTTTCAATGAATATCTCGGAATCTAAAGGAGATAGCAAAATTTTTATCATAACCTTTTTTGTAGAGCCGATTGAGTGCTACAACAAATGTAATTACAAAAATTTCGCTATCTCCCTTAGATTCGGAAATATTCCCAAAAAACTCAACTGAGAGATGAGCCGACTTGAACCGTTTTACTACTGAATTATAATTCTGGTTATTTCAGTCGGAATCTGCGCATCTGGAATTTTTTTTACAACCGAACCACTACAGTGGAGACTGCTCAACGCCCTGTTGAATGCCAATTTCAATGTGCCATTGTTCTGCACTCCAATGGAATACCCGATAATTGATGTTGAAAAATATTACTATGGTCTTCTATTCGTACAGGAGATTTCCGTAGCTGTTGTCATCAGCATGGTCGTCGTTTATGATTTGCTATTCTTCCTCTTCTCCCAACATGTCTGCGGATTATTCGCTGCGTTGGGGTGAATATCGTTATTCGAAAGCCACAGAAACCGAGTATATTGCGCATTAATTTTTAAATTATAATGAACATTATTTTTATAAGCTATGCAATCGAGCATTTGCCAGTTGACAGACCCTTGGGATCCGACGACAGGGGATTTCGATATGTCAAACGTTGCATTCAGATCCACAATCGCGCGATAAGGTGAGCAGACCCATCGGCATTCGTGGAAAAATGAGAGATTATTTATAGGAGAGCTCTTTCTTTTCAGTAAATTGTTGCTAATCTTACAGATTTTCACATTTACTTGAAGACATTGTCGTTTGGAACTTCTTCCTCATGATGGGACTGAATATGATAATCATGAGCTTAACCGCGGTTCAGGTAGAACTGGGTGATGATAAAAATAAATAATTTCACAAGATAAATAATTAATTAACCCTAGTCTGGTCTCCAGACGCGACCCGGCGATTCTGGTCACCTCCGCGGGGATTCCCCGCCGTGTTATTCAGGCTCTGGCGTTGCCGAATTCACTCTACACTGATCGGGCGCGCTTAGCGAGTTGCCGGCAACGTCGCGTCGTGGGCGAGTCCATTTAACACGGGAAAAATAGTTTATCTGTTCGAAATAATTTGTTTTCTTTAGGAATTTTGGAAAATATGCTGCTCGAAAACTACCATAATTTTTTAGACGCTTCAATTGACAAAGTTAAATTTTTTTTAATTTTTCCGGTTAGCGAGTCAATTCTAATTAAGGACGTCGATCCAAAATCCCAAGTATTAAAAAAAATTGATTTTTTTCAACTGAGAGATGAAGTCATTCCCTTTCTTTTGATAAAAATTTCAATCCACCAACGCACATAGTTTTGCACATTACCTTCTATTTTTATTTCTATTTTTAGAGTGTTATAGTAGATGAATTATAAATTTCAACATAAATCCCGTAAGAGCCCGCGTGTAAGGAAAAATTTGTTTATTTATTTCTGGCGAGACTATTGCGATTAATTTTTTGAACATCAAAGAAGTGAGTTTCATACGTTCTGCTATCGGCGAAAAAAAATTATAGAGTTTTCATTGAACATGTAAATGAGATTTGCTGAAAATGGCTAAACGTCCTTAAAAAAAAACGCGTGGCGGGGTTTCCCTCATAGGGCGACCAATCTAGGGTTGAACAATATTTGAGGAAATTAACAATTCCCTTGAATTCACATCAGGTGGTAAGCAACATGAACGCCATAGGGAGACTCCTGAAGAATTGTGTCTTCGTGATTTCGCAATTGGTACATCTCTTCATAACGTGCTTCATGTGTCAGAGAATCATGGATCATAGCTCGGATATGCAAACGAAAATGTAGAAAGCCGATTTTATCGATTTATTGATGTCTTTGGAAAATTATATAATTCAACAATTTGCCTCCATCTAGAGCCAATTCACGGTGGTGTCTTAGTACAGTGAAGACCCAGCAGTTGATTAAATTGATGATACTAAGGAGCCAAATTCCGAATCAACTGACAGCGGGGAAAATCGCGGTCATGTCGCTGGAAACGTTCACAGTGGTGAGATGCCTGTAGAATTTCCTCGGTTCAAATTTTCTGAAATTTTGTTCAATTTTTTTGATGAGAAGAAAAGAAAAATAGAATTAAAAAACTTGGAAAATTGGGTCGAGGAAATTCTATAGAAAATATCTGAAGCGAATGAGTTATACAGAAAAATCGAATTGTGTTGATTCTCTATTGACTATGTCAATAGAATCGACCAAAAACTAATGAAAGGTTCAACAGAAATTCAATAGAATTTTTTAACGAATTCGCTAGGTTTTTCTACTAAATTTTTTTTTGTCAAGATTTTCATTGACGAATGACATTTCAGATCGTGAAAACATCAGCGTCTTACTTTACCGTATTTCTGGCCATGCAATAAATGTGGAAGAAGACTGGATGAGGAGTGAATTAAAATATTTCAATTATTTTACTGAGCGCTTCATTATCACCCGCAATTTAAACGTCCATTTCATTTTTACAGACTTGTGCGAAAATTGACAATAAATATTACGAGTACATGGGTGTCAAAAAAAGATAGAACTCCTTACTCACGTCCCATTTTTTTTCAGCAATTATTTTAATAATAACAATGTTAACAGTAATTTTTCTCCATTATTTTTCATTACCACAGCAGACGATAAAAATTCTAGTGCTGTTGAGATAAAATTTCTAGGGATTTCTGATGGAAAAATTCTCGTGCCGGCATGACAATTTTTAACAATTATATAATTCGGGTATTCAATTAAATTAATTGAGTTCAACAGGGCGCGGCAAGCGCATTTCTCTTCCCGAGCGGTGAAAAAGCTCTCATGAAGTTATAGAAGTGAAAATCGGTGAATATTCTATCTCAGCCTTTACGTCTAGGCTGCGATTACAAGGGGTGTGAAATCCCCTCGCGAAATGAGAGAAAAAAAGTCGAAGCACGTGAGAATTTTCCACTCACTGTTGCCGCTCACCCGTGCCGAACCCATCAATAATTACACGATTCTGAAATATTGATGAGACCTCCGACGAACTGACACTTCTTGCGGCTGAAATCTACGCATGTACGGGCAGCCCTGCAACTCTTTTTCTCCGTTCCCTTTCGCGAAATGTGGCGGCATATTCCGCTGAGCAATTTACCTGTCATTCGACTCTGTGATTTTTTTTCTCTCAGGAAGAATATCGAATCTATACGTATTACAAGGGTGTACGAGGTGGACTTTGAGGTACACCAGACTTTAATTATCGCGAGGATCTTGCCACCCGATTTTGCAACTTAGGGACAAAATATTTCTCGATAAACTCCTCTCTATAAAATACATTTTTGTCCTGAAAAGGTGCCGTGTTGTATGAATAATCCGCCTCAAACACTTATTTTTGTCGGTCCATACAAGACTTGTTTGAGAACTTGTTCGTTTCTCTCTCAGCGAAGCGAGGAGCAAAACGATTTACCTCGATTTTCACTATTGGTCAGTTTTCTGTGAATATCTCTGGATCCAAGGCAGATAGCAAATTTTTTGTCATAACTTTTTTTATAGGGCGGATCAAGGTCTACAAAAAAGGTCATTACCGAAATTTCTCTATCTCCCTTAGATTGGGAGATATTCCGCGAAAACTCAGCTAAGAAATTAGTAACTTGACTTTTTTTGCCGATTCGCTACTGAAATTCGAAGGGAAGTGCACGCGAACAATGGAATTCTGGAATCGGCGTCACTACAGCTGCCTAAAAGTTTTGTCATGCTCACTTGGGCTGTGGCCGTATCAGTCCCCGAGGGAGATTTTGATTTATCGAACGATTGCTGTCGTCTTTTTTACCCTTCAGACCATCCCCCAGGTGAGTTTTCCGCACTTGTGAGGAACAAATATTGAAATTTTTTACGTAAAGTCACATCCCAGAGTTCTCGAGGAAGATATCCTGACATTGTCAAATCGCTAACTCCAACGACATTTTTTTATCTTTCCAGATATTAGCACTCAAAAGTTATTACCGTGACTTTCAACTTGTCATGGAGTCTATGACTTATTTCATGATCGAAATTACATTTGTAGTGAACTTTGTCACATATTTCTTCCAATTCAATAAGATAAGTAATGTGAATCACCAGTATCGACATCACAAAGTTCTTCAAAATTGTTGAAAATGATTTATCAAATTCACAGAACGAAAAAATTGGTGAATTGATGAATTAATTAACAGAATGTTATTTGAATGAATTTCGTTTATAGATGAGAAACATGCTGGATAGGATTAGGGAAGATTGGGAGATATTCACGGAAGACAATGGACTGGGAATACTTCATACTTATGCCAGTCAGGGGCAGAAATTTTCACTTTTGTATGCAGGTGAATTTGATAAATGGAGAGTTCATTTTTCCTCAAATTCAAGATATTTTACCGACCGAAGCACTCATTTTTATATTATCCCCTGTTTCCGTAGCGAAGTGGTAAAAGGAGATAAGTCAATTTTGACTATTGACCAGTTTTCAATCAATATCTCGCAATCTAAGGGAGATAAAAAAAAATTTATTATAACCTTTTTTGTGGGGCCGATTGAGTGCTACAACAAATGACGTTACGAAAATTTCGCTATCTCCCTTAGATTCAGAGATCTTGATTGAAAACTGGTCAATAGTCAAAATTGACTTATCTCCGTTTACCACTTCGCTCCTGATTTCATTACCAGTGACCTTTCCTTTTAAAATTATAGTTGAAGGTTCAGTTTTTCAATTATTAAATTGAATAGACTTTATTTCTCGTGACGTTACAAAGGGTACTTTTGCATTATTTACATTTCTTACATTTCTAGTTTTTCAATTATTTTTTCCCCTCTTTCGCGTTAAAGCGAATTTAATGTCAAATAAATCTCGATTTTGGTAATTTCTTCCTTGAAGAATTTGAAGGACTTTTGAGTAGACCCTCAAGCTTTCAATTAATTAATTAATTAATTGAGGACATCGCCCCAAGAACACCTGGTTGACCGAATAGTAGCCGGGGGATGATATAGAAACGAATTGTTCTTCTTTCCACGATTTTTGTGCATAAATGCTCTCATAATATTTTACGTCCTCAGGCAGTCTTTACGTCTCTGGCATGTTCACCACCCTGAAGCCTCTGCAACTGAGGCTAATGAATGTACTTTTCAAATCTAACATCAGTGTTCCGAAATTCTTCATGCCGATGGACTACCCCATGATAAATGTTGATAAATATTACTACGGCCTTCTGTGCCTCACGGAAATGTCGGTCAGCGTCATTGTGGTGATGGTTCTCGCATACGATTTGTTCTTTTTCCTCTGCGCGCAACATATTTGCGGACTATTCGCTGCACTAGGGTAATTCTCGCTTCATCAATGCGCGCTGACTGCGCTGAGAGAAACAATTAGCTCAGCAGATTTACTCGAGGGAAATTAACTTGACAGAAGGAAATTTAGTACATTTCGCAGAACAGGGATAGCCATATCCATAAATTACAATTACCGTAAATTTATTAAGTTGTCAATTCGTTAATATCACTCTTGAATTTAAGTTATTGAAGTAATCATCAACTCAAACATTCAAATCCCGATTTATTTATTAATAATTCAATTAGGAAACCATTAAAATACTATAATAATAATATTGGTAATTTAATTTCCAGTTCCGCATTATTAAATAGTTAATTCATGATCAATTGGAAATTTAGGTTATCAATTACGAGTATTTTTTTCCCAAAAAAATTGTCTCGAAATTATTTAGTTTTGTCAATACTATAATTTTCGACAGAACAAATTTTTTCTCTCAGTGCGACAACAGGAATTAAATTATTTTCATAATCACTGTGTTTCAAGTGCTGCTATTGAAAAGGTCCCGACGGATTCTGAGCTGACGGTCGACGGGGCATACGATTATCTCAAGAGCTGCGTAATAATTCATAAACGCACACTTGAGTATGGAATGACAAAAGTTATCAGTGAATCTGCACTTATTTCCTGTCAAATGACTTTTCAATTCCACCAATTTCCGTAAACTGATGTTCACTATTACCGAATGGTTCACTTGAATGCATTCGTTAACGAATAGACTCCAGCCACCAACCAAATTGAGAAAATTTATTAACGACAACTAATCCTTTCTATCAGCGTAGATTTGCAAAATTACTGGACGAAATTCTTCGTTGGAACACTCTCATTCTATTAGGATTGACCATGATAGATATGAGTATGATTGAATTACAGGTGAGACGACAATACATAATAAGTTCTCGAGTGCTGATGCCAGTTGACTAAATTTTATTTCGCCAGCTAGTGCTCCATTTGGACGATATTGGAGAAATTCTGAAGAACCTCGTCTTCATCGCAGCCGTAATGACGCGTTTCCTCATCGTATGCTTCGTCGCTCAGCGGGTGACGGATCACAGCATTGATTTCCAGAAGAATTTGTACGATGAAACCTTCAAACATTATTCCATTTCAGTAGCGAAGGGGTAAACCGATTCACGTCGACTTGGCTCTGAGTTGAGTTTTCGAGGAATATCTCCGAATCTAAGGGGAACAGCGAAATTTTCGTGACTACATTTTTTGTAGCTTTCGATTCGCTCTACAAAGAAGGTTTTTACAAAAATTTTGCCATCTGGCTTCGATTTCGAGATAATCACAGAAAACTGACTGCTAATAATCGAAGTTGACTTGAATTGTTTTATCGCTTCGCTAGTGACTTTTCTCCTTAAATGGTGGGTGTCCTTCGTTTCAGGATACATTCGCGATGGTGCGAAATCTCCCTGAAGTCCCAGCAGTTGATCAAATTCGTCATAATGAGGAGCCAAATACCGTGTCACTTGACCGCCGGTAAACTCCTGGTTATGTCGTTCGAGTTATTTACAGTAGTGAGTACTTTTCGGCCTCGAATACGAGAGAAATGCTTTGTTCTTCGAGTCATTAATTAATATTTGCAGGTTGTAAAGACATCGGGATCGTACTTCACAATGCTGCTGGCCATGCAATCGAATTGAAATTATCAATCGTCTTACTGTGTTTACCATCAATATTCTTTAAATTATTTGTTGTGATTTTACCTCTGATGAAATTCACTGGTGTAATTTATGTGATAACTCTTCGTTCTTTCTTTTCGCAATTTTTACTGAATATGTCTCTCCGTGTACTTATTGCTGCACTGAAATTTTCTCGCTCTCCACTCCCATCAGAAAAAATTGTTTTTTGACGGATGGCAAACGTGGAAATGAAGTGGAATAGCCCTCGTGAAGTTACAGAAGTATAAACGCTTCAATTACGAGACGGGAAAACCCCGCAATGTTGAGAAAAGGGGGATGTGAGTGAAATTTCCTCCCCAGTAAGTGCGCTATTATAAATTAATAATAAAGCTTCGGACGGACTGAGAGACAGCGGCTGAACTCGACGCACGTGTGCCATAAAACTCTTTTCTCCCCTCCCTTCGTACAATTTCAGTTCCGACTCACATTTTTTATTGAATTTTACTTCGCTCTTCTATTTATTTTTACATTTTTTTCTGATAATTTTTACACGGAGAGAAATGTTCAGTGAAAATTACGGAACTCACAGTTCACTCACCGATTACGGAATCCCCTCAGACAATTTAAGTGACGGTATCGTAATTTTTCACAGGAGATTCGGCTAAAAATTACGGACCGCTCTGAAAAAATTCCGTGGAAGTTCCGTAAAATTCCCTACAACCACATTTCGCTCCGTAATTACGGAAAAGATACGTAATTTTCATTGAATATTTCTCTCTGTGTATTGAATTGTCCTCTCGGTGTGTCAGTTTTCCGAAAATCTAGTGATTAAGTGTTTACTTTAGAATCCCCCGAGGCGACAGGCGGTCTCCGACTCCACCATATTTATACAAAAAATATAATTTCCCGTTGTGCGCCGGGAAAACCACCACGTAAGTGAGACACACCAGGTCTCCAAAAAGTCACGACAATGATCCCATTATATGAACACACACATGGGGCGTCCTCCGATCCAAATCAATTTTCGCTAAATGCCCGTTAAATTCAGTGGGGAGTGCAGATGTTTTTTTTTCAAACTGACTTGAGGGTCGCAGCCTCAAGACTGGCGGGGGCCCACCCAAGCGAGATTTCTCAATTTCGTCCCATCCACGCGTCACAAATCTTCTTCACGGAGCGAGTCAAACCCCAAAAATCTTCAACCTATCAATGCAAGACCGAGCGTTTTTTCGTGACAATGGTTGGGAAACCCCGAGAGGGACGTGATGCCCCGGATATAGTTGTCCATGCGGCTCCTGGCATTCTATTGTGCTCAGGCCTACATGGAGGGACGCTTCCTTGCTTTCGGGAAAACCTTTGAATATTTGACGAATGAAAGGAGGAAAATACGCCGAGGACTGGCATATGGGTCGGCAGGGAGTGTAAAAGGGAATTAAATCGGGAATTTGGAAATTGGATTTAATGTGCATCAATAGGCGGTTGGAACATGGCATTTATTCGCTGAACACAACATTGTGCAGCACGATGATGGCTTCGTCAATAGTATGTATTCATTTATTCATTAAGAAGGAGATAATGTCCGCTTTTATTATGTTTAGTTTTGATAGAAAAATTGAGGAATGATCTCTAAACATCTTCACGATAAAAAATCCACGTTGTGAGGCTTGCAACGTGATTGTTATAATTATTCTCCATATTTTACACATTACCAAGTGTTTTTTTCCCTAAAGTAGCTCTGCCCTTCGGCCGGGCCACGCTGTACTTTTGAATATTTTCAGTTTTTTAATTTTTCAAGTAAATTGCACGGAAAAAATTTGAAAAAATTCATACCCAGTCAGTATTATCTAAATTAAATTTCGCAAAATATTGATATTTTTTCAAACATTTCCCTCTTATAAATAAATAATAAGACTTGTTTGCAAAACGGTGGATTATTTTTTATGAGACGTCAAAAAAATTCTTTTAGATTTTAATTTTTGATTACAATGGAAATGTTAATTTTCTTGGAATTTATCGTAAGGGTAGAGCTACTTAAAATGATAACGCCTTCGATCTCGTTTTGAAAAAAGTGATTGTCTTTCCTCTGGATGATTCATTTATGAAAGAAATGTCAGCGTAAAAAATAATGGCCTCCAAAAATCCCTGAAAATTCCTCTATCCTCTATCTATCCGGTCATGACAGCCAGTGACATTTCGTGTATGTCATATCTATCCCAGTGAGATTCCGCTGGCAGGGCGACCTATCAGTTTTGAAAAAGATAGCTGGAGCAGTGGAGCCTTGAAACCCTCGCAGCGGGTATCTTCGGTGGGGAAAGAATTTTTCGGCTTGCCGGGCCCTGCCGCCACCGAGGCTGCTCTCAGGACCCACGCTGGGAGAATAGTGGGGGCATAATGTATATAGCTCTAGGGTTGGTCCCTCGGGGTCGACAGTTCTCTTCGACTTCTCATCCCACACGCTTGTGCTTCTATTTTTTACGTACCGCGTGTTCGCTATTTACGCTGGATAATCGACAATATGTGATTGTGATAGGTTGAAGCGAGGTTCATTGGTACATCTCGAATTATGGACGTGCGGAGGACAGTGTTGTTGTTGTTTGTAATAATAGGTGAGTCAAAATAATAATTATAAATTTATTGTTGAAAAATCGGGGGATCGTTGCACTGAGATTTTCTGTCGTGTTGAACCAATTGAGGATATCCAAGTCACTTTGTGATTGAAAGTAATTAAAATTCATTTTTGCACAAAATTATTATTTTTTAAAAATATTCGTTCGGCATAAAATCGATTTCTGATGAAATTATGAATCTAAATATTTTTTTTACGATTCCGAACAAATGATTTTTATTGGGGAAAATTGATTGTTTGTAAATTATTTATTGAAAATGCTCGTGATTTTCAAAAATTGCTATTTTTTAATTATTTCATCGATTTTTCTCCAAAAATAAACTTGGGAATTTTTTTCAAATTTTTAAAATGCAACGTTTCAATAATAAAATAGAATAAAAAGAGACTGAGTGTTAAAACTTGTTTAAACTTTCGGAAACCTTATTTTTTTAATTATGAAATCGATTTCTAATCAAATTATGAATATGAATAATTTTTTTACGATTCCGAACAAACGATTTTTATTGGGGAAAATTGATTGTTTGTAAAATATTTATTGAAAATGCTCGTGATTTTTAAAAATTGCAAATTTGGAATTATTTCATCAATCTTTCTCCAAAAGTTCACATACTTTTCTCGCAGATCTAATTTTTTCAGTCAGTGTGCCAGTCTTTATTTTTCCACCGAAAATTGATTTCTCCCTTTTTTTCAAATTTCCAAAATATAAATTTGAGCCGGCGACTCTCCTAAAAAATTCCACATAGCATCACGCACCCGAAGGCTCCCGTTCAGGTATGAATACCAATTGAAACGATAGCGAGCGAGTATAAAGAGTTTGATGATCGCAGATATCAGAGGGATGCTAGTGTGTAATCGAGTGTCAACGTTCCCATCAGAATGGAATATTTAATTTTTCCGTTGCCCCCACCCACAATTTCGCCCGGCGCGCTCGAGTGCATAATGATGTAGAAACCCTCGAGTTGAAGGAGAAAACGAGCGACAGGAGAATTTAAAAAAAACGTGCGCGCCTGTTTTCAATCGTCAAGAGTAATTTCAAACGGCAGAGCTAAAGTTTTTGACGATTCCCCTGTCGATGCTGTCCCTATAGTAATCCTAGACGACCAACCGGCGCTCGATCAACCCCCAAATACTGTTTTCCGTACAATAATACGCGCGCACACGTGCACCCCTGAGCGGCATGAGGGGAGCACATCCTGCGGGGGCTTTCACAATTTTCCCAAAATCTGTCGGAGTAGATGGTGTTATGGTCCTCCACCAGTCACCCTATTTATAATGGTTAACCAACCGCTCCCATTCATTATCGCCCCCTTTTTTGTCGTAATGTGATAATCCCACGAATGTCAGATGTTTCCTGCTGAGATTTGGCTAGATTTTTTGGTCATTTCAGCAATTTTGCGTTTTGCGGATGTCGACAGTGGCTCTCTCAACAAATAAATAAATTTATTCAGTTGAAAAAATTTTTTTTTTCTTGTATTGTTGAATAAATTTGGCAGATTTTTCTGGAAAAAAAATTGAATTCGGAGAAAATGAATATTCACGGCCAAATTTCCCTAAATTTTCAGGGAATTCCTTTGAAATTCTTGGAATTTCAGGAATTTTTTAAGGAATTCTCGGACAATTCAGGGGAATCGGGAATTCAACGACAGATTTCTCTGAATTTTCCGGATTTTTGATTAATTTTCCGGGAATAATTGCACTAAAATTTACCGGAAGTTTCATTTTTTTATTCACTTTCATGGAAAAATGAAACTGAAATTTCCTGAATTTCAGTTCTTTGATTTTTCCACGAAATTCTGAATTCGCAATTCCGAAATTCCTTGAAATTTCCGTGATAATTAAATTCGCCAAAATTCCCAAAAAACGTCCCTCAAATTTCAGCCAAAAATTTTCAGCATTTAAAAAGAAGTGTTCGCGACTGAAAAATCACCGATGCAATTGCCAATTGAAATGGGATTCACATGACGGCGTATCCTCTCCTTGAAAAAGGCATTCCTCAATATAGTTCTTTGATTTTTCCACGAAATTCTGAATTCGCAATTTCGAAATTCCTTGAAATTTCAGTAATAATTAAATTCGCCAAAATTCCCAAAAAACGTCCCTCAAATTTCAGCCAAAAATTTTCAACATTTAAAAAGAAGTGTTCGCGACTGAAAAATCACCGATGCAATTGCCAATTGAAATGGGATTCACATCACGGCGTATCCTCTCCTTGAAAAAGGCATTCCTCAATATTCATCTCGTCACCCCGGCCATTCCCCGGTGTTTTATTCCCCACCCGAGGCGGTGAAGGGTTCGCCGAGGGCCCCATGAAACGACAAAACTCGGAAAAAAGGGAAATAGCAGGTATTTCCTGATTTTGAGCCGTGAAATATCCGAAAACTCCGGTCTCCCGCGTGGGATAAGGATCGGAGCTTGTCACCTGGGTCCTCGCCGCAGGGTATTCACTCTTCCTCTTTTTCGCCTGTTATTTTTTGTGTTTTCCGTTCCGTCTTCCTCGAGCGCGAGCACAGATTCAGGTAGTAGCAGGGGGTTGAATCCACAGGGTGAAACGTAGATAATCCAATATACGTGGGTATTTATCTTTCGGAATCTGTCAGGCCCTAAATCTACGGTCCCAGCCAGCGGGTGGGCCCTCCTCTCTTCCATCTCACTCGGGGATAGGCCTACCTGCTCCGGGGATATCTCTCTCCGGCGCGTTGTTCTCTCGCTCGGCCGTGCAGAAGGAGAGCACTGGACTCCCGTGGACAAACCGCCCGGATGGACGAGATACGTATAGGGAAAATTTTGTACACGGAAGATATGACACGAATTTATCGCTCAGCATCTAAACACTGGCCTGTGCGACCAAGAAACGCTTTAGTTTTTTCCTTTCTCCGGGTGTATCAGAGCGATACAATCGAATTGTTGGGAACGTGAAAGGGCGATATTCGGGTAAATGACCTGTGGAATTAATTTCTTGACGTTTTTTTGTAAAGAAAACTCCTTTATTTAGGGTTTATTATTCTATATTTGATAAAGTGATTGCAGTTGGGTTTGCTTTATTTTTCTTACACATTTGGCTCACATTTTTTTACGAATACAAAATTAGGGAAATGTTGGGCAAAAATTAAGTTGAAAAACGCGGCACAATTTACTGTGGGGTTGGTAATTGTGGAGGGAAATGTCGCGTATGAAAAAATTATTATATTCGATGAGAAAAAAATGAATTTCGAATTTCTGTTCTCAGTTTTCTCTCGAAACTTTTTCCGCTCGGATTCTGTAATGCGGAAAAAACTCGGAAAATTTGAGTTTCATAATTCTGATAGAAAAAAACACATTGAATTTTTCCTATCAATTTTTCAATGGAATTCCGATAGAATTTTCTAACGCATGCGCGATAATTCACTGGAAAAAAACTCCAGAAAATCGAGTTCCCTCTACAATTACTCGACTCTTTCCGCAATTATCCCCAAATTTTTTCTCAGATTTTCTCGCAGATGAACTTGAATAATTTTCGGAAATGTTTCCTTTTTTTTTCTTCAGGCGCCTGTCACAGTCGTGGAATTTGGGGCACCGACTGGACCGACACAACGGGCAGTCAGTGCGATAACGCAATCAGAGAGACAATCCAGGAGGACAGAGCGACCATCGTCGACGATACGCCAGACAGACTCCATTCTACTTGGCTATCTCAAGAGTGAGTCCCTTCCGTCCCCTTATCTTCCTCTTCTTTTTTTCCTCTTTCCCTTCCTCAGCAGTTGCCGCCGCGCACTTTTCTCGCCCCCTCATTACGAACACATGGCGTGAATTCGGGGAATCGTTATAGTTTTTCGAGTTCTCATTGGTTTTAATGGGGGACCCTAACCGGATGATAAAATACTTTACGGTAGTCGAATATTCAGAGATGGTTAGGGATTTGGCTCTCATTTATCAGAGTCTGAATTGAGAGTCGCGTAGAAATGTCAGTCATCTCAATTCGGATGAACGATTTTTCCTAAAAGCCTCATGAGCGTCAGTGGATTCTATTCACTGTAAAAAATGAGTGAAGAATCGATCGACCAATCTGCCATTCAGATCTGTAGATATTCCGATTAAATTCATTTTTGGCTGTGGAAATTTTCGGTCTCGCATTGTCCTTCACTCTGTGGAGCCAAATCGACGGTCTCGGGAGATGCATTGTCACGAAATGGTGACACTGGTGCGAAGGACGGGACTCGTCTTTCAGTTGTCCCAGAGCAACACCAGACGCCCTGCACTATTGTCCGATTATTTACGAGTGTTACCAAGGTTTCCGCTGGCGTGAAAAATTTTCTCCTCTCAATTCTGGGAAAAATGGGAGCTTTGAATTTTGGGTTTTGCAAGGGCCCTTTCAAGGAGACTCGACAGACTCTTTGACATGTGGGGAACGAATCGTTGTATCGGGCGTTAATGACTGATCCCGAGTAAAAGAGAGATCGGAAAAAGGTGGAGAGAGAACTTCTCAGTTCGTTCGGAATAACTTTTTCATTATTTATCCATTTTCCGTAAGTTATTTGAGGGTTTTTTGGAGTCTTCATTTCAAGTTTTGAACAGTATTTTGGGTAATGTTTACAATTAGGGATTTTTATTTAATATTTTTAGGAACGTTATTTCTATCGGAGATTGTGGGTATTATTTAAAGTATTTAGATATTATTTTAAATATTATTTCAAAGTTCTTGTACACTGAGAGACAAACAAACACGTTGTCAAACAAGTCTTGTTTCGGTGGTAACGGTTGGTAAATTTTACCCTACTGTTACAGTAATTTTTACTCTACCGGCACGGTAATTTTTATTTTTATCAGGATAAAATTTCTCTAACGTAGAATAAAATTTGATATTAATTTTTACTAAATTTCGGGATAGAAATGAGGTAGCGATGACTCGCGATACACTTTTATAGAACGGTTGGATAATTTTTGTCAAAAATTTCTCTCCGTGTACTAAATCTATTTTTGCGACAAAAATTTTTCATTCCGGCGCACTCTCCACATGTTTGGCCCAAAAAAATCCTTTTTTGATAATTTTCAAAAAACTATTTTCTTGGTACAAGTAAGACTTGCTTGAGAACTTTGTCGTTTTTCTCTCAGTGTACCTATCGAGCTCCGCCGTCCCTCATCCCGCAAACCATCCTTGACTTCAGTTTTGAAGCTTCCAAGGTACTCCAAACTATTGGGATTATGGCGATAAATGAAAACACTCGTGATTGACTATTTGAATTTAACTGGTTTTATTAATGAGGGCACGTCTTTACTCTTCAAAGCTCTCCGAGAGACTGATTCGACACAAAGAAATTGGTGACGAACTCTGGTCAAAAATCTGATCCATAAAGAGGCATTCATCCCACTCCTCCACTCTACTGAGACTAAACAAAATTCTTATAAACACTCTGACTCCGGTGTTATTAAACATACAATCCATACCAAGAAAAATGAACTCATTAGAGACTTTTTTGCCTTCATCTACGTCTCACTCATAATAATTCCAACACAAACCTCATCATAATTTACGAGAATGCTCGAGGTTCCCTCCGTCCATTTACCTCGCTCAACATTCTGTGCTACCTCACCCCCAACAACTCAATTTTCGCCAGATCCAAAGGCCCCGAAAGCCGCGCAATCCCCCGGAAAAAAATTTCACCCTCGATTGCACTCCTCCCTTCCCCAATGTTGTTTTAGGATCACTGCCTTATTTACAAAAAATAATAACTCTCCCTCTTCCCGGCAGATGCGAGGTGAGGGCGGGTCCTGAATACGTCATCAGGAAATACACATTTTTCGAGAATGGCACATATTTACTCATTAGGCATCACTATGCCGAGGAGTCTTGCAGCGTGGCGACACACACTGTTGTGGCAAGGGGGGTCATTCGAATCCTGTCATCATCTGGATTAGCTCCTGGTGCTGCGGAAGCCAGTTACCAGCTGGAGCGCGTTCACATTGTGCCCCTCACACGACAGGTCTGTAAAAATGTTTTGAAATGTTTTCTTTTTGAACCCGACGACAATCTATCACAACAAAAAATGCGTAAGGGTCATCACTGGAAGAGAAAAAAAATAAAGACGCGGCCTAAAAAACTTTAAAAAAATACTTCATTTCATTCTGAATAATAACGATAACTATAAGGATATCAATATTTTTTTTACTAATAGGTTGCCCACAAATTTGCCCACCGTGTGAACGTAACTTGCACACCGCAGCCCCGTTGGCGGCCCTACGTACCACAAATAATCTACGAACAGCCGCCGAAGCGTATGTCAAAATTCAATTGGGAAGGTCCTACATTCAATTCCTTTCAGCGTCCAATTCCCTCGAGAAAACATGGGGTTCTCAATTGTTTGGAGGCCTTGGGCATTGATTTCAATGAGTTGCGTCTTGTGAGGGTTCAAAAGAAGCCCTCAACATCGACAGCATTTGGATTGGGCTCCAATGGGGAGCCGAAAGTAGAGCTCTTCCTGGGGAGTTTACCGCCAAATATTTATCTCAGAAAGTCGCATAGATCTACGTCGCTCCAGCCCACTGCACTTCTCCGAGCTGACACGGTGAGGATTGAAAATTATTTGCAAATTCGAAAATGTATTCTTTGTTTTTTGCAGTTTATTGTGTATTTTTATTAACAATTGAGAAAAAATTACAAGTGGACTCTTTTGTTCCTCAGAAATTTATCGCTTTTTTTATATCTCTGAGGGCCGTATAATCTTTGAGTCGTCTACGCGACGAGAGAAATATTCAGGAAAAATGACGGGACAATTCACGTAATCCATAATGGGGAATCGTTTTCCGGCAATTTTTATAGGAACAAATCGTAGAATTTACGTGGCGATTCGTACAATTTCAGTTCCGACTCACACTTTTTTCTGAATTTTACTTCGCTCGCGGATTACCTTTCGAAACGTATTTTTTACGTTTTTTTCTGGTAATTTTTATTTAATTCTTCATTTTGGCAGAGTAAGAATGACTTAAAGTGAATGAAGTAAAGATGAATTTAATATATAAACCGGAATTGCCCGTACACAGCACGACCCTACCAAACACTTCAGTCACCCTCAAACGATTCCACTTCCGTAGCGAAGCCCTCACCCAAGTTTTTCAGGAATATCTCCGAATCTACGGGAGATACCGAAATTTTTGTAATGACCTTTTTTGCAGCGCGAATTCAGCCCTACAGAAAAGGTGATATCAAAAATTGTGCCATCTCCCTTCGATTCTGAGATATTCATCGAAAATACGCGAATCCCCGAGGTGCCGACCGAATGCAGCCCTAAATCCCCGTTTTTTTTCTGTTATCCTCCTAGATAAAAGGCTGTTTAGTCTGCAGCGCAATATCCCGCGGCACCGAGAACAGTCCTCCGCTTCTTCACGAAGTGGCAGCCCTGCCAGCCCTTCTCGGTGGCTCGTGGATCTCCTCCAACTGCGAGAGTTGCGAGGGCGGCCTGTGGATAAAGCGCCAGCTCACCGTTTTCTCCGGCGATCTGCTGTGGACCGGCCGTTGGGAGTACTACACCGACCCCAAGTGCACGAAATTCATTTACGCCGTGACAGCAGCCGGAAGCTACGTCCAACGCGCCGGGCGCCTGCGCCGTCACGAGCTCAGCGAGCGGGACTTCATCGAGCCGAAAGAGACTGTCTTCAGTTACCCAATTGAAGAGATTCTCAATTCTGAGCCGACAGATTCAGATTCAAAAACGGAAAATACGAAGAGATTCAAAAGAAATGCCGACCAACTTCAGCCGAAGAACTTCCAGATGAAGAAAAGGGATTTTTCTCCGTGGATTAAGCCGGAAATGGCGAAGAAGCTGTTGGACATTTACGAGGAGGACCGAAGCCTCAGCGCGGCCATGATACCGAGAATAAACTTCGAGGAAGCCGTCGTCGAGCCGAAAACCGAGACGACATCAACGACCACATCCACAACAACGACAACCACAGAAAGACAGACTGAAAGAAGAAAACTGGAAGAAACGACGGAATCCCTGGCGGACATGGCTGTGCGAAGAACATTGAGCTCGGACGACTCCTACCGCCATCTTCTTCGGAGAACCCACCCCTCTTTGGCGGAGTCATTTGCCACGATGCTCCGGGGAAACCAGAGACGCGAGGAAACAACAGCGAAACCATTTGTCTCTCCAATTCCCACCGGCACAACTGAACTCGATCTTCACGTTGCCGAGAGCCAACTCATTGCTGGCGATCTCTCGATAGCGGCGCGATGTGGAGCTCAGATTGTGAGCGATGGGAGTGGGGGACTGAGAGTTGAGCCGCTGAGTTCGTGGCCGAGGAACTGCGTTCGGCACGCTCTTGAGGCGCCATCGACGCTCGGGTTGAGGGCGAGGGTGGGAGTCAGTTGGAGTGGGCAGTATACGCTGCTGGTTGGGCCGAGGGATGATAATCTGTGGGAGGCACCTTTGAGACAGTGTGGACGGACCCCCAGCCATAACTCCGCGCTCAGGGCGCATCTCAGGCAGAGCTTGGGGCACAGGTACGGGCTTTTGAGGTCCTCTGGGGGGAGGCTTTCGGCGACGGGGAACTTTCGGTTATTGTTAATTGCTATGGCTGCGCAATTGGTGGTGCGCTGCGCGGGTCATTGGCGGAGGGGGTAGGTTCAGGTATTTATGGCGGGCCGGCGTGCGGGGGCGAAACGCAGGGGAAGCTGTTGGTCAGTTACCAATTTTCAATGTATTTCGAGCTTTTTTGGCGTCGAAAGATTCTTTTTATGACTTTTCTATTTTTATGGCTTGTCTTGGATTACTGGAAAATAATTCAGTAGCGAAGCGGTAAACCGGGTTAAGTCGTTTTTTACTATTGCCTAGTTTTTGACGAATAGCTCGGAATCTAAAAGAGATAGAAAGATTTTTGTCATGACCTTTTTTGTAGAGCCAATAGAGCGTTATAAAAAAAGTCATGAGAAAAATTTTGCTATCTCTCTTAGATTCCGAGATATTCAGCAAAAACTGGCTAATAGTCAAAATCGACTTAACTCGGTTTACCGCTTCACTACTGAATTAATGGGGAAACAAAAAGCGAGAATGGTGAACAATGAGAAAAGGTGGGTGAGAATGGTGTAGCGTCACTACTCCGTTCGTATTTGCCGCGCTTACAACAAGTTGCGCACGCAGAATTCCTATTTTTCATGAGTTTTTTATGATCCTTTTTAAAAAATTGATGGCGTTCCTCTTTTTAAACAATTCTCCTCGGTTGTATTTTCTCCGCACTTGTATTTTTTTTTCACGTTCCTCCATGATAGCTCCACCCAAGTGCGAAATTTCAGGAAAATGGCGACTTTTTTTCCATTTTTAATATTTTTTTTCCGAATTCCCATAAGAGCCCGTGTTAAAGTCCATTTAGAAAAATTCCTGTCTTTCACCCATTCGCCTAGGCTATCTGGGATTTTGCATAGAAGTTTTGAAAAAAATCAATGAAATGTACAAAAAAATCATCAATTTCTTGACTTTTTTCAAAGCAAAATTCCAATCGCCAATGACATCGGAAGGGAGGTCGAATGCTGGACCAATCATAGAATGGCTCGAGCCTACCTAACCCCATCTTCACTCCACCTCATCCAATGGATGACACCAACTCCCCTCTCCCCTCAGCATTACCCCATCCACTTTGGGCCGCCATGACCGCAATAATAGTCTTCACAAACGTCTGACATTCACTCGATTATCATAAAAAATTTAGGCAATATTTATCCCCAATTCCTTTTGCTGAGGCATCTGCGGTTTATCTAGAATGGGGGAATAGTAAAACTAGGGAAAAATACGCTGCATGCAAGTTCTCTACCACAGAGACTCAATCTACTTGACTTATCCCCTGAATACTCAAATTATTTTGTACATTTGATGATTAGGTATTTAAATTATTGTAAATAGTGTTCCTCATTGTATATATGTATATTTCATGAAACCGCAGTCGATCTTTCGGCTGCACATGGACGAACACCGACCAGTGGCTCACTAGGAATAAGGATTTGTTTTTAAAAGTAGGATTACAACTCAGTAGCGAAGTGGTACAAGTTAGTTTTGACTATTGGCCAGTTTTCAACGAATATCTCGGGAACTAAGGGAGACAGCAAAATTTTTGGTATAACCTTTTTTGTCGAGCCGATTGAGAGCTACAATAAATGTCATTACGAAAATTTCGCTATCTCCCTTGGATTCGGAAATATTTCTGAAAAACTCAACTGCGAGATAAGTCGACTTCAACCGATTTACCTTTTCGCTGCTGATCTTAGTATTTAAAATGGGCTGGCTACGGCGCCGCCTGAGGGATACCACCCCAGTGAATTTTTTAGGACGTAGAGGTGTGTACAGTAGGATAAGAAATGTTAACGATCTCTGTATATATGATATTTCAATATAGTTATGTTTGAAAAACATGAAAAAATAATATGCTTATCTGCTCATTCGAATCATTACCGAGAGTGGAATTGTGAATTTCTCATGTTTGCTCTGTAGTGACACCGGGACAGCTGCAATGCCATATCATTGAGACTGTGCCGCATCGGGCATTAAGTGCGTTATCAAAGTCGGCAATAAATTACTCGAAGATGCGTGATTAAATTTTCACTGCAGAATCGAGGACTGGGTGCAGCCGAAAATCCTTGCAGTTTCGCAAATGTCATCGCACGATTTGTATCGTTCGTAAACTGGGAAATTATTTTTGGAAGAGATAAAAATCACACGAAATGGTGATTAACAAGACCAATGGCCTGGAGTACGCGTATTTGACATTTGGATGGATCGATTACACTTTTTTCACGCTCCTGATGGGCGTCAGTTTGGCAATTGGCATTTACTTTGGATTCTTCAAAAAACAGGATAATACGACTGAGTATTTTCTTGGGGGCAAGACTATGAATTATTGCCCCATTGCTATGAGCATTCTAGCGAGGTAAAGTAGGTTTGAAAAATTGCTTTGCTTCAATTTTTCGGAACAATTTTCATTAAAAAATGCACGGAGAGAAATTTTTTAGCAAAATTCTAGTGCTTGCACGGGTAAAGAGGCGCAAAGTGACGGCCAGGAAAAAATTCCAGTGCCGGCACTAGAAATTTTATTGGGGAAAACGTGAATTTTTCCCAGTATTTCTGTGAAAATTTCACACAAGTCCCCAGAAATTTTACCAGAAATACCAAGAAATTAAACCTTAAGGATGTTCGACACCCTTTTAGCCAAAATTGACGTTGTTTTCATTTTTCTGGCAAATTATCGATGGGAGTGACGTGAAAAAATATAACGATTTTGTGGTTTGTCATTCTTTAATGGCTCACGAAGTTGCGTAGTGGTGCGATAATTTTCATGCGTTTTTTCTACAGTTTTGTGATTCTTTTTAAAAGTTTAGAGAAAACGCAGGAAAATGTTCGCACCACCTTAATATTTCGTCAGTCATTAAATAATGACAAAACGCAAAAACGTTGTATTTTTTCACGTCAATTCCATCATAAGTTTGCCAGAAAAATTGAAAAAACGTGAATTTTGGCAGAAAGGGTGTAGAACATCCTTAACAGCACTAGAATTTTTCACAGACGGTGGATTGTGATTTTTTCCAGTACTCGTACTAGAATTTTTCTAGGAAATTTCTCTCCGTGTGCGAAAAATATTTGTTAATTTTATGTAATTTCCAGTCACGTTTCTGGAATGACATTGCTCGGCGTTCCTACAGAAGTCTACTTCCACGGCTCTCAATACTTCGCTGTAGTTTTTACAGTTTTGTTTATGGTTTTGGCAACGATCTACATATTTCTACCTGTTTTCTCTAAGCTTCAAATTCCCAGTGCGTTCGGTTATCTCGAGGTCAGGTTCGCCCGTCCAGTGAGACTCCTCTGCTCATTTCTCTACAGTATCTCTCTGTTGATCTTTGTACCGATGGTTGTCTACGTCCCAGCATTAGCCTTCTCTCAAGTCACTGGATTCAGCCTTCATGCACTCTCCCCGATACTCTGCATTGTTTGCATTACTTACACGACAATTGTAAGCCCGTTTTTTTCTGTTACAAATTCTTCAACGGGCTTCCTTCATATAATTAATTGAAGATTTCAAATTTTTTTTCATTGAATTTATTTTACTTTAATTGCACGGGATATTATCAGGGCGGATTGAAAGCTGTCGTCTGGACGGATACAATACAACTGTCAATCACGTGCGGTGGTCTCTTAGTCATTATAGGATTGGGAGTAAAAGCTGTCGGCGGATTTCTGGAAGTTGTCAGAATTTCCGACGAAGGGGGACGACTCGTATTTTTCAAGTGAGGGTGCCAATACTCTTGTTTATATTTTCTGTATACTGATCTAGACAGCCAGAAAATAAAACCTCATTTTTAGATTAGAAATGGCTTCAAATGCCATTTTCCAAAGTTCTAATTTGAAAATTTGATTGGAATTTTTTTTTTATGTCAGATGAATTTTTATTCGGCATGGAATAAAAAATATACTTGATTCAAGTATATTTTATGCTCAATTCAAGTATACTTTTCCGTGCCGAATAAAAATTCATCTAATGCAAAAAAAAATTTTTCAATCAAACTTTCAAATTAAAACTTTTGAAAAATCGTATTTCAGGCCATTTTAAATCTTAAAATAAGGTATTGATCAAGAATATTATTTTTGAATCAAGTATATTTTATACTCAATTCAAGTGTATTTTTTTCCTCGCGGCTTTGCGGTCATTCTTAATTCCCTAGATGTTAGTGAGGTCCACATTGCGATAATTTTTCTCCAACTTTTCTCTCCGTTTCGATTCAGCATGGATCCCAGTCCTTTCCAGAGAAATACTTTCTGGGGCATGGCTATCGGAATGACGTTCCACTTCACCAGCCACATGAGCATCAACCAGGGATTTGTGCAGAGATGCCTAGCGGTGCCTAGCCGAAGGGACGCGGTGATGTACATGACTCAAATTCTCAATCATTCATTGAAAACCCGAGTCATCAATTCTCATCCTGTTGTTTTTGTCTCGCAGCTCGGTTGTCCTCATGGGAACAGGAATGGTGCTGTTGAAAGGTCTCTCAGCATTCGTTGGACTCATCATTTACGCGTATTACCACGACTGCGATCCTCTAGCGATTGATGTGATTTTCCGTTGTTGTTTTGAAAATTTCAAGTAGGGGAGGGTGGGGCAAAACGGCCCCCCTTCAATTGTCAATAACTTGTGAATGACATTGTGAAAATTCCCAGTTTCAACTTCATTTTGAAGATAATTTTTCATTCTTCAAAACGAGCTCTAACTCATCCCAATCGGATTATTGAATCGGAAAATATTGACGATTGAAGGGGGGCCGTTTTGCCCCATCCTCCCCTAAATCGTCGTGTTGTCTTGGACAGTGATGCCCTTACGAATGATTTCAGGCGATAGACAGGGACGATCAATTATTCCCTTATTACGTGATGGATGTGGCCGGACACTTGCCCGGACTTCCAGGTCTATTTCTAGCGGGTTTAGTCAGCGCTGCTCTGTCGACGATGAGCGCTAATCTCAATACCGTATCGGGGAGTTTATATGAAGATTTTATTGAACCTTGGGTCCCCGAGGGCCCCAGAAAGGAAGTCATCGGTGCAAATATCATGAAGGCAAGTTGCACACGGAGAGAAAAATTCAATAACAATTATCAGAAAAAACAAAAATTATGTTTCGAAAGGATTACATTTCGAAACATAATTTTTAGGTTTTTTTCTGATGATTGTTAATGAGTCTTTCGCGAATTATCGCGAGCGAAATAAAATTCAATAAAAAGTGCGAGTCGGGACTGAAATTTTGCGAATCGCCACGTAAATTCTACGATTTGTTCCGTAAAAATTAACCAGCCGTCTAATGATTCACCGCTGTGCGGACAAGGAACGGAATTGTTGAACCTTCGAGAATTTTTTATTTTCGAGGCATAATAAGCCGACAAATTTCTGTAAGATTTGACTTCTTCGGGAAAAATTACGTGAGAATTTCGTACTTTGTTCGGTGATGAACCTGAGAATTCACTGAACATTTCAGATTTCTTCGCTTCCATTCCTATAAAAATTGCCGAAAAACATTCAGATATATTAACTAAACTCTATTCCAGGCAATAGTTGTTGTATTCGGTTGCCTGGCTGGGGGTCTGGTATTCGTAGTTGAGCATTTAGGGACTGTCTTCCAAATGGGAATAGCCTTGAAATCCCTGCTAGACGGCCCGGTCCTCGGACTATTTGTCCTTGGCATGATGGTGCCTTGGGTTAAAACTCGAGGGGCCATTACCGGCGCCCTGTTGTCCATTGGCATTATGGCATGGCTGATTTTTACAACTCAGTGGTACCAGTCCCAGGGACGAATCATGAATGATCCATTACCGGTTAATGTGCATGGCTGTGCTGCACCGTGGAATGAGACCATCATTCCAACGCAACCACCAATTTCACCGGACGATGAGCCCTCGATGATTTATCAGATTTCGTTTTTGTATTACACACTTATTGGATTTTTTTTCACTCTCTTTCTGTCAATTACTGTCAGCCTTTTGCTGGGGGAAACTGATATCTCGGAGGTTAATCCCGATCACATTACTCCGTGCATTCAAAGGTAAATTACCGATCGCCCCATTCAAATTTTCCACTCTTAATCTGTTTTTTTTATTCTTCGGGTAGATTTTTGCGGAGGAGAAAGTACGCGGAAGTTCCGCTGAGGGACGTCGACACAGTCGCAATGACCAGTGGCGAAAATAAATGAATCCACTTCTCATTTTTGTCATATATATTTCTGTCACAGATTATCAATTACAGTATTTATATCCTTGTGTTTTTGTAAATGTTTCTTCCTTATTGCGTTCTCGTGCGCATTCTCTCTCTTCATCTCAACCAGCATTTAAATATTGCACTTTTCTTTGTAAGAAATAAATACTAAAGCAATGAGACGTTACAAATTCATTCATCGCTGTACCACTTTATACATGTACGTAAAAATTCCTGTTTTCTGTGCTTCCAAACAAGGATTTCGTATAATGTGTTTTACATACTGAAATTGTAATTTCCTTATCCAACCGTATAAGTCCATCCATCACCTACACTTACCCACCCACGTACCCGAGAAATATTCAATATTTTTTAATTCAATAGCGAAGTGGTAAAATGTTTCAAGTCGATTTAGGCCGTAGCTGAGTTTTTCGAGAATATCTCCGCATTTAAGGGAGATACCGAAATTTTCGTGATGACCTTTTTTGCAGCCCTCGATTCGCCCTACAAATAAGGTCCTGACAAAAATTTTGCCATCTCCCTTAGATTCCGAGATATTTGCTCCGCCACTGAATTCATTATTAAATTATTATAATATCGGACTTTAACGATGTTTTGCGGGGAGTAGGATACTCGAAAAATGCAGCCAACTTTATGAAACTTCTTTGACATATTATTTAGTCCATTGAGATACCCCTTGCAAAATTTCAGACACCCCAGGTTCAGGACAACAACAAAAATGAATTTTAAAGTTGTTGCTTGTACACGAGATTGAATGAGTCAGCGATAATTTAAGTATTTTTTCCACATTGCCGACTGGTCGATAATGTAGGGAAAATGTACGAGTTATCGATGCTCCCTTTAACCTCATGTATACGAAGCAACTTTAGAATTTATTTTCGTTGTTGTCCCGAACCCGGGATTTCTGAAATTTGGCAAGGGGGGCCTAAATGGATTAAACAATACGCGAAAAAAAATTCACGAAATTGGCTGCATTTTTCGAATACTCTACTTCTCTCCTGAACATCGTCAATCGTTACTTCCCAAAAATATGAAACGATGTAAGGGAGTATTGACCAATCACGACTTACTCCTCAACCAATCTACCAATTAACTCGTTAATTCTCCTCAGTACAAACCCGAAATAATATCCGTGACTTTTCCCCTCTTAACAGCCGAGCTCCCCGAGTTTCTCCTGCCCCCCAGCCCCTCGTCGACCGTTGGATTTCCCGAGTACTTTCCCGCGTTGAACCGATTCTTCCCCAGTCCAAAAGCGTCGTAAGGTCTCCCAGCGGGCAGAAAAATACCCGCCTCATTCACAGAGAACTTGCTCATCCCCCTCTCCTGATAGAACGACGTGATAAGCGGCCCATTATTATTCGCAAAGTTATGAATTTTCTCGAAAGACGTCATCTCATGACTGGCCCCCTCGGCACTCCACCGAGCCCTCTCCTTGTACAGCTCATCATTCCTCAGAGCGCCCGATGGATGAAATTCCCCGTAGAGCTGATCACTCTTCAGATGTCCGTGCTTGCCCTCGTTACCCTTTACCCCCTGCTCCTTGCCTGTCCCTCTTTTCCCCGAGTTCGTTTGCCTCCCCTTTCCCTTATCACAAGATCTCGAACCCTTGGAATTCCTCTCGCTCGCTACCCGCCCCTGCGTCCACCGCTGAGATTCCCCGATAACAATGTCCACCATCGTGTCCAGTCCCTCGTCTATCCTGTCCAAGGACTTAGTCATCTGATTCTCCCCCTCCGCCAGCTCAGGCTTTCTCATCGTCATCACAGGCTCGAGATCGAAATCTGTGATGTAATGAAGACCACTGTCACTCCCAGCTCGGCTGTCCCTTCTCACGGGATTATAAACGTGATGACAGGACTCCGATCGCCGGATCTTCCGACAATTCTCGGGATTTGATTTCCTCTGGCTACTGCCACCGGCCAAATTGCGGGAGAAGTTCTTCAAACTCGTGTTATCGAACGAATTCATACTCTCAAACTTCCGTATTCTGCCCTCTACTTTACTTCCAGAGCGTCGCGACAGAGGGCTCGAGTGTTCCGAGCTCAAGATATCGTGAGAGACGGATCTTCTGAGGAGCTTCTTCCTCTCGGGATCCCTCGTCCTGTACCTCGAACTACTGGTCTTCGTCGCGGGCTCGAAGTGATGGTAAACATCCAGGTGTTTCGACATGAGACAGCTATCCTGGCCATTCTTGAGAGAGGCGTCGAAATTTCTGATCGTCTTCTTGCACTTGCTGTCGTTATTCTCCTCCTCCTGTTGGCTGAACCCCTTCGCCTGAATTCCGCTCTTGCCCGGGTACAACCCCTGCACGTTCTCCTGATTCTTGCTGTTGTACTTGAGCCTGGAAGCGCTCAGAAGGGAATCGCTGCCGTCGCCGAGGGTCTCCTCCTCGCCGTCCTCGTCGTCCTGAAGATTGTAGACAGCCGGATGCTCCAAAAAGTCTTCCTGCCTCGTCGCGAGGATCGTCGAGAGACACGGAGGACTCCTCCTGGGTGGTTGGGGATACAATATCGCCGGGACTATCGCTTCCTCGACATCGGGGCCCTTGACAACGATCTTCAAGCTCCCGCCGTCGACGCCCGAGGGATACTGGGCTTGATCGTTGAGAATTTGTTGCTCATCGCGGACGTAGTAACTCACAGGAATCTCTTTAGTGTCGATGTTCGATAGGAGGTCTTTCACGGCTTTCGATTTGCTCTTCATCTTGATTAATTTGGCTTTCTGACTGGGGTCTTTTCGGCTCTTGTGGTCCATTCGGTCCTGCTCCTCGGCGTCTTTGACGATTATTCTCAGCTCTTCGATAACGTCGTCGATCGTTGTTTCCTTGTCGTTGTCGTTGTCGATCGTCTTGGGCTGGTGGAGGTCCTCGGGGCTGCTGGATCTCTCGGAGGAGCTTATCCCCTCGTCCTCACCGTTCGATGACAATCGCTGAGTCTTCTTGTCGTTCTTCATGATCTTCAGCTTTCGATCGTCCATGTTGTAGCCGTTTCTCTTCTCCATTTGAAGCTTTTCGATCTGATTCTGCAGCAGAGAGACTTTGTTACTCAGCATTGAGCAGGTCTCTTCGGCTCGAGCCAGTCGCTTCTGCAGAACATCGACGTCAACACAATTTTGCGACCACTTGAGCACTTCTTTCTTGAGTAGATCCATCAGGGCGTCCTCGCTGCGACCGTCGACATCCGTCAGCCACTCCTGGAGGACCCGGGGCTCGAGACCCGCCTCGCACGCCTCAGCCTGCAGGAAAAGATACACTTGATGGCTGAACGTTTATTATGCAAAGTAGTGACTACAGGTCTGGGGGTGGGATATCAATTTTTATTTCCTTTTTGAAAGTGGGGAAATGGCCCGCGCTGTGCGCGCGCATAAAATGTAGGGGCCATCTATGATGATGACTTAAGCTAACGCAAACTATTTTGATGATAATTACCTGGATGTAGAGTCTTGTTTGTGTACGCGAGGCAGATGTTAAGAAGGCATTGAGAAAGGATATTCCGGCCACCCTCAGCGCTATCGCTGCCCTCGGGGCTAGGAGGGCTCCGGCAAGGAATCGGAATCTTCCACCCTCGCCGTATCTCAATCTCAAGGTCGAAACCGCTTCAGATACCGCCGAGTGTCCGCTGGGTGTCTGGCATACCTTCGTCAATAGCTGGGAACAGATTATTTGAATAGCAAAATGGGGAAATGATAATTTTATACTTCAAACGTTGTTTTTACGAAAAAAATTATTTTCATCACGCTGTGACGAAAAGTGAACTTTTCGGCACGCTCCGCGTGCTTGAAAGTCCAATTTCCGCCACATTGTGATGAAAAATATTGTTCGTAACTCGTGAAAAAATGTTTTTTAGCTCGTTACGAAATATACTATTTCGATGGAGATTCAACATTTCATCAACTGTTTTTTTTTTGTTTCTCCAATTTCTAACATTTTTCAAATGTGTTCACTTTGAAATATTCTCTATAATTTGTTTATAAAATAGCGCTCGCGTTCTTCAATTTTTCGTCATTCATGTAAAAAATTTATTGATATCCTTGTGTGAAGCTGGCCTGGTTAAGTAAAACGTGAATACACCGATGAATTGAACGTGAAAGAAAGAACCGCTCGTCGATACATTCTGGAGGACCCAAAACTGGTTTCCCTACGGTTACGTCCGTATGAAGGGTACTTCAGTATAACGGTCGGGCACCCAAAAACCCCCTGACCAAGAATAACTGAACTCAACCACATTCCCCTGTTTCATCGATTGTTCGGGAAACCTGCTCGATTGATTGAGGAATTCGATAATTAGGAATTCGAATTAATTTACTCATGGAGCAGGACGTTCCTCTTAATCAAGTCCATCGTTTCATGTCCCACGTAAAACAATAATCTTTTCTCAAGTTATAAATGCAGTTATTGTTCAAATAATAACGAACTCAGTGTAGCCATCGATCATTTGCACTCGACAGCGGCGCCATTTTGTCGCGTACTAATGCATGATAAAATGGCGAACAGTCGGAGAAGGCTGCAGGTTATGCTGAACAAGCCTTCTCATCTACCTACTTTTCCATTGAACGTTCCCACCCAAACCCTCAAGAAAAAATATATCAGTAGCGAAGTGGTAAAACGGTTTGAGTCGACTTATCTCTCACTTTTTTAGGAATATTCCCGAATCTGAGGGAGATAGCGAAATTTTCATAACTACCTTTATTGTAGCTCTCAATCGGCTCCATAAAACAGGTTATAATAAAAATTTGGCTATCTCCCTTAGATTCCGAGATATTCATTGAAAACTGGTCAATAGTCAAAATTGACTTGTACTGTTTTACCACTTCGCTACTGATCTATGCGAACAATCATTTTTGGCAGAAAATGCTGTATACAAAATATATGTTGAATATATTCGCGCACATACATGTGCATGTAATTGATATATATGTCTCATATATTTGCTTTCCGTGCGGGAAATACCGGAAAATTTTTCCGCCTCAGAACGTGAATATCGTCAATTGAAATCGTCAATAGAAAGAATGTCGTCTCTGGTGGAGGGGGGAATACGGAAAATAAAATCCAGTGACTCATGTTTGGAAATGGAATAACGGTAACGCCAAGGCGCGTCAATTGGACACGGGAGAATCCACAAGTACCTGAAGAGCCAGAACCCGAGACCGGTTCAGACTACTGGTAAGACAAACTGCCAGGGCGAGAAGTCCGGGCTGTGCTTGTGCCAGGAGTCGCGGTGCATCAGCACATCGATCCGCGCACGCCGCTAAGCACTCAACACACCCGAGCTCGTCGAGGGCTGCCCTCCTGGTGCCAATTCTGGGGCCATTTTGGCCCGATGGGGGGGTACTCTGCACCAATTGAACCCCCCGAAGGGTCTCGAGGAGGAGAGTTATCCCGTCGGCTGGAGCTGACGAAAATTCCTGGACGAAACTGAAACAGAAAATCGGTCCAGTCATTTTTCCATCAATGTTTCTCATCACACACGAAATTTTAGAGGAAGAACAGTTTCATTCACACGAAAATGTAAAATGCAAGTGTTAAAGTCACATTTTCCCGCAGAAATTGGTTAATCGAATGAATTAATAGACACAATAACGCATTTCCATTCCGCAACTGCTCAGATCCTCGGTCCAACATGTGGTGATTTAATTGCGTTGTTGAGAGCCACATAACGGCATCAAAACATCCAAGACGTGTCGTCTACCCCCGGGATTTCCTGTCCAGCTAGTCGCTCTACGGATTCCTTTGCTGATACAACACAGACGTATTGTGCGTCGGAAATCCACAACTCTGTTTTTCCCATTTCATTCGTAAATTCGATTCCCATGTACCCATTATTGACTTGCATTTTGCCAAGAGGAAGTTGAAAATTCCTGGCATTTCTCAGCTGGTTTTATCTTTTCGTTATTTATAATACTTTTCCCCAATCACCGAACGTTCTCCCATGCAAAAAAACATGAATTGTTCTGCAATAAACTCTTTATATTTAACTGTTTCAACCTGAGAATTCCAGAGAATAGAGAATAACAGGAATTGTGTCCAAGAATTTTTATAGTCTTCTTCGCACATTGAAAATCCTTTATTGATATTAAATTTTTTATAGATGATGATAGCATATATTAAAGATATTACGATAATACTATATTGTATTATATTCTACATTATATTATATTATAATGCATATAATGTTATATGAAATGTAGCACAATATCGTATACGTAATATATTATTATTATTATTATTATTATTAAATAATGTTAATAATATATTAATAATATATTAATATATTTTTAATATTATATATATTATATTATTAATATTTTTAATGTATGCTATCATCATTTATAAAAAATCTAATGACACAATAGGCCGAACAAATTAAATTAAAAAAAAATACAATGCATTCCTGAAACTTTTCCTTCGGAAATCTAACGTAACATTATTCACTAAAATTGACATACATCAAGCCCCACGGGGTAGGACATTTTAAAAATTGTCTGTAGTGATGAAGAAAACAATGTACTTGAGTACATTGTGAAGAAAATCCTTTCGATCGAGACGTGAATGAATTTTAGTGTCTCAGGTGCTTGTGCATGATAATATATGAAGCACGTGTGCACATCGAATCGTTCCGATCCCTTTCTTTTTCATTGGAGCGACTATCGACACTGCAGTATCATAAAATATATCGTAGAACCGGACGCCTCACCCATTCCAATCGACTTTTTGAATATTTAAGAGTCTATATCCATAATGGATGATGGTACTGTGGCACGCCACATTATTCCGTGTCTTCTAACGTACCTCGGTAGAAATAATTATTTTAATTTTTTTCTCCCGGCTCATTCATAACTCATTGAATCCTAATGATTCGAGAGATTAAAAGCGTTCTCAATATTATATTCTAAATGAATTCTCGCGGGTTTTTTATTTGCTAATTTATTCATTTTCATCTGTATTTAATAAATAACTTGGAAGTAAATTACAGCGTCAATTGCCGAGAAAATTGTTCGGTCTATAGAATTGATGGGAAAAGAGTGGAGGAACAATGATAGAGAGAAGCCAACGAGTCATGATAATACGTGACTGGGAAGCAACTGCTAGTGCCCATTGAATCGATGTGTCCAGGAGGCAGTACTTTTGTCTCGCACTCGTGTTTAATGTGGCTTCATTCATGTTAAAATTGTGCGCCAGAGACGTAGGAATTTGCAGGGTGGCCCGCAATGCAGTTGTGCAGTTGATAGTTATTAACAATTTAATTATTTAAAGGTGTTTTTGCATAGTGTAGCGAACAAAATGAATTTTTATTTTTGGTTCACATCAATTTCTTGCAACAATTTCAAATAAATAAGATCTTACGGTAATATCAGTTATTTCTTCTTGAGATGCGTTTAGTTGAGTCAAATAAAAGAGCCCTTGGCGTCAAGTCACATTACTACAATCTCGAAGATTTTCCGCGTGACAATATTCGTCCTGATTCGACATACGAAATGCTCACTTCAATTATAATTTACTTGGGACGACGTATGATCGTGTTGATTGAGATAACAACGTATTTAGTCGTGAGAATAATTTTGATTTTTGAGTGAACCAACGAATTCCTGGAGTTGGCGAACTTTTGGCTGGAGAGAAATCAAATACTCTCATTACAGCGACAAATGCAGGGAACTTCAATTCTAGAGTTCGATTTCTTCCAATCAAATGTACCTCGAGAAGAGATAACTGGTATTCACTAAGAAATCATGTTCATTTGAGAATTAGCAAGCGAATGATGGTCGGTTCAAATAAAATTCTCGTGATAAAAGTAATTTTTTTCTGTCAGTGTTTTTCTTGTTCGGAGGGGACTATTGAGGGAGTGAGAAACGGCGGTTGAGCGAGTAAAAAAGGGACGAGAAAAGAGGGACAAGAGGAGAGGTTTGAAGACACAAACAATGGGTTCAGAGTGAAGAAAACCCTCGGACCTTCGACCTCGGAAATAAAACTCGAGTCGGCGCCGTGCACCCCGACGAGTTGGCGTTATACTGCATCGTTTGTTATGTTTCAAGACACCGACTTGCTCCCCTCACCCAGGGCATGAATACCACCGATGTCTATTTTCTTGTAGGTAACCAGGTAGTCCCTTGTAACCCGCACATGCAACTCTGTATATTCCGCCCAGACTGGTATGCCTCTAAATTTTAGTATGAGATGTAGAGGATACTCTGCTTCTGCTTTGATTAGACCGGGTGAAATATGGGCATTAACTGTGACAATACATCTTGAATATAATAAATCTGTTGCTCAGCCTTTGGCAGCGATTCACACAGAACGTAGTATTTTTACTATTACATTGTTTATTACATTGCTACGGCGCATAGTTTAGTATGCATCGTCAAAACTTCTAGAAAATTCTAGAGCTTTCGGGAAAATTCTGGAACTTTCCGGATTCAAAATCCCGAGTGCGGGATTTTTTCTCTCTAAATTCGAATTCACTTTGATTTTTATTTGATTTTTTTTGCATTATATTTTTAAATTATATTTTTTTTGCATTTTTTTTTTGCAAAATTCTAGAATTCTGTCGACTTTTCGAGAATATTTTCGAGATTTCTATAAAGTTTCAAGATATTTTCGAGTTTTATAAAAAATTCGAAGAAATTCCCTGGTTTTCTAAAAACAATTTTTTTGTTGCCATTCAGCAATTTAATTTCAAATTCTGATTAACTAGCTGATTGACTTCCTGCAATTAAAAAAAAACATCTTAATGCTTTCGATTTTTCTGAAACACTCGAGAAGTCAAGAAAAAATTTAATTTAATTATATTTTATATATTTATATTTATATTGATATTTTATTAACATGAAACCGTATTATTTTGTTTTTTAAATTTATATTCTATATTTCATTTTAATTTTGTAAACTGAAATTCACCACGACCCCAATTGATTTTATGTCCATCAACTGCTGCTCTGCAGTACTTCACTCCTTCTGAATGTATTTTACATTAATTTGACTCTCGCAGTATCGCTCTCATCATAAAAATGCGGCGCGTTGTATCGGTGCAGTTACAGTATCAGTGATAGCGCCACTTATCCCGTGGCAGCATTACGAGGACCATGCGGTACCACGCGGATTATTACGCATTTATGTGGGCCAAGAGTGCAGACGTCGGCCAGATGCTGTCGGCTATCGCGAGTGGCGCTTGTGATGAGAAAATGACAGACGATTTCTCGAGCACTGATTGCAATACTAAAATTACGAAAAACAAACAGAAGCCCGGCGGCTGAAATAAATTGTTTACACTTTTTTATCCACTTTTTGAGACATTTACTCTGCGTGCGTATGAGTTTGAGTGAGTTTAGAGAGAGGCAGGGGTAGAGCAAGAGAAGTGTGTAATGATGGGGTATCCATAAAAACTAAACATAAAGTGCAATCCCGCCGGACTCGCGGGGCTGCGGCTACTCCACTACTTTTCCCTTTGTGCTGAAGCTTTTTTGCTCTATCGGCGGTTTTTTCTGCTCCTCCATCTGCCTGGTCGATGGGTATCGACGGCTACCGGTCCGCTGCAGAGTTTCCTACAGCTTTTCGTCGGTGCCCCGCATATTGTTGCAAAGCAGTTTTTTTCCATTCGTTGATCAAGTAGTAATTAGCTTAACGTTCCGCTCCGGGGTTCCGCATTGTTGTGGATTGCGCGGAATTGTTAATGAGATTCGCGAAAAAATGAACGAGAGGATCGTGCACTCGTTGGCTTGTCAAGCCCCTGTTTAAAATTGAGGGAACTTTTTTTGTCAGTGGACTATTTTGCCTAGTTATATTATGTTTGTTGTTTTAGGGGTTCTGTGGACACCAAATTTCGATTTTGAATTTTCGGTCGTGGTTTGAAAATTTCAGACCTTTGGCGATGGAAATTACAGAGAAACAACGATTGCGTTCTTCTCATTTTTTAGTTTTTGCAGTTTTCATGCGACAGAATTTAAAAAAATGTCTGTAGGTAATACCATTTTCCGTCGGAAATTTTTTGAATGGAAAAAAAAAATTTCAACAGTTTTAATTTGAATTTTTGCGGTGAATAATGAGTTTGAAGTTGATTTTGGTTTTTTATTTAATAATATAATAAAATTGTCTCAGCTTTTGAAAAAAAATAATGAACAATTTTTTTCATCATTAAAATTATAGTTTAGTATTCTCCTTTCTGGAGAATTCTGGAACTTTCTGGAATATTCTAGAATATTCTCGAGTTTTCGGGAATATTCTCGGGATTTCTGAACAATTCGAAAAAATTCTCCGGTTTTCGAAAAAAATCGAGCCAATTCTCAGGTTTCCTAGAAAATCCGAGGGAATTTTTCCTAAAAATCCGTGCCAAGAAAACCTTGTCATAGACAAATCAAATATTCCATTAAAATTCTGTTCAAATCATCCGAAAATCAATAAAATACTTGACTTTTCACTTCAATTATTCCGCAAAAATTGAAAAAAGTCAGGAAAATTCAGGAAAAAATGGAGATGTCATGTCATTTTGTTTTTTAAATTCCGTAACTATTTTCCCCTAAATCCGATTCAATGTCATTCTCATGAGAATTACTATCATCTTTCGAGCAATTAAAAAAAATTCCAACAGCGCACTCCATTAGGTGGCTGTAAGGCGCCTTTGGATTAATGTCTTCTCACCTTGGAAATGCTAATCTGAGATCGGCTCGGAGTTTATTGAGAAGTTCACTGACTGATGTGAATTGCCTCAATGTCATCTCTCCACTTCCTGATACATAGCCCGAAGAAGAGCTCGTTGTGGACGGTAGAGTGCCCTGGGAGTCTTGAACACTTGTCATGGGTCGTCTTCCCCATCGCCTCAGCGCAATTGCGTAGTCCTCGGCGTTGTACGTAGGTGGTCGGAGACGTTCCTGCGTTAACCACAAGTGCATGTATGAGCGCAAAGTATTGACAAGATGTTTCGATTTTTATGAATCATGAAAACCTCTCGACGAGAGGCTGAGGTGCACAAAAAATTCATCCCAAGTCGTTTGGAGGTGATGAGTACCGAGGGAAAGACACAACTGTATATTTATCGTCGTCACAGCCACTCTGATATTAGTTTCGTCATGAATATTTCATAGACTATTCCACCAGGTACTATAATTTTCACGATCACGAGTAATAAATAGCATTATTACAGACTCTATTGCGGTGATGAAAATTACATTACATCTTGAATTTATTGAGGACATACACCCAAAATAATCTGTTTTTTTTAATGAAATAAAAATCTTGATTTGAATTTTTTTTTGACTTATTTCAAGAATATTTTTGGGTCAAATAAATATTTATTTGGTTTAAAGAGAAAATTTATTTATTTTCTGTAAAGAATTTATTTGGATCAAATAAATATTTTTTACTATTGAATTTTTTTTTAATAGAAAATAAAAAATTTTAATTTAAAAATTTTTCAACAATTTTATTTATTTTTTATTAAAAAATTGATAAAAAAAATTATTTCAAGTTTTGTTTGTATCAAATAAATATTTATCCAAACAAAACTTGGAATAACATTTTTTATTTAATATGAAGAAAACGTTGATTGCTACTATTTAAATAATCTTATTCATTTGACATAAATAAACTTTATTTGATTCAACTAAATCATTTTTCTGGGTGCACTGTTTTACTGAAATCATAAAATGTTATCTCACCACTGTACAAACGGCCGCCATTGTTACAGGAAAACAACAATGTAGGTAATTTAAAATGTTTTTAATCACACATTTCATCCATTCACCACTGAAAATTCAATTTTGAACTGTAAAGTGCTCGCCACAAAGAGAAGACAAACGAAGCCACGAGTAAGGAGGGGAGCGATTAGATCAGCATATTTATCACCGGAAGTTGGTGACTGGAAGGTAAACGAAAAAAAAGAGTTAAAAAAGAGAAAAAAGATCATGTATGCACGAGCGTACAAAAACTTGCGGTTGGTCGTCTCGTTCATTGGGAAGGGGGAGAGGACGTGGATAGGCTGAAGAAATTTCTAGTTTGCGGTCTCTCGCAGGGCCAGCGCAACAGTAAAAAAAAGAGGAGGGGGGGAGGGAAAGAAAAATTTCCATGTATTCGTTCCTTCTTTACAAAACCACAGCATCATATATTCACGCCAAAAAATGTTTATGTGAAAATCCTCGAGGCAACTCTTTTACTGGTAGATTTTACGGACAAATTTATTGTCGCTTGTAAAATGGTGTAAATATGGAAATGCGGTGGAAGATATTTTGTTGCATTTTAAAATTACGTATTATCTTCCATTACTTCATGGAATTCATTTTCTTCGGATAAAATGGGCTTGTGGATGGCAAATAATGTGGGAATAGCGGCGATTCATCTTGTGCCTCGAATTTTTCACTTCGTTTGAAATAAAAATTACTAACAAGGCATTTGGATTTACGCAAGCGAGGGATTTCTTGCTATTTTAAATAGATGTTGTTCTCCGTGAATGAATAAATTGCGTGTCTGTAATTTGGTGGGGGCTGGAGTGAAAATTATTTTGCCATCATGGCGGATTTTACGCTGATTCCCCTATCATCTTTTCGTAATCAGCGCAACGTGTGCTCTAGGTACCTGGAGTTTATTAATGCACTCAAGCAGTAACTTATCCTCCAGCAGATGTAACCCTCGAAATTAAATGAATAATAGGGGAAATAATGATCTATTTTTTCCGTAAATCTGATTCTAACTGCATTAATTCGTGTAATTATATTTTACAAGCACGATAAAAATATTGTCTTAAGAATACTAAAATTGTTCGTTTAATTTCATATTTTTCGTTAATTAAGAAAATTGAAATTCGTCAAAACTCCTTTTTTATTGGAATTGGGAACCAACGAGAAAAACGAGTTTATTAATCAATAAAATTACTCAAAATTAAATGAATAACAGCGGAAATAATTATGTTTTTCCCGTAAATGTTGCATTAACTGTCGATACATGAAATTATATTTTACAAGCACGATAAAAATATTGTCTTATGCCTGTGCAAAGAATATTAAAATTGTTCGTTTAATTTAATATTTTTCATTAATTAAGAAAATTGAAATTCGTCAAAACTCCTTTTTTATTGGAATTGGGAACCAACGAGAAAAACGAGTTCAGTAATCAATAAAATTACTCAGAATTAAATAAATAATAGTGGAAATAATGATCAATTATTCCGGTAAAATCTTGATCAATTCAAGCTAATTAGTCCGTGAAAGAAAAAATTCTCAATAGAAAGGAAAAAGTAATGTCGCAAAACTAATTTATGGTTTTGTTTCTTCTCCGTTAATCATCCAGAGACTTTTCTATCCTAATGAAAAAAGGAAACGTCATAAAAGACATTTATTTTCTGGCAGTGCGCGCCATTGTTTTCGTAATGACACTGTTTCCTACAAGTGAGAATTTAGGAATTAATCTCAATCGAGTGTCTTTAATGAGTCTCTCAGATTAACGATAACAATCATCGCGATATAAACCCGACAGTTTCCTGGAGGACTCAGAGCATAAACTCATTCATTATATTTCGCAAGAATGTTAGTCGCACGAAGTGTCATCTGGAATTATTTCGCTCATTAATGCACTCTCTTTTCGGGAATGTCCAATGGGAGATCATTTTTTCAATGATAAATTCTATTTTCACATTTACTTTATCCGGCTGGAGACTCCAGGGCTTCACCGCCAGCATTTCCTCCTCGGCGTTTGGCGCCATTTCCGATTCGCTGGAAAAGTAAAAAAAAACAGGTTGATAATTGCATTTTTTTAATGAATTAGTGCAGCTGTGGTGCTGATAAATTAGCGATTTGATTCCAAATGGATTCTCTTTTTTTATTCTTATTTCACTATTGTCTTCAATTTTTTTTTTGTTATAGTACTGTCGTTAATTGAAATGTCATGAAAGTTTGTGTTTTATTTCGTTCTGCCAAATGATTCGGCGTTCAGAGTCCCTCAAGACTCGAATGGACAGTTGAATTTTAATTGGTGTCAATGAATGGAGCTTATTAAATTCTATATTCATGAAAAAAAAAGAAGAGAAAAGACCTCATATTTAAAATGGAGATGAAATGTCAAGTTTTACATAGAATTCAAGGAAATTCATGAGTTTTCTGTGAAAATGAGACTGAAATTCATCATGAATATTCAGAAATAAAATGACATGAATTTTCAATTTTTCCGTGAATTTTCCCGATTTTTATAAATTTTCACCGACAAAATTCAACTGAAAAATCAAAAACTTCATTGATTTTCCGATCATTCGAACATAAATTTCAGTGGAAATTAAACACGATAAAAATTTCCGGACTAAAAATATAAACTTGAAGTTGAACGCTAATAGACACAATTCATCGTTTGGCTCAATTAGCATAGTTTAATTTATTGAGACTCGGGGTGAGAATTCAGTTCACGATTGAACCGGAAGGAAAGATGCCAGTCAAGTGGCTCTCCAGTCTGCACACAACATATGCTGGATATGTGTATCGACGGACCCGGTGAGTCCGGGAAATTTATCTTTCTCGGTTCCCCTCCCCATCGTGGGATTTTCAAACGGTAAATAGCCCCGATGCGGTCGTTCCTTCCAGATAGAACGGAATGAACGTGTCGATCACCTCTTGGATTACCATTTTTTTCCAATTTTTTTCTCCAGTTTCAGAAGTCGTATTTTCAAAGAATAAAATCCCTCGATTATTCCCCGATATCTTGTCACCAGGAATCGCTGGTGAGAAAAAAAAATCTTCTGACATCTCGATGTGTTCAAAGACAATTTATTTTTCGGTTATTAATTTTAAAAAATTGTCAGCCTCTGGAATAATTCTGCAGTTTGGATGATTGCGAATTGATTCGGTTTCTTGGGGACTAGAATTGGGCTATGATTGTCTCTCTCCTATTCGAAGTGAAAATAACAGTGGTCAGAAGAGCGACGTCCGTAAAAGAAGGAGAAAAGGACGCCCGGTGTGAGGACAGCCGAGGCATTGACCCGTGTGCTGTTAGTCACGGGCGCACACAGTACAAACCACCTCCTCCCCCCGTGCTGGACGATCGAAGAGACCGACACACGCGTTATGTTCGAAGTCTCCGGTCGTGGTATATACATGTGCCATCGATATACCGTACACTGCAGGGAGACTACCCCTCACGCAGCCGGTGCATCCGAATTAAAGTAGTATAAACATACCTTGGATTTTGAAGATTGAAATCTGATATAAATTGTAAACAACAGTTGATGTGAATTGGCAGTTCAGTATTGTTGATAATAATTAATCAGGTGGATAAATAATACAGTCATATGAGAAAATTAAAATTTAGAAAAAGTGTCGACAAATCGGAATCAACATCAAAGAAGAAATCACTAGAGTTTAGTTGTACTACTTAAAAGTAGTATAAACATAGCTTGAATTTTGAGGATTGAAATCTGATATAAATTCAGTAGCGAAGCGGTAAACCGGGTTAAGTCGATTTTGACTATTGGCCAGTTTTTGACGAATATCTCGGAATCTAAAAGAGATAGAAAAATTTTTGTCAGGAACTTTTTATAGCCCTTAATTGGCTCTACAAAAAAGGTTATGAGAAAAATTTTGCTATCTCTCTTAGGTTCCGAGATATTCATCAAAAACTGATCAAAAGTCAAAATCGACTTTACCCGGTTTACCGCTTCACTACTGAATTGTAAGCACAAGTTGATGTGAATAGAAATAAAATCTCGTTGAGTTTGTGTTCAGTTGGCAGTTTAATATTGTTGATAATAATTAATCAGGTGGATAAATAATACAGGCATATGAGAAAATTAAAATTGAGAAAAAGTGGCGACAAATCGGAATCAAAATCAAAGAAGAAATCACTAGAGTTTAGTTGTACTACTTAAAAGTAGTATAAACATAGATATAAATTGTAAGCAAAAGTTGATGTAAATAGAAATAAAATCTCATTGAGTTTGTGTTCATTGGCAGTTTAGTATTGTTGATAATAATTAATCAGGTGGAAAAATAATAGTCATATGAGAAGATTAAAATCTAGAAGAAATTCAGAAAAACCTAAAAAATAAATAAAAATTCTACGTCCAATATGAAAATTATTGTCAGTGTCAAATTTTTGTGATGAATAATTTTCTTTTACTTTTTGAAATTATTTTTCCTCGTTACATTTGCTAAAAAAATCAACCGGGACTAGCTTACGGTTGCGATTATTACCCCGACTGTCTTAAGGAAGCAACATCCTTCATTACGAAACATAATTTGATGGAGTAAAATTCTCAACGAATGCGTGAATACAATCAAAACAGATCAAACGAAGAAACCCAGCGGAAAAATATGAAGACAATAACGAATAAAAATCCACGTGATCACAACAACTGACAAGAGTCATCCACCCCCTCTCCTCCGACTCGGCCGCTGCAGTGTCGTGACTTCCTCGTGTGAAACTAACGCATTAAATACGAGAGTTCGGTGATAATTGCAGTCTCAGATGAGTCGCGAATCTTGAAATAATTGCACCTGTGTTGATATTTTCATATAACACCGTATAACGGATTGCAGTGATTCTAGCATCAAACAATTATAATTTCTAATAGCACGTGGGGGAAACAGAAGTTCGTATCACATTAAGGATATCCGAGTATCTTTTACAGTTTACAATTCAACTATTTGCAATCATCAATTTTTTGTTTTTTTTTTATTAAAAAAAAATTTTTTTTTCAATCATCAAATTTGTCAATTAAATTGCGTAAGAAAAATTCGTTGTTTACAACTAAATAATTACAATCGCCTCCCGGTAAACTTTTGAATACGAATGAATTTGTTGCGATTCCAAACAAATGATTTTTAAGATGGAAAATGTATTGTTTATAAATTATTTACAAAAAATACTCCGAGTGTTCAAAAATTGAATTTTTCAATTATTTAATCAATCTTCCTGCGAAAGTAAATTTTTGAAAGAAGAATGAAAGCTCTGATGTCCGACTGGAGAGACAAATTGATACCTCGATTTTCTTACGAACTAGAGTGATTAAAATTTTTTAAATGTTAAACCCGAAAATGGGAACATCTTAAAGAATTGCATTGCTTCCATTCGAATCCAAAAACAGCCAAAGTCCCTGGATATCCTCAAGTAGGGTAAGCTACCCAATAGATGGCCACTGCCCTGTAGATGGACGAGCTCCTTTTAGATAGGAAATTACGCAAAAAAATACTGAAATGTGAATTGTTGCTTTGAATTTTCACCAACTGTTGTGATTCTTAACCCCTGAGTGACGATTTTTTTTCGATCAATTTTTTTTTAATTGCTAAAAAACAAACGTCCATCTACTGGGCGGTTTTCTTAGGCGTCCATCTACTGGGCAGTTTACCCTAAATGAAAAAAAATTCCGAACAATAATCCCAATAAAATTGCTAGCCAAGCGGATCTGCTCCGAAATATCGGAGAAAAAAAAAGTTGAGCCGACACGTCCCTTGCGAAACTCCGCGACTTTTACCGTTGTTGGAATTCGTCATGCATTGAAAACGGCGAATCGTGGAAACAGAGCGACGTTCGACGCTTTTCCCTGACGCACTAGATTCCCAGGGTAATGAGGCCACTGCGTAGACACAAACTCCCACAATGCGCGACACAGGCCCTCCGTTTACGACGCGACCAGGATTTTGCAGAAGAAGAGCGTGTATCGATTTTTGATTTTCGATTCAGCATGAGAAATGGTAATCGCTGAAGCATGCCGATATGCAATAACACGATCCGCCAGACTCGATCCAATCTCCCATTTATTATCCCTCGTGCTTCTATTCTTGTTTATCCACTTAACGGTCGTGATATAGTTGGTCAAGCTGCCTCAGCAGTATGGGAATCTCTCCTACTTGCAATCAATATATTGCCTGAAAGATCCTGGTTTGGCCGGTCATTCAAGATGAATGGCTTTTTCAATTTGTAAGCCTGCGCATGCGATAATTTATGGATATTCGTTGACCACTTTACTTTGTATTTTGTCGAATGCATCGAGATTTGTGGAGCTTTGACCGGCGCATTGGCGCCACTGGCCTCGCCATTCAGCGCCAGTTGGTGCTCCTCCATTTGCCGTTTTCTTCCTGGTTTTTAAACGCCCCTCTCCGAGACTACAGTGGCTATCTTACGTATAACTTTGAGATAATAATCTGATTAACAGAAGCGTGAAGCATTATAAATACGCAACACGTCGGGCTGAAGAAGCCTTGAGGGCTTTCCTTTTATTACGCCTGTGGACGGGAGGAGGAAGTTATTTCGCACGCATTTTCAACTGCATTTACGTGCTTTTTTGCATTGTGTTTCCATGAATTTTTTTAAAAATATTTTTCCGCGCTGGTGATTTACCTTCTCTTACCACATGTTGAAGTAAAAATGAAATGAGTCTTCATTCATTCAATTTCAATTCGAGTGCTTTCAAGTTCTGACCCTAATTTTTTGACCCTTATATTCTGACACTCAGTGCCTGACCCTTATGTTACACTTGAGAGGGCTTCCTACAACCCGCCCTGGCGCAAAAGAATCATCTTCGAATTGAAATACCCATCCCCCAGTTGAGTATAAAATCAGTAGCGAAGCGGTAAACCGGGTCAAGTCGATTTTGACTATTGACCAGTTTTTGACGAATATCTGGGAATCTAAAAGAGATAGAAAAATTTTTGTCATAACCTTTTTTGTAGAGTCAACTGAGGGTTATAAAAAAGGTAATGAGAAAAATTTTGCTATCTCTCTTATATTC